CCATGCCTGAAATCGAGAAGGGCGAAGGTACGACTCGGCTGCCCCACCTACCCCTCTCCGCATCCCAAGCTCTTCAAAAAGACAATAACGAAGGAAGAAAACATGACTGCGAAAAATGCAAGCACTGACACGACGCAGCTATCGAAGGCATGAACGCCTCCGGCGGCGGCGACACACCAAAGGCAGGCCACACCGGCCAAGGCGCCCCCGCCACGGACTCGAACAAGCCCGCGCCTGTCGACCAAGTCACCAAATAAGCTATCACCATCAGAGCGAAGAGCGACAAAAGCGCGCTCGGCCTCTAGGGAGACATCCCCGGTACCAGCAAGGGGCCTGGCTAGCTAGCTAGTAAAGCAAAGCAAGGGAGTAACATCTACAAGGACAACGGACTTTTGCGAGTAACATCAGTAGTTGCGTTGCATTGCATTGCATTGGCAAGCGGCGGGGGCCCCTCAGATAGCTACGAAAGTAACGAATGGAAGTCAAATAACTCAGAGATGATCTTCTGAAAAAGCATGCGGTTCTAGATTCCTGTGTTGGTGGGGCAAAACGCGGTGTGAATTCTCGTGCCGTGTACATGCTGTTCCTTCTCCATGCCATGTTCCCTGCGACGCCAAAATGGTGTTGAAGACTTAGTAGAGTCCTGCTAAGCGAACACCGATAAGCTTCACGCACATTTGCAGGAGGCCAATTTTTTTTCCTGGTCTTCGTCCGTATGGACACGGGACGAGCTGGGCCGTGTAAAGACTACCCCGTTCGTATTGACGGAGTTCGCGGAAGTCAAACATCCGTAACGGCCTATGAATAGCACTGTGGTACGTATTCCGGTCACGTCATTAGGCGACCTAGGAACAAGTTGGTTCTCATGTCATCGTGGCTGCTGGGCAAGTAGTTTTGAGTGGAGGCGGCTGGCGTCAGCCTGCATGCGAAGTCAGTCTCGCCTCAGCTGAGCCGGAGTCCGAAGTGGAGGGTTGGGATGCTTAGCGTGGGAAGCTGGAAGGGGGCAGAATCGTGGAGAATCGGTGGCCTGGTGGAGCGGCAGTGGGGTACCTAGGTACTCAACAAAAAGCACATGTGAGAGGGTAAAGCATCAAGAAATGTGAGGAGACATCACGATGGGAGGAAGTACTGTGAATGGTAGATCGTGGTATTTGGCTAGATAAAGGCACCAGCCCTTGGTGAATTTTGTCCGCCATAGCCTATCCAGGAAGCGATATCCAGAATGGTTACCAAGTCTAAAACGAAACTGTTGCTACAAGAGTGTACACGCTCATGACGCCGTCCGACGCCCGGTAGTGATGCCACACTCCATGTTTTCCCAACCCAGTGCCCCTGTTAACCTCAATGACCGAACCTTACGCCGACCCAATTGTCTAGGCCTGGAAGACCTCATCATTCGTGATCCACAGCCACCATCCACCAACTCGGTTTGCTTCTTCGCCCCCTTGGTGGATCTCTTGATGGCGTCAGTGCTAAAGCTGTCCCGCTGCGAGGGCCTCGTCGCTAACCGAAGTTGCGCCAGAGGCACTCTGCAAGTCGTTGAACTTTGCATCAAAGCCGTCAAGAAAGCCGTAAGAGTTTGAGTAAGAACCGTGGTCAAAGGATGTTGGACCGAAGGCATCGACTGAAGAAGAATCGACCATGCTAAAAGTGGGTTCCATTGGGGCAGTCGTTGTTGGACTGCACTTTGGGAACGGGTCGAAGTCGAAGAAGTTCTCCATGACGACAGACTTTTCGTCGACTGGAGCGTAAGGTTGAAGAGAGAGAGGTAGGCCCAGGTCGCCCGTAGAGAGGCCCCCGAAGTCGACTGACACGGCAGGTCGCACAATATCGCGGCAGGATATTGTGTCGAGTCGAATTCGGGAGAAGCCTCAAAGCTTGATGGGGGAGTCTCAGGCTGGCACGATGAGTCACGGGGTGAGTCCATCGAGTCCATTGACTCTGGGCTGGGGAAGGATGTGGGGATTTGCGCGGGGCAGATGGTGTCGAAGGTATCGCTGGGTGGTGTAGCGAGGTCGAAGACAGGTTGAGGTGCTTCGCCGGGGTACTTGGAGCGGTAGAATCTCAACTCGGCCTCCATCTCAGCCATCCTTTGTTTGTAGGCTTGCATGTTGGCCTCGAGCTCGTCCTTCTCGGTCTGGAGGACTTCGTATTCTTGACGCTTCCGTTCGCGGGAGTTGTGGGCGGCGAGGCGGTTGCGCTTTACACGCTCGATACGTCGTTGCTCCTTTTCGTCCTCAGTCTTGGCCCGCTTCCGTGGGGGCAGGCTGGTCTTGGGCTCGGGGAGCACCTGCCCCCACGACTTGCGCTTCTTGACGGGTTTTGAGCCATTGCTCTCGGGTGCAGGCGTTTGTGATGCCTCCGAAGAGTTGGACGAATGGTGTGCGGGTGAGGGTGAGTGGTCGTAGTTCTCGATCATCTCCATCTTGATAGTAGTAGGCATGGCCTCGACTGATGGTGGGGGTAGAGGCGTGGAAGTCATGACGGAGTTGTTGATTGTTTGAGAAAAGAGACTAGAGTCGAAGGTGTACTGAGCCATGGTGAAGTCGATGTAGGATAGAGCTATGAGTGGGCATAGTGGGTGATTATCACTGGGACCCGGGCTGTGCGGCGTTGAGGACAGGTGGCATCTACGGACCCTTTAATAGGCAGCTGCCAAGCGCACTTCTGGACCCCTTGAACGCTTGCCCGCATCGGGGCCGAGCTAATTGTGCCCACTTCGACACACGCCCCCCTACGCTAGGAACTCAGCCATCAGCCGCGGGCCGTCCATCGTTTCACTACCCAAGTCAGGGGAGTGTGTTGCAGTCGTCTTACAGCTGCCCGGATTTCGTTCCTGTGTCGCTGTGCCGTCTGCACAAGTCTCAGATGACGGCGCCGCTACTCCACGGCTTTCTGCCCCCTTCTGAAGCAGGCGTAAACGGCCTCATCCAACTCCGACGTGCAGTCGAGGCGTAGCACAAGCTGATATTAGCCTTCTCACCGACCCACCTGTATCACTCGCTGCACCTCAGTGGCGACACGAAACAAGTTGAATGTAGCATGTCGTAAGATGCCGTCAGCCATACCCAATACGCCCTTACGCCGCGCTGCATCCATCTCCCTACGGATCATCTTCACAGTCACGCACACCCCCCAAATTATTGCGTGCAATATGCTCGTATACATCACCCACGGCACGTGTAAATGAAGGTCCGAAGCCATTCCTTCTCGAAGCATCTGCACCCCATAGTTGCAATCTATTTGGCCGCGTCGCTAAGCATTCCACCCACACATCTTCATATCCCCACACAACCGTGCAATCTACAACCACCTTCCATAGTGCGACCTACGGCCGGAAGATTTGCGCAACCTGGGGTAAAGTTCTTTTGTTTGTGGAAGCACCGGGAATGTGCATAGAAGCTCAGCCTTAGCTTCCTTTCTTTATTGCTGCTCCAAACTGAAGCGTCACACGAGGCCCTTGGTTTCCGGCTTTATTCAAGCAAAGGATCCCTGGTGGGTTTCTGGCTGTTTCCGTTCGGACTTCACGAACATGTGAGACGGAGGCTCTCCGGTGGTAGTAAGAAATTGACAAGCCGGTGGTTCGTTGAGCCGCACCCATCGTTATGCGGCACCGAGATTACTTTTGCCTTATCGTCGTCTGGTTGTCCCATTGTCCGTTGCCGCTACGCAATGGACTGAATGCGCAGGAATCCAGTCTCGAATAAAGACGGGCTACGTAATACTGGGCTAGCGTCTCGAGCGTGCTTCGTCGTGGGCAACGCACGCTGCTCCACCGACCGACTCGTCACCGTTTCAGGCACCAGAATTCGGACCTATCGCATCGGAGCCGCCTCCAATCCAACGGTCCAGATCTTACTCGTCACGTCCTTGACTCAGTACATGGGATCTCTACCTCAGTACATAATACTACCGCCTACACGGTATGCTCCAATCGCCTGCATAGGACTGCGTGCGGTTCTGATTAGTATTTCCATCGAGCAAATGTCTTCTGTTCATTACAGGATAACATACTGGTGTCGGCTGACCTCCACGAAGCCAATACGGCACGATCCGTGAGGCGAAAAGGGGAGCATGCCCACGACACCCGTGATATTATTGCCCCCTAGGTAGCTGTCTCAGTACCAGATCATGACAGCAATAATACTGTCGCCTACGCGTCGTCGTTCAATGCGGGCCACGCAATAGCGACAACCAAGGAGCTTATGGACAAACCAGCCCCCGTGAATATCGAACCTAATAATCATAGAAAAGCCGATCTAGGCATCAACTGCTACATCGAGAACATCGCTGCCACATACACATTGCCAGCAACTATGCTAGGCATCATCATAGAAATCTCTTTGTCACGCGTAAATTTTCAGGACGTAGCATGTAACAAGTAATCAACACAACCAAGAATTCCATCACAGTGGTCTTCGTCATCACCATCATCATGTATGCCTATGTTTCAAGTGCAGTGTATAATTTCGAGATCCTGAGCATTGATGCCTTGATCACTTCGACAAGCGTTTGTATGCCGGATGGTCGTAAAGCAAGCAGCGTTAAACTGCTGCCTATCTCAGCTCGATCGTCGAGAGATGATGTAGATGAATAGTGGCCCAGCAACACGCTCAAAATACCCATGAAGTAAGTGGGAGTTACCTAGGGCAATCGCCAGACTCAGCATGAAGAGCAAAACGATGGTCAAGCATGCCCGTTCAGCTTGGACACTCGAGCATGACATATGGTCCTTGCCTTCGCCAGATTTAGGTTACTGGGACGAGGTAGCTACTGGTCCAGCCTCCCTACCCTGCATCACGATGCTAAGAACGAGACCACACAGCCACCCTTGCGGGCATGTACCGTGACTTAAGTACAGAGGTCTATATGCATCAATCTGATGTATAGGAACAAGATATCGTGGTCGAACCCAAGGCTCGTTCATGTGTAGAATGCGTTGGCATATCAAAACGATTTGGGCTCATCACTGCTTTTATGAGCAAAGGATGATGATACTACGATTTTCTCAAACCCGTACACACAAAGCGTTTCAAATATCGACTGACAAACCGGGACATGCTGCGTGCAAATGCGGTCAATTGCTGTCGTATGATATCGAAAAGGCATGCACGACTAGGCAGTGCACAAGCAGATGGTGGAAGATACATCATCATTTCTCTGTCAAGGAGCACCTGGTGCTACACCTATGGTCATGGTGGAGCTCTAACATAAACGCAGTGCGCTAGTCGAATAGCGACATGACGAATAATGAATTGAGAACGCGCCAGAGGAGAAGAATTGATAACCACGACCGATGAGGCTGTTGATGTCAAGAAGAAGCATATACTGCGGTGTATCGAGTCGTGCCCCCAGCCTCAAATATGGAAACTATTTTTACATCGTTCGCCAAATCGCGCCGTCCTGGAATCAGTCGTGGTATCTAAAGAAATTATGTGAGCACAACAATTATGGGACATCAATCTGGTTTGAATGTCTCAAACCGGAACGCCCACGAAACCAATCTTCGGTTTCACTCTCGCACCATCAGTGCTCTCTCCACCCCATTGACTACGCCACTCTTGTTCTTCAGCCTTGATCTGCTCAAATGCTTGTAGTTCTTCGGGCTTCATGTTTGATTTGTCCTCGTCGTCCAGGGCCGGTAGGCCGTTGGTGCCGACATCAACGAAGTCGCCGTCGGGCCCGGGTATGCCTAAGCCGGCGAAGGGAGGCTGTTGGAAGACTGAGTCGACCACAAGATATTTGCGACGAACGAGTGGAGGCACATCCATCTCTTCTGCAGGAACCTCCTCCCAACGTGCATGGGTTGGTTGTGTGACCTTGGGATAACACATCAGGTTGGTGTGTGGATCGTAGACGCCCGTGAGATTTGCTTTTCGTAGCCTGGAGAGGTTCGAGTTGAATCGACTAGAATGTGTCAGTCCTGCTGGTCATCAATAGCGTAAGGGAGTTATGCATACCTTGCAGCGCGACCATGCTCGAATTGCCAGTTGGCAGAAGTAATGTTGACCTTCCGTTTTCCAGGTGCAGGCTTGCCATTTGCAGTTGGCACGCTGGGCACACCGGTGTGGTAGACACTACTGGCACCATGCCAAGCCACGTACTGGTTCTTGTTGTACGGCTCCCCTGGAGGTGGAAGTCTGTCGTTGGGGTCTGCAAGCTCTCCCGCGACCGCGCCGCTTTCCTTTGCTGCTGTAACGTAGTAATCGTCGATGACCCTCTTGCCACCGATGATGATGCGCGCGCCAAACTCGCGGAAGACGGATCGTGCTGTGACGACACCGATGGCACGACCCTTGTAGGAATGAGGGATGATGTCGCGGTCGATCAGGTCCCTTTTCTCGGCGTCGTCGATGATGATCTTGTAGAGCTTCATGTGTTTGGTGAAGAACAGATAACTATCCCTAAACCCACAGCATCGAGCCGGTTCAGTCGACAACATGTACTGTCTGTCGCCCCTGCCCTTGATGGTGAATATGCGCACACGGTAGTCTCGTCCACCCATGAGGTTACCCAGTTTGTCGACCTTCTGCTCGCCCTCTTCATCCTCTGGTAGGTCAACCTCATCGTTGACTACGTCCATCATGTTGCCCTCTTTGTCTATGGGAACGCGCGTGGTATGCGACGGCCCTCCTTTTGGTGGCCTTCCTCGACCTCCGCCAGACGGCCGTCCCCGCTTGCGCTTGACGGGTGTGCCGCCTTCAGAGTTGTCGGGCTCGATGACGTTCCAGTCCGGTGGCCTGTTCTTAGGAGGGCGACCAAGACGCTTCTTGCGCGGAAATGGCTGGATGACTGCTGGAGACGGCGAACGCTCAGAGGGCGCGGCTTCCTCATCGCTTCCCTGGGCTGCTGATTCGGCATCTTCTTCCTCTTCTTTGGGTGTGTCGGCGCGCGATTCTGGTGCATCTATCATATCCTCATCGCTGTCCTGCTGGGGTGTTGCGCTGCGAACAGGTGTGCTGCGACGCGCTGCAGCTCGCGATGGGCGGCCGCGCGCCATTGTGGCTGGTCGAAAACGACGTTGGTGTGGCGCAGATGAAGCTGGCGACAGTTATCGCGCTGTGTATTAGCGACTCCAACTTCGAAGTTCGGATGCAAATTGGGTGAAGGGCGGTGTCGGTGGTTAGCGATGCTCTTGCACTCCAGGAATGCTAACGACCGCGACGTGAAAGAGCTAAGCAAGGGTCCCGCGCACGGCCCGCAGCCATCACGTGCAAGCTTAAGCCAGGCGTTTTCGTCAACGCCTTCCCCAGACTGAAAGTACATTTCCAATACCTCACAAGTGGCCATCGTTGGTGCGTCGGTGCATCGAGTGATTATACCCATTGCGGCAATCGATGTCAGCACTTGTCATGTTCAAGCAACGGCACGAAGCCCAAGCATGTTGCATCTCTATCACGGGAATCATGAGAAATGAGCTCGTTGAAAAGGTTTCCTCAGCATCAGATCAGTGAATATGGTACCTTGAGGTCTTGCCCTCGGATCATATAGACTCAGAGTATCGTATGGGCGTGTCGTCTGCATCCGCTCGATCTGTAGAGGGATTGATCCTGCCAAAGCCACCAGACACTCTTGGAACTTGCCACCTTGGAGTACACGGAGTCAATTCGGCAGGGCCAGACGTGGAGATCAACAAACATGGATCAGATGTCAAGAGCGCCGACTCCAACAGCTCCTACATCCTCGTGGCCTCACACGTTCGACGAACCCCATAGCCTCAACCACACTGCCGAACCTACAGTGCAGGACTGGGATAGTGACGAACAGCCATCATGCCTCTCGATCGCCTCATCAGTGCCAAAAGGAGCTTTACGGGTATCTTCTCTCGGATGAGTATCGCTCCGTGAGTTGGTCATGTTCCTGGCTTTGCTCTACTATGCTGACATTGTCAAGTATCGCGCCGCAATGCTCCCCTAAGCAAAACGAAAACAATGCCCCAAGCTGTGAGACTCCGGGATCATCCTCTTCAGTCGCGAGTCCAACTGCAGCGGATCCTGGCGACGAACCGCCTATCAGGGAGAGTCCATCCATGCGCAAAGGTCTAATGGGCTCGTTGCGAAAGCAAAAGCTGCGGAGCATCGGCTCTTTACGCAGCTTGCGCTCACCTACCAAGAGCAAGCAGTCTGATACATCAGAGTGTCTCATAGATAGTGTAGATGTCTTTCCCCACAACGGAGAAGTGACCACTGACTCCCTATCCCCTAGAGCCATCTAACCCCGAAGCACCGCCTCAACTCATCGCTTTTACTCTACTTCGAGGAGTCTCCCCCAGACAGACCAATATTCGATCTTGACCGCATGAACTCCCGGACCTCGAGTCTGTATGTCCACCATTCCTCGCCGGTACAGGTCCCATCATCCTTTGAACAGATCCCGCAATCACCTGCCGATTCATCGCTCATACCAGATGGAACTGTTCCCCCATCACCAGCGCCTATCCAGAAGATTCTGGACTCAGAAAAGACCATGGTTCGTTTGTCACCAGCGTACACTGAAGCGTACGAACCGGTTTCGGGAGCGATGAAAAGGCCAGCTTCAACAAAAAGCGCTCTCTCTGACAGTCTTCGGGAAGCTGCAGTCTACTTCAATGAGCCCCTCGTTCGCTTTCCAAACCCGGGATCCGACTACCTGCCTATCGACGATTGCTTTTCACTCCCTGCTAGGAGCGAAGACTTAGGGCTAGCATTAGCCCGAGAGGATCCGTCTGAGGTGAACCCTGTGGAGAACTCTCCAGTGTACAACAACCCGGATCAGCCATCAGGCGATGCAACCACTGAGGTCTTGAATGCAACGAATACAGACAAGACACCAGAGGAGCACGCACAGCTCATCCTTGAGAAAGGCTATCATGCAAGGGTCCACCGTCGAACGGATGGAGAGTGTCGTTTGAAGATCAAGCTGCTCGCCTTTTACCCCGAAGATGACGACGACGACAGCAAATGGACCAGCGAGACGCCAATCATGCTTGCTGCCGAAGAAGAAGAAAAGCTAGCGTCACAACTGAGCGCTATCATTCGGAATACTGGGCTTACCTCTATCTCTGACAGCAAGCTCGACGAGGCGTTTGCTACAGGAAAACTTTCAGCATATCTGGATGTTGACCCAAGTTGGCACGTCGCCAAGGAGGCGAAGATGGAAAAGCGCGATAGTTCCTGGGGCGAGCATACTGGGCTCTACGATGGCAGCGGCTATGGATCAAGGTCCAGCTCGAGACCTGTGACTGGTGTGACTGAGACGGCCGACGTAACTCGTACACGCATCCCTGGAGCATTCGTCGACCACGAAAACGAAGCGCCTGTGATCATCCGCAGGCTGTGGGACAATACCTATCCGCACAGCCCGGATACGGACTCGCCTGTGAAGGCTACTGTGGCTGATCCCGCAATCTCCGCAGCGCAAGAGCAGCAAAAGAACCCCTTGCAAGACTACGAAGCCTTCCAGGGGATGTTGGATCTCGGTGGCAACGCATAGATCCTCGACTACGCAAGTCGGCATGCAGGATCGTTTAAAATCACTTGGTCGGGTCGGGTCCTGAAAAGTGTGACAACGACAGATCGGGAAGGATACATCCGGCATCCTTCCCAGCAAACAGCATTCCATCGATAGAGTCTCCATAGTTATCAATGCAGCCCACAAGTTTCTTCCATGTACGCGTCTTCCAGCTCATCCCACACACACGCGCAGCGGGGCGTTCGCGTGCCCCTACTCTCATGATGGCACCACTGTACCCAATAGCCGTACATGTAATCAAGGTTCCAGTCGGCAGATCATTCGAGTCTTGCATCAGTTAGTCCAACCAACGGTAATCGAAAGCGGCGTAGATTCGGGCTCCAGAAGGTGTAGGAGGAAAATCAGGCCATGTCGGCTCATGCGACTTACCCGAGTATGGGACGGTGACGGGGGTGTGCAGTGGAGTTAGCGAAGATGTGCGGAACAGCTCGTACGATGTTTAGTATTGGGGGGTGGGCAGGAACATGATCTAACACATGATGATTATGCTGTGATGTGAGACGCCGTTGGTGTGCCGGCCTTGCGCGAAGGTGCTTGCTGGCGTGCTTAAAGGCGTCGTGGCGGGCGGTTTCGAGGCTGTTGCAGTGTCCCTCGGTTTGCCCCGCGTGAAGTTCAGAATGCCAGGCCAAATCCATGCTTCTTGTGGGGAGAACGCCAACGACGTCGTTATCCTTGGCTGCGGCATCATCGGCTTGTGTACCGCGTACTATCTCACAGAAAGCGGACATACGAACCCAAAGAGTATTCATCTGGTCGATTCGAGTCCGAAGCTATTTCATTGCGCGTCTGGCCTTGCTGCGGGCTTCTTGAGTGCCGATTGTACGTATAGGAGCACACGTCGCGTGCGACATGAACGCGACGCGTCACCCAACGTTTGATTGCTTTATCTGACTACGAAGTAGGGTTCGCGCCATCAGTATCCTCCCTCGGCGCGTTGTCCTTCAAACTTCACGCCGACCTTGCGAACGCGCATTCCGGACGTACAACATGGGGATACTCACAATCCACCGGCATTTCTCTTTCTCAAGACAGCGAATCAGCCATCGGCGGTAGCGGCGAAGACTGGCTTGAGAATGGAACGAGTAGAGCGCAATTAGCGAATCACAACAAGCCTTGGGGGGAACAGGCTGCTGGTCCAGAATGGCTGCGGCGCACACAAGAAGGCATCATGGAGGTTATAAGTAGGGATGGGACGACGGCACAAATCGATCCGTTGAGATTCTGCCAGTGGCTTCTGAGGGAAGTTCAGAAAAGGGGGATCACGATACATCAGCCTGCGACGGCGACATCCATTGTCAAAGATGCAGAGGGCGTGTTGTGCGGTGTGAGGATATCACAGGGTGATGACGCCGAGTCGGAGACAGAGTGTAAGGTCCAATCCATACTACCCAACTGCACATTTGCTAAGTAGCTACAATAGTACCATGTACGCGTCTCGTAATAACCTCCGGGGCATGGTCTCCACGCATATTCAGCACCCTCTTCCCATCCTCGAAAGCGCGCATTCCCGTCTCCTCGTTAGCCGGCCACTCGCTGCTCGTTCGGAACCCACACCACAAACCCGAAGAGCTCGATAAGGAAGTCTGCCACGCAGTCTTCGCAACAGACACACTCGGCTTCTCGCCAGAATGGTTTGCGAGACTGGGTGGCGAGCTGTATCTGGCTGGCCTCAATAGCACAAATATCCTGCTGCCGAATGTTGCAACAGACGTTCAAGCTAGTCCAAAGGCCATCGGACAGTTGAAACAGTGTGCGAAGGCTATGATGGTGAATGTCCCGGGCAAGGATATGGAGGTCTTGAGGGAAGGCTTGGTATGTTGATATTGTGGGTAAAATGTTCAACTAGTTTGCTAACTACAGGACAGTGCTTCCGTCCAGTCACATCTAGCGGTCGACCCATCGTATCACGGATACCGGACGAGAAACTCGGAGGTACCAGGACAAAAAATGAAGGGAATGGAGGTGTCTATATAGCGGCGGGCCATGGTGCTTGGGGTATATCACATGCGCCCGGTACTGGACTTGTGCTGTCGGAGCTGATAGAAGGGCGGGAAATAAGCGCGAATATTGAGGCGTTGCAATTACCATCGTAGAGTGCTCGTACTAAAAAAACAAGACGTGTATTGGCTATCTCTCAGCTGCCTGTGTTGTCACAAACCTGCGATTCCTGTGGGAAGGATGGAATCGAACTTTCTGCCTCTGACATCGTTCAGCGCACAATATCTTTGGAGTTAGCGCAAGACTGCGCCGCACGTTCGCACGGTGACTCTGCAGTTGGCCTTCTCGAACCGGCATACAATGCTACTATAGCAATTACAAGCAGAGACAATGTCTACGAATCCCGCCGACGAGGTTGCTGCGAGGAAACAACTTGAGCGCGAGAAGATACAATATTCACCCTTAAGTATAGGAATGACTGACGTCAGGGCCAAAGCTGAGATGAAAATACTTGTCAAAAAGTTCCCTAGCGGTTTCGAAGACTGGGGAGTCCGACAGACGTGTTCACGATGCGACCTGTAGAAGTCAAACGCTGCCTGCGACTGTGCCGCACGACTAGACTGGAGAGATTTCAAAGCGTCTCTTATGAATCAATGCCAACCTTCTATATTGCGCACTGTTTGATGTAACGCGCCGTGCTTGGGTCCCATCATCTGTGGTATCATTTCAGAGAAGCTGTCGTGGAAATGAATCTTCCGGCTCTTGATCATGGTCTCCGGAACTTTGCTGACACTACTTGCCCTCTTCCTTCCGGAGACGAAGAGATGCCTCGTGGGAAATGGGAGTCTTAACCAGCGCGCCTCATGAACAGATCCATATATTCGCTCGTACGTCGTCGTCAGACCAGACCCCCCGGCAACTGGACCTTCAAGCAGTGGTGGCTCCGCCTTTCTAGGACCTTTGAGATCACTATCAGCTCTCTGAAATCAAGCCAAATTCATCGTCATCTTGGCTAGCCGTATCACTTACACCATATAAACGTGTCTCGCAGCTTCCCTCTCAGCAGCAGTCATTGCGAATTATGACATAAACTACCTTACGACCGGATTGATCTGCCTTCCAAATGGTATTGGCGGTATCCTCTCGTCGTGTGCGTCCGGCAAGCTCCTTGATCACGACTACAAAGTCACTGCGCTCAGACTAGGCCTCCCAGTAACGTCTCGATCGGGCAATGACTTCCCCTTTGCAAAGGCTAGACTGCAATCCATATTTCATGTCATAGCCGTAAATGCTGTGGCTACTATAGGCTACGGTTGGGTATCAAACGCGAAGTCGCACATCGCTATACTACTAATAGTCATATCTGAAATGCTAGCGTGTTCTATGAAGTAGAGATTTGGTGGCTAGCTAATCATAGGTTGCGGGAGGGTCACGTCGCGATCATGAACATGACGCGTTTAGGCTGAACTTAGCGTCCTATGCCGCCTACATAATCAATTGATGACGCCTCGCGACAGGCTTCTTGCACCAACCCAACACATCTTCGAAACGATCCTAGCATGAATCTCATTAGGCTGCAATATCGTTCATGGCAGCATTTCGCCGCACGACCCGATCACCAACATCGCAGGCAATCATAATGCTGAGTCGTCCATTGTTTTCATAACGTCGCTCTATCGAATACTCCGACAAACACTCTCCTCCAAAATAGCATTTTTGCCAATCATGACTAGTTCCACGGCCAATACGAGGGCTGAGCCCGACATGTTCCAGCACTCTATTCTGCCAAAAGAGAAGGGCTCTTTCCGATTGATACAGGTTCTACCTGATCTTTCCGTTGACGGCCTTCTCGACTGCTACCTACAGAATGCGCTTGTTCAAGAATCGAATTATGTCTGTCTCTCTTATACGTGGGGTCAACCAGGTGACGAGTGCTCTATCAAGCTCGATGGAAAACTATGTTATGTGCGCCGAAACCTCTACGACTTCCTCCAAGCGGCACGCCAGCGTCTCACATTTTGCACTTTATGGATAGACGCGTTATGTATAAACCAAACCGACGTCGAGGAAAGAAACCACCAAGTTCAGCAGATGGGTAATATCTTTGCTGGCGCAAGAATGGTCGTGTCGTGGCTAGGCAATAATCTGGAGACGCAGACGTTTGTTCAGACAATGGGACTGGAGTTCGACCGCCAGGGTTGGAAAACCTGGGAAGATTTTTACCACAGCAAGCACGGTGATTCACCTCAGGGGAGCAGCCCCCAGAAAGTAGAGCCGAACTTCAGCAGTCGCTCCGTCCCAGCCTATAATCCGATTGAAGAGAATACATACGACTCCAAGATCCCCGACTCTTCACTCATTCAGAAACATTACGGTCGCGTTGCAAACAATGCGTACTGGAAAAGGGCCTGGGTCACACAAGAAATACTGCTAGCAAACGCGCTGGTAGTGATGGCTGGACAGCACGTCATCGGTTTCCTGTCACTCGCGCACGCCTGTATGTACACGATAAAGAAGTTACCTGAAGACTCACTCATGGAGTATGCGTACCTATTCTTCATGCAACAGGGCAAATACACCGAGGATAGCCCCAGCCGCTCGATCTTGCAAAACGGGAAGTGGCAGGATACCCATGGACTGCTCGCCCTCCTACGATGGTTCACAGGAAAATGTTGCGCACTTCGACGGGACCGCATTTACTCCTTGCTAGCGCTTTGCAAGGGTGGCGACAAAATCAGGGTCGACTACGATGGACGAGATGTGGAGCTTATACTACAAGTCCTCGATGCATGCAAAGAAGAAATGTGCTTCTGCACTGCCTCTACCGTTGCTCGTATTGTGAAGGGACCTGACTTCTCCCATCTGGAAAAAGAAGCTTACGCTGTCACTGGAACGCATGACTTCAGGCTCCAGGCATACAGCTCAGACCTGGAAGTTTGTCCATCATGCTCTCAGCAGGTATCCCGATCTCAGCCTGGTGTATACTTTTGCTTGCACTGTGACCCCGACGTTTGCAGTGATTGGCAAGGCCATCTTTTCTGGGATAATTCTCCTTGTGATGACGCAGTAGATCCCTTTCGGCGTCGTGACCTCCTACGATTAGCCAGAAAAGACCTCCGCGAGCCGCGCGTGCTGTGTAGGAAAGGACAAGGAATTGAGATCAACCGCGAAGAGGTCGAAGGCGAGTTATACACCTTGCGATTTTCTCTCGGTACCCTCGTCGATGTCATGCATGTCAAATTTGAAGACGAAAGGCGGGTTGTTAGATCGCACACATGTCGTGGTTGATGACGACAACCGCTCTTGGGCACGAAAACATGCCCAGGCAGAGATGCTGGGTATGTACGTATTGTATCCTAGGATTCAATAAGCATGTGTCTTGGTAAGGCCTGATTTGACTATGAAAACGGTATTCATCAAAATGAAAGCTACATAGTAAATGTGTCTGCGAATGCTTTCCACCGATCAAGTGAGTACATTAGCAAGTTACATGAAGGTTGGTAAACGCTATCAGATGCTTCAGACATGAACCCATACACCTGATGCAGAAGCACCTTTTGAGAACCATGAATCTCCCCCGAATGTTCCGATCGGTCACCCGCACATGGCAGCCGTCCCACACATCTACTCTGTGACCAAACTCAACGGCGGCGCGCCTGATCCTGTCTTGTCTGGCTTAGTCTTACGACTTGACATCATTCAAAGGTTTCCTCGCTATGTTTGTGGTTGCCATATTGAAAAAAGGCTTTTACCATCACGTTGCGTTCTCGTATAGTAAACCCATCTTTGATTTGTCGACAGAGGCTCGAAATAGATGTGAGATTTCTTGCGTCATCATTTTCGACAAATTGGGTGTCATCGGATTTGATACGCTCGGAAGTGTTGCAAGCGCCACCGATGCCTGTAATGCTGAAGTTTTGTAGCTCATTCAAGCCCAGAATAGTTTCAGGGCGTAAGCCGATCAAGAAGTTGTCGAATGGGAGTGCCTGTATTGACACCCATGTACGATCAACCCAGGTTGTACATAGCAACGGAGCATATACTGTGACATTGAGCTCGCGAAGTCATGAGACGCGGTTTATTACGGCAGAGTAGACTTTGTTGCAACTTAGCGCGAGGTCATGGGCGACCTTTCCGCACGCGCCGGGCTCATCTTTGAAGAAAAGAAACCCTCGCTGCCCGTTTACGTTCTTCGTCGTCGCCTTTCGGATATGGAGATGCATGGACTTGGCGATCAACGAGGCTACGATCCGACCAAAGACTGTACAGTCGTCGAACTCAAAATGCGCTGCTTCCAACAAACAAGGAAGAAGCTCACTTTGCAGGCTCTTACTGGTAAGATAAATAGATGGAAGAAACGGTGCGTGGTTCCTCTTAAGTCGAATCGACTGCTCATAGTCCTGAGTGAATCGCAAGTATGGCCAATTCTGACAGGCTATCGAATGCTTTTCGTCGAGGAAGTACTGCTCGTAGACCAAGCAACGAAGCTCCTATTAGAAGCCGTCAGCCAACGTAACAGTCAGTGTTAATGGATGCGGTGACGACACGTACGGCAGGTAGGGTCATGGAGAGATGGAACGTGGGTTGGTTAAGTAGTTCCTCAACGTATGGGTTGAGTGAAGCCAGGAGCTCCTCGAAGCCATCTTGCGCATTGTTTGCGTTCAGACAGTTGGCCGTGTCATGCATAGCTGGCGCCATGGTGTAGTCGGAGGTGGGGCGCGTCAAGCGGGTGAACCACGCGTGGTTAGAGCGGAGTGTGTTTACCACAGACTTTAGAAGTTAAGAGCGACCAGAATTAGGAAGCGACGGATGATGTTGTTCACCGCGCTATCTCATGATGTTGCGGCTAACTATAGTAGCATTGTAGTCTGCAAAGGACATCCGACGTCTGGTGAACGAGTTAGTTGCGTGTAATGCCTGGGTAGAGGCGATGCGCTAAGGCTGTTACACTAGAACTCATCCGGCCCGGCCACCCACAGTTGCACAGCCCTGCATTTATGGCACTGCCAGCCGAATTCCAGACTGAGTCGAGGTCCTTGTGTGACATCTCGAACAGCTTCGTCAAAAGATGCGTCGGCTAGATAGAGACATGCTAGAGATAGTCGCAGAGGTCTGCACTACCGCCCACCACGAGTTAGGTAGAAGAGCAACTGTGGGTGTTCAAGAACAAAGCCATCAACTGATATTTTGTATATTCTCGTTGATCAGCTAGCACTACTAAAATGCTCGGCACCTCGACATTACATCTCTACTCGTCATCGTCGTCGTCGTCGTCGACAACAGGTACAGGGTCAGCTTTGCCTGTGGTCTTGACCTTCCGGTCCTTCTCCGCACCGGCTGGCTTCTTGCCTTTGGGATTGGCGTCTTCATCGTCGTCGTCATCTTCCTCGGGCACCGCAGCGTCGTCATCATCATCATCGCTCACGTCGTCTTCCTCCTCCTCTTCATCATCCTCATCATCTTTGGGCTTGGTGCGCTTGGTCTTCTTCTTTGGTGCTGCAACTGAGTGAGAAACTTATATACGGTGATGTTTGTTGACAGTAGTAGCTTACGAGGCTCTTCGGCGTCGGAATCGTCTGAATTGAAGTTTGACCCGTCAGACTCGTCGTACCTACGTGACATGGGTTAGCACTGTGATGAATGTTCCATAGCCGAGAGTGAATCGCAGCCCAGAAGTCCTCGAAAATCACAAAGCAGAAACGTAACCGCCTGGAGAATCCAAGTTGAGAACGTTGTGAGCAGTGTTGCGAAGCGCGGTCGCGTCAACTGTCTCTCCACCCCGAAAGCCCTGGCGCAACATCGATTCCGCGCCTGTCAAACTTTCGTATACTCGGCAACAAACCCAAAGATCTCAATTTACTCAAAAGAAAAAGGCGATTTTGATGCCTTCGAGAGGGGATGCATGCGACGCGAAGTGCAGGGCCATGACGTCAAGGAAGCGCCGACTTACTCTTCTTCCTCTTCGCTCTCATCACTTGGGAGAGCGACAAGCTCCTCCTCCTGGTTCTTCCTCTTTCTTGTGGACATTGTGTTGTTCTGGCGGAATTTGAGGAAGGTTGGTAGGTCAAGGTAGTATTTTGGGGTAGGGCGAGAGCTGAGAGCTATGGAGAAGCTTGCGAGCGGGGACCCAGGGACGGGCGCCCGGATGAAATAGACACCACCTACGCAGGCCCTACCAAGGAGGCTGGGAAGCCAGGGCTCTTGCGGGCTTTTGCTCAATGGCTTAGTTCGGGCTGTTCGGGTGTGTCGTGGTCAGCCAATCATTGGCCATGTGGTCATCACCCGCATGGGAGCACCGGGATGGGATCACACAAGCGTTGCGCTGATGTTATTTTGCTGCAGGTACCGCTCGAGGTATCTGTTGATGCCAGAGACTCATCGAGAGTGTTGTAAAGACATCCATCTCAACAGCAAAGCGTAGAGTGGACAACCATGAATAATGTGCATGCGACCAGCCTCCACGATATTAGAGGGACACAACATCAGCCACGCAGCATGCTCGTTTACGTCAAGTCGTCCGTAACTACAGACACGTGTCAAATGTATTTCATATTTGATCTATCTACATAAAAGTATATATGAAGTCCTCTCGACGGCTAGCAATCCGATACAGTGTTGAAAGCAGCCGGCCCATAGGCACGGTGTTGGCCATGTGTTCGCAGCTCGAGGTGCAGAGCTCTCTTCCCAAAACGGTTAAGCCTACCCCACTTGGCGCCGGTCATCGCTAGTGCCCCTCCCGCGGTACCGCGTCTCATTCGTGCTGCCTTGTCGACTTTACTTTCTCACTCTCAATCGTTCCTCAACCGACTCGACCCAACGCTCGTTCGCACACGCGCCCTATATTCACGCACGCCCAACATGTCGGCACCTCAGGTCGCAAGGGCACCGCGACTCAAAGGTCTGGGTGATCCCTACCACTATCAATCCAAAGCAACGCAACGAAGCAAGGCGCCCGTGGCTGCCACCCAAACCGCGAAACGTACATACAACTGCTGCGCGAACCCCGAGATAGATACGTCCGACAATGAAGTCTTGTGCTACAACTGCGGTACTGTCCACGGCGAAAACAACATCGTCTCCGAGGTTACTTTTGGCGAAACTTCGGGCGGAGCAGCCATTGTCGAGGGTGGCTTTATCCACGCCAACCAGCGACACGCGAATTCCATGGGCGGCACTATGCGGGGTCTGGAGGGCATGGGGAGCAGGGACCAGGCTGCGATGAATGGCAAGAACTCCATCGTAGCTCTAGGCGCATCTCTCAACCAGCGCGAGGCCGTCGTAGAACAGGCTTACAGCTGGTACAAGCTTGCCATGAACCACCGATTCATTCAGGGTCGCCGCATGAGGACCGTTGCCGCTGTCGCGATCTACATGGCGGCGCGGAGACAGCCCGAGAACACGCTCATGCTTATCGATCTGGCCGAGAAGATTCAGACCAACGTCTGGCAGCTCGGAGACACGTACAAGCAGTTTCTGGAGATGTTGAAGGAGGACGACCCCGCACAGCTCGTGGGCACAAAAGCCGTCCAGGAGATCGAGCCCTTGATGCTGAAGTACTGTCGAAAGCTCGAGTTTGGAGAGGATTCTCACAGGGTCGCCGACGACGCCTGTAGAGTCCTGAAGCGTATGAACCGCGACTGGATGGTGCAAGGTCGTCAGCCGGCTGGGCTGTGTGGCGCTTGTATCATCATAGCCGCCCGCATGAACAACTTCCGCAGGACCATCCGAGAAGTCGTTTACGTTGTCAAGGTCGCCGACTCCACCATCACCTCCCGTCTATACGAATACAAGAGGACACAGAGTGCGGCTCTCACTGTCAACCAGTTTCGAGAGTTCGGGCCCCGTCTCAAGGTTAAGGCCCAGCCTCCCGCCATCTGGAGGCGCGCAGAAAAAGAAGAGCGGAGGGAAAAGAGGAAGCAACGAGTAATTGAGGGCGGCGATCCGGATACTACAGAAAACCAGTCGGGAGATAGCGAGGCAGAAGGGGGTTCCGACACGGCACCAAAACGCTCAAGCAAGAGGCGCAAGTCAAACGACGGTTCCTCTCAGCCAGTTGCTACCCAGACGGAAGCTTCTGGTACACAAGACAGTGACCCATCATCCGAGATAGCGGCTTTGGATGGCAACACGGAGGCGGTCCTTGAGTCTGTTGTCACTGCAGTTGAGGAAGTCGAGGCTGGTGAGTCCATCGACCCAGACTTTGTCATGCCTAAGAAGCGTGGCCGACCACCGAAGAAGCCGCGAGTACCCGTTGTCATCGCCGAGGAGGATCTCGAAATTGAGCACGAGCTTGAAGACGAAGTCACAAATACTATCAAGGACTGGGAGGGTATCTTCAAGGAAATCGCCAACAGCGAAGACCATGAGCTACTCAGGCGTTCTGGCTGGACAGCAGCAGAGATGGCCCGCGTCGCCGCCGACACCCGCGACGCTGTCCCCGTAAATACAGATCCTGAGATTGGCGAAGACGAGTTCAACGACGATCCTGATGTCGCCACTTGCATCCTCAACCCCGAAGAAGTCCGCCGCAAGGAAGCCATCTGGATCACGGAGAATGAACAATGGCTGCGGGATCAACAGACGAAAATGCTGCAAGCTGAACTCGAGGCCGCAGAGGACAAACCCAAGAAACCCAAGCAAAAGCGCAAACACCACCAAATGGGCGATGGCAATGTTCTCGAGGGCCAACCTGCGGCTAGCGCTGCTGACGCTGCCCACAAGATGCTCAAGAAGCGCGCCAAGGCCTTCAGTAACCACATCAACTACGATCGGCTCAAGGAGTTGTTCCCCGGTGGTCACCCTTCTGCGAGCCCATCTGGCAGCGGTCAGGGTGCAAGTTCAGCTTCAACCCCTCAAGCTGTTGTGCAGCAGCCCGCGGAGGTCGACGCAGAGGGCGAGGAAGAAGAGGAGCAGGAGGAGGAAATGGAAGAGGTAGAAGAAGAAGAGGAAGATTTGGAACACAACTACTTGGAAGACGATGATGAAGGATTTGCTAACGAAAGCTACGACTACTAGGAGTCTTGTCTGTGGTTCTTTTTTGGGAGCATCAAGAAGTTGGTGATTGGTTTTGCATTTACATGGCGAAAAGTTTACTAGATACCACGATAACCTTGGCCGGCTATCAATCACGAAGGATTTGAGTTTGCTTTCGTAGCTGCGTTGGCTGGAAAGTTAGATGCGGAGTATCTTGGGGTTTGGACTTTGCATATATACCCCCGCTTGCGAGCGTAGCATAGCATCATGGCAAAGGCGTCTAGCTTTCATCAATGAACATTCAGATCAATGTCCACCGCTTTTGCACATCCTAGTCTTCGCGCATACATCACAGACGAAAGTTAGAGGCAACAAATATTGTTTGTAGGGGAGGAATTCCCAATGATAGATTGGTCCCTGCTTCGTAACTCATTCACACATGCTCATGCTACCCTAGATTTTTGGTATGCGAATCCCTTGCCAAAAACGCCGAAAAAGTCTATCATGGAAGACACAGGCGCCTCATTTCCCGAACGGTGGTTGACGCCGTCCCAAAACTCGCTCTATACGCAAGAGACAAACTAGCACATCTTGTACTGGGACTCGCCCTCCGCTTGCCTGTGCATGTCGCTCGACTCGAGCTTGTATGAGATGCTAATGTCCAGATCGCGGTGGTTCTTCTCGTTGGGCTTGTTCTCTAGTATGCCGCTAATGGTCTCGCCCTCCTCGACTGTCAGTACGTCCTTGAGGTAGAAGACTGTCTGCTTCCAGTGGGTGTACTTGGTGTGGGGTCCAGTGGAGAAGCGGATGGGCTTGTGGCAGGCGGCGAACTCAATGTCGAACCATGCAATGACGGCGTGGACAAAGTCGCTGCGGCGCGCCTTGAGCTCGTACGGTAACCGGAAAGCGAGGTCGGCGACGGTGCAGGTGTAAAGGTCAAGGGTGATGACTGGGGAGGGGTCGGTGACGACGGCCTTGATGTCGACAGTGTCGACGAGGGGCTCGGTAATGGCGGTTGCCTTGAGAGGAGAGTAGTCGAAGCCCCAGACGTTGTCCCAGACTGTTCTGTTAGCAGTGTTGCAGCAAAACGGAGCTATGCGGTACTTACATCCAATCTTCTCCTCCTTGTACTCGCCGTCCTCGATACCAGCCATGAAGATGGTAGCCTTATCGGGGAAGATCAAGCCGTCCTTGACCAGGTACTTGTCGCGGGCGTAGAGAACGGTGTCCAACATGGACTCGTAGAGCAGGAAGTAGCCCATCCACTCGGATATTATTATGTCGACCTTGTCGAAGGGTAGGACAACCTCCTCCATCTTGCCCTGTAGCAGGGTAATCTTGTCCGACATGCCGTTGACCTCGACAATCTCCTTCGCCTTGTCGATGATGGTTGACATGTCAACACCAATGACGTGCTTTGCGCCGGCCTTTACGGCGAACCTATAACCAGCGTATCAGCGCGTGCTCGTGTGTGGTATGTAGAGGGGCGGGAGCGCGTACATGCTCAGGATGGATGTACCGCATCCGACATCGAGGACGACCTTGTCCTTGAACAGGTGAGGGTTCTGGTAGATAGCGTCGCGGTAGCTCTTGGTTCGGACTTCATCTTTCTAAAGCGCATCGTTAGTCGTTGTGGTGGAGGCGTAATGGCAGGGAGGGGCAATCGTACCAGCATTTCCTCGTGGATGCCTATGTGCGCGCATTAGTATCGTTCACCTCATCAGAGTGTACTTGTACGGACCATGGTGGTTGTAGCTGCACGCAACAATGTTAGCGAAACTCTACGTATATCTGGACCCTCAATGGAGCCTACCTGTTGAAGTAATGCGCCTCAGAGTGCGCCATGCCCGTGAGGGGGTCCTTCTTTCCGGCTTCTTGCTGGTTCGCCATATTGATAGTAGAGTGTGAGAGGAAGAGGAGGTGTAGGCGGTTGAAGGTAGAGAAACAGAGACTGGCGTTGCTCCGGTCCAAGTAGGATAGGGAAATTTTGGTTTTGGTAGTACCAAGCACAGACTCGCTCGGTCCAGGGTCTCACCAGGGCAATCTCGGTGGGAAGCGGGGCATCTGAGACTTTGGACGCTAGGCCCAAAGGGGGCGTGACACGAAGATGTTCACTTTTTTTTGCCGTCGATCTTAAGGGTCACGCAACCAACTTTCTTTACCATTATACTATGTGCGATACATACAGGCCAAGGCTTCAAGACAAGATACAGCATCAAGAACAACATAGTGCCAATTTGTAACACCCAATCAGAAAAAGCAGTGAGAGGGGTATATCGTGCCAAAAGCAGAGACCGCCCTCGTCGTTACGTCGTGAGACTTTTCGTTTTGCGTCATGTCGTGAAGTCGTAAGAGGATTTTGATCGTGATGTCGTTATATATCAAGGAATGTCGTACATTTTGGTCGAAAGGAAGTGCTCTGTTAAACTCTTCAAGAAGCCTAACGGACCCTCATGCGATAAAAGTTTTCTTTGAACTGTTTCGCGTCTATTTTATGCGTCAGCATCGGACACGTATAGGTGATAGGGATTGGAATACCTTCTGGCGAAGTAAAACTCAACCGGTACTTGCCGGTGGGACCTTTGGGTAGTCTGTAGCTGTCACTGAAGACGTACGGATGCAGCTTCTCAAACTGGATCGTTTCTGGACCGACGCGCTTCATCCAGTCACTGCGTCCGACATATGGCGTAACGAATGCAGTCCAGATAGGTATGTCCTTCATAGGCCCGCGACGAGCAGTAGCTTCGAACCGCACACAGCCCGAGTCCGTATCGTATTTGACGCGGAAGACGTGGAGATACTTGCCGTCAACAGTCTCACTAAGTAACGTCAGCATGGAACAAGAGGCTAGTGACAATCACCTACCCTGCAAACATGATCGTTTCCCCAGGCAGGAAAACGTCCTCGAGACCCTCTGCAATGGGGGTATGGTCCTGCCGTTTCATAGCTATGGCGGTACAATAGAAAAGTACCATGCCTGAAGGAACATTAGAGGGGTTTGCAGGATCGACTCAAACGTACCTACGTTCATATAGAGGGAAGCGTAGCCTAGCCCACAGGTCAAGTCGACCATCTTGACGATTGATGCGACAGAGCTGCAAGCATGATCCCGCGCGCCGTAATGCTAATGCGGTGATTGGGATCTGGTGCCTCATACGGTTGCCATTGTGATCCATAGTAAGGAAGAGTATCCGTGCACGGTTGTCGTCGGCCCTCCAGTATATTCTCACCCAGACGTTAGTTGCCTCGAATGGTAGTTCTAGGATCTTTTCAAAGCCATCGGTGTCTAACAGCTCAATCACTCTCGGTTCATCCCTCCCGAAGCACTCAGTAGGCTCCGAGGGGCTTTGGGATGGTGTGGAGCCGTGGCGTCCATCGAAGATCTTCATTGCCCAGTGAGCAACCGGCTCTGAGTCCGTCGACTGGTTCGAGTACGCCTGTGATGAGGCGGACGAATACGTAGGCGACTGAGGGATTTCTGGCACCGGCGGTGGAACATACGGTATGTCCCCTATGCCTCCCCACGTTGGTGCAATATGAGATCGATGAGGTAACGGTAGCGGTGCTGGCTGGTATCCGTACTGGGATGCCGGATACGTGGGGTGTTGGTGTATCTTCGGTCTAGACACCTTGGGGGAAGGCGGCTTTGGTGTTCTAGCACCACCCTTTCCATTGCCATGTACCGAGAGCTTGCTGAAGTAAGATTCAATCGGCGTTGGCTTTTGCTTCCTGAGCAACCTGGACAATGTGACCTTGAATTTAGCCAATTCGACCTCATCTTCGTTTCTGGACCCAGTCAGCTGTCCTGTTGAACACGTCGCTACTATTACTTACCCCTTCAGAGCATCGTGCATGCACTGCAGATACGTTCTAACAGTCTCGAATCTTTTGGGTAAGGACATGCCTTGTGCCGTGAAATCCGTAAGCGCATCTTCCCAGATGAGTGCGTACGGTGGTGTACCGGGGAAAGCACCAGGTGCAGCGTGTCTGCTCTTCTTGGACCTTGTGAAGATGTCTTGCACATCATCAAGTGTGTGTCCTAAGCTCGGGAGGCAAACCTCAAGATCCGTTCGTATGAAGCCTGCATATCTGCCATAGCGGGACGACTCCAGCGCCTCGTTCAGCTCAAGTAGAGCGTGCGATATGGCAAACAACTCTGCGATATGGCTCCTGACGTCTTTGCGATATTGAGGGATCTCGCTCTCGAAGGAGAGTAGGCCCGTTGCGGTCTCCTCAGCTTCCTTGGCGTAGTCGAGTAGTCGCCAGTCCATGACAGGTGCGTACCAGGGATAGATAGCCGAAGGAAAAGATTTAGTAGCAGCGCATGCCTTAGACGCCTGGAAATCGGCGGGGAAAGGGAAGAGAAATCGCTCAAGCGATGGCGCTACGAGATGAGCGTCTGGGGTAGACGTCTGGTGGCATGCGCGCTTGAGGAGGGTCGGCTCTTGACGTGTTTATGCAGCAGCACGCCGGTGAGAAAAGCCAATGACCTATGCCGACAGAATCCCTTACCAAGCCCTGCATGTAACCCGCGGTCTTCGCTTCCTCATTCACACAATTTTTCTGTTCAATCAGTTTGGCCCCCAATCTTCTAGAGTTAGAGTCTGTTAGTGTCGGCCAGCCTGCTGCATGCAATTGCGCTGCACCGCTGGGCAAGACGCTGTTCTGGACAGCCGGAGGCGCCACCCCGATAGCTGCACGTCTGCGCTGTCAGTGGAAGATCATTCCTATCGTACCGGCTCGCAGCACAAAAAGTATCGAAATGTCGAGAGCTTTCGGCCTAATGACATCGTTGGTCTGCATGTCGGCGCCGCGGCATGGTGTTCTGCCTAACTCTCTCCACTATAGCATGGACTAGTCCTGCAATGTAAGCAATGATTGTTCAACGGTTGAGGAGACATTCGAAGCCGCCACTCCGAATTGTGCGATGATATGCCTCTTGACAACTGTCAACCATGAGAGGATCGATGTGAGAGCCGCCACGCTTGAACTAAGCATCAATGACCAGCCTTAGATCGTAAATAGCAATCTGCTCGCCCTCTAATGGGTATGTGTGAAATGGAAGGAAGTGTCTTTTGGAAACGATGGGATAGACATGTAGATATATATGTATTGGACGGGACCAAGGCTGCGCCTCACTCTGTCCAAGCCACCACCGCAATGGGGCTGCAAGTCTCACCCATGAGCCCCTTTCGAGGCAGCCATATAACTGAAGTTGAATGATTTGTTTTGGTTGGTTACTAATGTGGGGCAATGACTTCTACGGCATTGACGGCAAACCCTCGATCTTGGCGAGATGATCCAGCATGCGTCCATCACTTCCCATGAGCCTTCAGCCTCTCGTCCACCAGCTTCGAAACCATCTTCTCTAGTATCGCGAATTCTCCATTTGACGCCCCTTCAAAGTATCCGGCTACGCTCTTCTCGACGTATTTGCCGACCTGGTCCACCTCGACATTCACGTCCTCGCCCGGCTTCTTGCTTGCCGTGACGACTTTCTCTTGTGTGTAGGCAATCAACATGACCTCCCACCAGCCCTCAGGACCATCCTGCACCTTTGTGACCGTCAGGCTGGCACCGTCAATCGTGACGTAACCCTTTTCGACAATGTATCGCAGGACCGAGGTATCGCGAGGCTTGAAGCGGAAGGTAAGGGCGTTGCCGTCGGGCGTTACCGACTCGATGGTGGCGATTGTGTCGACATGTCCTTGTACGAAGTGGCCGCCCATACGCGTGTTGGCAGAGACAGCGCGCTCTAGGTTGACCTTGGAGCCCTCCTTCAGCGACCCCAAGTTTGTCCGCCGGAGGGTTTCGGGAGCGCATCCAATCTTGAATGATGACTTGGTGAATTCCGTGACGGTGAGACAGGTGCCTAGCTGGATTAGACAATATGCAACTGTCATGGTAGTGCCTACATACCATTGACGCTGATGCTGTCGCCCAGATGGGCGTCACCCAGTATGTCCTCGCATCCGGAGATGGTCAACGATGTGCCGCCGCCTCCCGAGGCCGTCTGGTCGAGCTTCTCAAGGGCGGCAACAGCTAGCCATCGTCAGCCGAGCCGCGCAGAAAAGACAATTCATTGTAGCTTACTGCCAATGGTTTCAACGAGACCAGTAAACATGGTGGGGGTGGGTAATTGGAGAGAGAAACTTGGTGGGGTTCTGCAGCTAACGATGAGCCTCGGATCACCGAACTGGAGCTAGCCCATCGTCGGGAATAGGTATGCCGTGGAAGCATTCCGTTACCCGGCACATGTCGCGATCCTACGTACACCACATCGAAATGGCAAACATGCTGCTGAGAAGCTCAAAACGCGCTTTCCAGGCAACTTTGTCAAGTTCACGGTCCAATTGGGCGCGATGTGGCCATGTTCGACGGCTAGCAACTGAGGCATCGAATGCAGATGCATCTAACCTGCCTCTAGCCGGCATCAAAGTGCTTGACATGACAAGAGTACTTGCTGGAGTGAGTCACGAATGTCAAGCTCGCAGGAAACTCAACTAACTTCCAGTAGCCATATTGCACGCAGATATTGGGCGACCTTGGGTATGCGATGGATGACCCTGTATGGACCAACAGAGGTTGGCGCAGTCAAAGGTTCCGACATTGACATCGTGTTAGAGCAGATGTGATCAAGATTGAGCATCCAACAAGAGGAGGTGAGCAGGGTGTTTTGCAACTTGCTTTTTGGCCCAACTAATCTGCCTAGACGACACACGAGCATGGGGACCGCCTTACGCGAAGTACACCGACAACCAAGAGGGACCAGGAGAGAGTGCCTACTACTTGGGTGTTAGTCAACAATCGTTCTCACAGCTCCTCTAAGACTCACTAAGAATAGGTCAACCGCAATAAACGATCGATAGGCCTGTCATTCCAGCACCCTGCCGGTGTAGACATCCTGCATCGTTTAGTCAAAGAATGCGATGTTCTTGTCGAGAACTACCTCCCAGGCTCTCTAGCAAAGTACGCGATGGACTATGATACTGTGTCAAAGATCAACCCCGGCATCATCTACGCCAGTATCACGGGTTACGGCCAGACAGGCCCCTACAGAAACAGAGCAGGTTACGACGTCATGGTCGAAGCGTACATCTCTCGACTCATCTTTCTATCATCATATCAACACTAACATCCCCTAGTGAATTTGGCCTAATGCACATAACTGGAACCCGCGATGGCCCACCCGTCAAGGTCGGCGTAGCAGTAACCGATCTAACAACCGGTCTCTACACCTCCAATTCCATCATGGCAGCTCTCTTCCGGCGCCTCAGAAACCCCAACTCCAAGGGCCAACACATCGACGTCGCGCTATCAGACTGCCAAGTTGCCACCTTGGCGAATATTGCCAGCTCCACTCTCATTAGCGGAAAACGTGACACTGGACGCTGGGGAACTTCACATCCATCTATCGTACCATACAAGGCGTTCAAAACAGCGGATGGAGATATCCTGCTCGGAGGTGGAAATGACAGGTTGTATGGAGTGCTGTGCAACAGGTTGGAAAGGCCTGAATGGATTCTGGATGAGAGGTTCAAAACGAACGCGTTGAGGGTTCAGCATAGAGACGAGCTAGAGAATTTGATTGAAACGGAGACGAAGAAGAAGACTACGCAGGAATTGCTCGACGTGCTCGAGGGAAGTGGAATGCGTAAGTACCAATTGTGTGCCTCGTGATTCTTGGCTAACAACTTCAGCGTACGCTGCTATCAACGACGTGCAGGATACATTGAGCCACGAACACGGTATGCATATTATCTCTGCCGGAACAGGTGTTTCTTATTGATACTAATCTGGAGTAGTCCTCGCAAGAAACATGGTCAAAGAGATTGAGCACCCGGCGTGCGGACCGATCAAACTAGTCAACACACCTGTGAAATGGTCAGACTCGACTCCAGGCATACGACTACCTCCGCCCACACTAGGCCAGCATACGGACGAGATACTTGGTGATACATTGAGTATGAGTAAGGAAGAAGTGGCCAATTTACGCAATGAAGGAGTTGTTGCATAGCCTATACCCACTGCTCCAGCTCAGGTCTTGGGTCCAATATAGCAAAGTCAATATCTAAAAATTCCACCTCTTGAGGACTATACGCTAGGCCAAATTTGCTCTTGAGTCCGGCCCTAAGTATCCTGCCAAAAGCATTGAAATCGTCATCCTCGCCCATAAGTTCTACAAGGACTGGATGGAAGTGACGTTTTTTCTTCCTGAGATCTTTTAACACCACCGAAAAAGCATTATCACGTGCCCAACTGTCGATGATGACCTGTGGCTCAGACCAGATCGAAACTTGAAGCGGCCGGCGATAGGCGATAGTTGAATTGGTGAGTTCAGGCTGGATCGGGTTGAAGCGAGACGCAACGTGATACCCGTGTGCTGGTTCGTTATGCCATGTCCGATTAGCCCTGATTCCGTGTACTTTCAAAAGCTGCGAAGACGAAGTTGCGGAAGTGTGACCGGATAATGGCTTCAGTCTGGGGCTTTGGCCATTCGTAGTCCATGTCAATAGATTAAAGCTCGGCGCCGCTAGGGAAGGCATATTGATTATTCGTCAGACAATGCATGTTGGTAGACAAGTAGGCCAATACCAGCAGATACAGGTATACGCTTCAGGCGGATAGCAAGTAGTGCGTCGTCAACTGCTGTCGGACAGTGTCTCTGGTGCAGCAGGTAGAAAGCATGAGATTTGCATTTGTCGTCGACAGCTTACTTGAATCCACGCGAGATGCGTCTGTACTTGAGCATGCAGGGTGGTGCTGGATTCAGCGATGCAGAGGAGAATTTCGGCGGGAAGGTTGTTCATATTGGAAGCAATGTATTTGCACTATTTTAAGTCCGTAAGCTAGCAGATTGTAAAGTAGAGTAGGTTGACACTAAGAACGAGCTTGTTTGTACTCCGCATCCCCGCGCGCCATCGCATGGGTTACGTCACAGCGTGTCATGGGCGACGCGACGGTTGTCCAGGGCAACGGCGTTCTGGCCATGTTGACCGACACGGGCGCGTGCACGAGCGGTTCCACATGCATCTGGTACACCAACGCCGACTGACATTTTGACTGCATCGCCAAATCAGAAACAAAACATAGTCATAATGGAGCCTCCACCACGACCCTCGAGTTCGCTGTTCGATGTCTTTCTGCGCCTGCGCCCCTCCAACTCGGGAAGTGCGCGCTTCCTCAGCGTTGAAGAGAGCGAGAACCCTCATCCAACACATATAACGATACAACCGCCTACGCAAGACAAACGCAAGCGTGCTGTTGAACGGTTTGCCTTCACGCAAGTCTTCGAGGAAGATGCGCGGCAAATGGATCTGTTCAAGGGCACTGGTGTGGTTCCTATGATTGAGGGAGTCATGGGCGCACCGGGCCACCACGGCCGAGATGGACTTCTTGCAACGCTGGGTTGCACTGGCTCTGGAAAGGTATGCAACTCTTGAACGGAGCCTGCAAGTCTGCATGTTAGATGTTAATGCGACCACAGAGTCACACGATCCTTGGCACCAAATCCCAGCGCGGCCTCGTTCAGATGACACTGGACGTCATTTTCCAAGCATGCGACGAGCAGCTCGTACAATCCTTCTATGGTGCCCCGGCGTTCTCGTCGCTCGCAAACGCAGATGTGTCAGAAGCGCAAATGTTTACTGCGACCGCATACATCGAATCTATGTATGGCGAAAACAACCAGTCGGGACGCTATTCACGAGCGCAAACCCCTGTGGCAGTAAGTCCAACCCAATTTGATACTGGAGAATGAAGAACTTGAGGAACTCAGGCTAACGAGCGAAACAGGATTGTAGTATATTCTCCACAGGAAGCACATACAAGTCAAACAAGATGCCACGCCCGTCAACACTCCCACAATCCCCTTCGGTCGCCGATATTCAGATACCCACAGACCCGAGCGCAGAATACGCAATTGTCATGTCAATGTACGAAGTCTACAACGACCGCATCTTCGACCTGTTGAGCGGAAACGCCACAAAGAACAAGCAGCCAAACATCAAACGCAGGGCGCTCCTCTTCAAGAGCACCGAGAAGAGCCCAGACCGGAAGGTTGTCGCCGGTCTTACCAAGATCATCTGTGGAAGCTTCGAGGAAGCTATGATGGTGCTGGAAACAGGTCTCATGGAGCGCAAGGTAACTGGCACTGGAAGCAATGCTGTGAGCTCACGGAGTCATGGCTTCTTCCACATTGAGATCAAGAAGAGAGACGCAGAACGCCAAGGTCCATGGTCCAGCAGTAACCTCACTATAGTCGACCTGGCAGGATCGGAACGTGCCCGAAATGCTAAGACCGCCGGTGAGACGCTTGCGGAAGCTGGCAAGATCAATGAGTCCCTCATGTACTTGGGTCAGTGTATGCAGATGCAGTCTGACAACCAAGGCGGCTCAAGGGTGCGTGTACTCGCCCATCTCGTCATTTCTTCAACTAACATGATCTCAGAACATTGTGCCCTTCCGCCAATGCAAACTCACCGAGCTCCTCTTTTCAAACTCGTTCCCTGCCTCCGCTCGTCAAGCACAGTCGCATCGTCAGCCTCAGAAGTCTATCATGGTCGTAACAGCAGATCCCAAAGGCGACTACAACGCCACATCGCAGATCCTCCGCTACTCCGCTCTCGCTCGCGAGGTTACCGTTCCACGAGTGCCATCTACCTCTGACACAATCGGTGTACCTCTCAAGCGCCCTGGTACAGCCTCCTCGGGACGCGCGACCCCTTCAGGCCGCACAACGCCCTCGGTTGTAATGGAAGAGCTTGAATATGCCAACGCCGAAATCGCACGCCTTACCTCGGAAATCGAAATCTTTGCTCTGCGCCTCACTGAGGAGACAGCTCGCAGGAAAGCAGCTGAATCTTCCTGGGCCGCAGCCGAAGATCACATGGTAGATCTCGAGCAAGAGATCCGCGACGAATGCTATCTCGAGATGGAAGCTGCGGTCGAACAAGAACGCCGAAGATGGCAGACGGCACTAGACAACGAACAAGACAACCAGCAAGCACACATCGATTCCAAGATCGACGTCGTCATCCGAGCGACCAAGGCGCAGATGAAGCAAGAGATCAAGGTGTACGAAGACCCAGACCCAGAACTCCGCGACAGGGTCGACGAACTGGAGCGAGAAAACGAGATGCTGCGGGCCAGATTAGAGGCCAGTGAGCGCGAGACGATGCAGCGATCTGCGAGTCCGATCAAGAAGATGAGGATTCTGAAGAGCAAGAAGTGGCAAGATCCTGAAAGCACGTTGGGTGGATATGGCATCGACGATGAATGAGTGACGACGTTGATGGCTTCGTAACGAGGTTATGCACGGGTTGGCGTTTGGTTTAATGTGGCCGTTTCAGGCCCGGTTCTTGCTTAGCTATACTTCTCGAGATACCACGCTTTCTGTTTAATTTTCCTGGATAATACAAAGGAGCCTTCTTTCACCTTAGCAATTCGATTGCAAGGTTATTGACCATAACACTTAATTGTATTACTGTATGCATGCTTCTCGAGCTTTACTTTCGCTTCGTCAAAAGGTCCCTTGGTGAAGGTTGCCCTTTCCCTTTGGTGAAAGCAACCAAGCGCTCCACATCCTCGCTATCCATATCCGACAGCTCATCATCACCAGTATCCTTAGCAGAGCCTTCTCCAGCAGCATTCTAAACTACTTTCTGTCCATCTCCCATACCATCCAGCGTGCCATCAGCACCCAGTCCCGTCCCGTCCCCCTGGTAACTATGGCTGAATACCTCAAAGTTGTCGTCGACGAGCCAATTAAGATCTTCGCTCTCTGGCCGTAGTGTTCGTGCGAGACCGTTGCCAGCTTTGGGGTAGTGTGCTGGGGGGTCGGTGTCGTAGCCGTCGTCTTCTTCGTACTGGTTGCCTGCCAGATCTATCGTTGTGCGCGGCTGGTGGCTGCTCTCGCCGAGGAGTTGTGCTTCTGCAGCATCCATCTCGGAGTGCGAATGTGATGAGAACTGTGGTGTGTGGCTCGTTGTTGCGTGGCCGTTTGGAGTCGAGGATATTTGCCCGAGATTAAAGGATGGTGGGGGTTGGTAGTTGGTGTAGTGTTGTGTGGTTAAGGGCTGTTGTTGTGGTGTTTCTGACTTGATGGCTGCGGTCTCGGGTATGAGGCTCTTTACGTTTGGAGGGAATATGGGCAGTTCTGGGTGTCGGATCGTAGCGGTTAGGAGGAGGCCAACCAGTTGGTGTTGTGGCAGGGTGTTGAAGTATGCACGTTTCTGCTGGAGTTAGTACACAAAGTCCTAGCAAAGATGCCGTTAAGCGATTGCGTGGATGTACCTCATCTATAGTCAGATCCTCCGCAGCGATCAGATCCTGTGCGCCTTCTACAACAGTCTGTTTGGCCCGTATACATGGTCCACACAGCCATTCCTTCTCCAGCACTGTGACGACCTCGTTGTCGATGGGCGGGTTATGGCAGTACTGGTGATATGCGGTACTACACGCATCACAGAATACTATCCGGTTGTTCGACGGATCGGTCTCTCGGTGACAGGTCTTGCACTTTGCAGCAAGTAGCGTCTTGGTAGACTTCCTCCGCTTCACCCCCTTGGCTGGCTCTGGAATGACGGGTACGAATGTGACGGGCTTGTTGACGCTTCGGCCGGACTTGGTTTGTGTGGGTAGTGGTGTGTACGAGTCTGAGACGTCCGAGTCGTCGTTGTCGTTCTACATCATGTCAGCACACAGTCGCAGAGCACACCACAGCGACTGACATTGCTCTCCTCGTCACTCTCGGACCGCTTCCGCTTGCCGCCTCTACCCCCACGTCCTCCGCGACCGCGACCCCGTGCCCTTCCGCGCCCTCTTCCAGATCCGCGACCAGAGGAAGGACCCGACGGTGATGCGCCAACTTCCGTCTTCAGTCCACTTGGTGTGCTAACTCTTCCCCCTCTTCCTCTACGTCCCGTACTCGCCGCTGGCGGGGGCGTCGGCAATTTGTCGCTGGTAACGTAACTCTGCAAGATCTCTGCCCGCTTCGCCTCAAAGGCAGCACTTCCGGCGGCATGGCCGTTCTTCCCTTGGAGGCGTTCGAGAATCGCTGCCGTAGATGCCGAGTACTGGGCGAAGTTTGGGCCTCCAGCAGCGCCGCTATTTGTAGGAAAGGTAGACATTTGCGACGACCATGCAGTGGGTGTTGTCGACTGCGGTTCTGCATGTGGAAGCGGAGGTGCGGACATGGTGGCTGCGCCGCCGATCGCAGTTGGCGCGCCATTGCCAGCGCTAGATTCGTCGTTTGGCGGGTTGGGCGGGTTCATCCTGCTCTAGTAAGCCCCGCGACTGTAGCTACGTAGCTAAGAATGACGCGATTATGTTTGTGGAGCAGATAGATGGCATGCTGCAAGTTGACAATCAATTCGTGAGAGGCCGCGGTTCTAGCCTAGCTTGACGCTAACGAGTAAGAAAGCGCATTGCATCACTGGTCGCCCTTGCTCCCATGTACACCATCTAAAGCATCCATCTAATTCTAGAGAAACATGCTATTCGCCTGTATGGTTTGCGCCGGATCCTAACACAACTCCATCTTCACGTCGGACTACAGAACGGTCATCGTCTCCCCTCCTCCAGTCTCAAACTATGCCCTAGAAGCCTCGTACGCTATATCCCTCCTAGATGCCGTCTCGCCTGGCATCATCATTTCAATCTCCGATTCCGATTTACCAGCCTTGACGTACTTCTGCTTGCCTATGGTATTGCCCAGCGCAGGGAAGCACAGTCCCGGGTGAAATACGGTTTGCGCCGCCACCGTAATCGCGATCATCGCACCCTCTAGTATGATGAACTCAAGCTCGTTGCGCATAAGTTCACCTCCCCAGCCTCCGAGTAACTCGGGTATGCGGTACACGCATCGAACAAATATAGCGGTGTATGCGACTACAACAGCACCGCAGAAGAATCGGAAGCGTCGGTTTGACCAGAGTGTGAGCGCCGAAGCGGAGAGGTGATCGCGTCGGCGGTAGGTGCGGAAGCTGTACTCCAGTACGAGTAGGCCGAATATAGCAAGTACTATTTGGCTGTCAGCTGAATTGTACAAGAGAGTATGGGATTTCAAACTTACCGACAACCTGCCAGATGATACCCGCAATCATGAGATCTGTCCCGACGTCTCCGATGCTCTCTCCCGGGTCTGCCGTGGCCGCGAGCGCTCCACCCGCACTCTGCATAACTAACGAAGAAATGTCACAAGCGATGAAGATATACGTGTACCAACTCGGTCTGACTCTGCTCCACTCTTCGCCAAACTGGATGACCACATGTTTCAGTGTCAAATAGATACCAGCAGCCAAGAAGGCGGGCGCAAAGATGACTACCATCAACTGTTAGCAATGGGTTCTTCCCCAGTGCAAAGGGCATAATTACTTACGCATGACAATCTGGATTGTGAATCCAGTTTCACTCCAAGGATTCCTGTTGAGCAGCACCCTGCCAACATACCCAAGGCATTCAGCCAAACATCCCAGTCCAACGCCGATCATGTAAGTCCATGTCTTGTGGCGGATACCAAAGTAAAGCTGAGCGATGAGGGCAAGACCGAAGAAACCCGCGAAAAACGTGTTGGCGGCGAGATTTGGTGTGTACCCGTAGATTGTGGCTTCAACCGGACATTCAGGCGAGATATCAATGCAGAATTCGGTGTCGCCCATTGTAATTGTGTTGGAATGTAGGCGTCGATGTACAGGTAGGCTTTTCTTGTTAAATTGTTGTATATATCAAGCAATAGTTGCAAATGAGCATGCCTTAAAGACACACTCATCTGCCCATATATGTACAGCTTCAGATTCACAGATTATCAACTTGGTGGCTTGCACTGCCCTTTGGCTATCTACTCTATCACCGCTGTCTCTCTGCGCACTGGTTGCAATTCTAAATCAGGAGTCGCATGTATACGTCACATATTCCAAACATGGACCATATCGCGACGCAGGGCGTATGTCGCAGGAATCCTTGCTCCACTTTCAGGATGATCATCGCACAAAGCTCCGGTTCTGCCTAGAGGAATGATGGCTGAGCGGAATTCGCATGTTGCCTTAGGGGCGGGAGGCCTTGCGGGCCGTGGCGCAGACGAAGCAACTTTCGCCCGTCTCAGGTCAGCTTACGTTGGTCAACTTTCCGCTCTATAGCCAAGGCTGAGGCTTGACATGCTGCTAATCTCTAATAGGGCGGCAGGCGAGACGACCAACACCTTCTTCGTACAATCTAACCAAAGTAATGCATATTCGTCAGTGTAGGTGACCAATGGCTTTCACGTTAAGATGACCCGCTATTCCATGTGAGAATATGGCGGATAGATTTCAACAGCATTGGGAAATAGTAAGATAGGGTCTCAAATCATTTTGAATTCGAGGTGTTCATGTATAGTTATGTGAAGCGATTGCTATGTACTCGAGCTTGCGACTGTTCATCGCCCGAAAACATCGGAGTTATGAGCATTGATCAGTGCCATACCCTCCTTTCTGTATGTGTCGGGCTCCAAGTAACTCGTGACGTTGGCGTCGAAAACCATGTCCATTGGGTTGGCATTGTCGTACCGAGCCCACATGGCCTCCGTTCCGTTGTAGTCATACGTCTCCCTCCATGCGTTAGGATCAAGGTCGTGGATGAAGCTGACCCAGTTGCTGTTCATGAACCTGGAAAGATCGCGGTAGTTCTCCGTCTTATTCTCGAACGGAGGGGTGGCAGCAGGTAGGTAGCCGACACCATTTAGGTTGAGGAACACGAACGAGACTTCTTGGAAATGTGTGACACCGACTGCGGCAGGAAGGCCAGCCGGAATGGCGTTGAAGCGGTAGCAGTATGCCGACACGTTGGCGGCGGCCCATGTCTCGCAGGTCAATCTGCGGTTGGCGATAAAGACCTGATCACCAAAGTATGAGGCTGAGCGACGATACTGTGGTCCCCATTCCGGGCCCAGGGTGAGGTTACCCAAGCTTTCGATCACGTTGACGGTAGGATCGTTAGGGTACGCTACGAGGAGTTGCTCTGTCAAGTTGGCGGGAACTCCGCTTGCCATGATGAAGGTACGAAGATCTTCGGTGGAGTTCACAGGCGCCGGGCTAAAGGCTGAGCCCTCATCCGAGTTGGCACCCGAGATGATTGGGACATGAACGAACTCGCCTGCGTCGAGCTGGAGAGAAGTGCGCTTCTGGATGAAGTCGCCATCCAGACAAGGCATGAATTCCGTGATGTTGAAGGTTGGGGTCGTCGTGTTAAGCGCAGTGTTGAGCTGCTCTGCGGGCAGCTGACGGAGACATTCGAGCGGGCTGGTGGTGTTTGCGCAGTTTGTTCGGCGAGTGAGTTCGTTGTACATGTCGGCGTAGCCTTCTGCTGGGTCCGGGAGAGAACGGAAGGCGATAGGGTTGCCGCTCTGCATGATGGCACCACGGAAGAGCTTGTCATCGCGTCCACTGTAGGCTGTCAAGTGGAAGCCAACGGAAGCTCCACCAGCACTCTCACCGTAGATGGTAACTTTCTCTGGATCACCTATTTCCTGTCAATTCTTGTGCTTCAAGTATTCCAATAGCAAAACATACCTCCGAAAGCTTCAATGTTCTCCTGCACCCATTGCAGTGCGAGACGTTGATCCCTCAAACCGAGATTGAGGTTCCCGGTGTCCCTGACTTCTTCGCTTCCACTCAGGAAGCCCCAGGCAGATAGTCGGTAGTTGATGGTAACAGCAATGATGGGCTTTCCAATCTTTTGAGCGTTGTCCACGGTGAAGGACATGTTGTAGCGCTGATCGACACCTCCTCCTTGGAAGAAGCCGCCTCCATGGATCCAGAATGCAACTGGAAGCTTGTCCTCTGCACTGCATCCTGCTGGACGGATGACGTTCAGGTACAGACAGTCTTCCGATATCTAGAATGAGGAAACAAGGTCAGTGCATGCGAGATGGCTATATGGCTTATTCGAAACTTACCGGGTAGTTCCATTGATCAGACCCGTATCCGTAGCACTGCAAGCTCTGTTAGCCATATCGTATATAATAGACAGAGTTATGTACCTCAGGAGAGTACTGCGTCGCCGGCTTTGCCTCATCCCATGTAGCATTGAGGCTGACAGGGGTTCTGAAGCGGAGATTCCCAACAGGCGGTTGAGCATACGGGATGCCCAAGAAGAAGTCCTGATCATACTCGGCAGAGTGTGTGCCAACGTATGTTCCGTTCTTCGTCTGAGCAGTGGGCGTAGCAGCTTCGGAAGCTGCTAGGCCGAGAAACAGCGCGGCGGCTAGAGAATTGCGCAACATGGCAGGCGATGGCAGATGGGATCAAGCCCAAGCAATCGGTAACCTCAGCCATGCTTTATAGTCACAAGCTTTAGCTCGCTGTCGCTCGGCAGCCTCGTCTCGGGGGATAAAGTTCGTGTCGACCAGCGCGACTAGACATCTGCCGCTCCGTCCTTGAATCCGGGGTATGACGGTTTTGCACGCCAAAAATGAAAATGGTCCGAACCGAGGATGGAGTTTTGCGGGGATCATGACATCGTGACGCTCGTTGGTTTTCTCGGGAGGTGGAGAAGCGTGCACGACCGGGTCTGCCATTGGATAGATCCATGCCCGATGTTTACCCGCAGACCTCTAGATGTCTCCTAGCGTGGCAATCTGGACGATGCTGTGGGGTGCAGGAAAGGCAAACCCCAACGGCATTTCTTAGTCTGGGGCTCAGACTTTCCCCGGTATTTTGGCATCCAGAAGTCCTTCCCTCTTCATCTTGATTATTGCATATGAAGTATGAGATCTTTAGGTTACTTTCATAGTATTGAGTAGAACCGCACGTACTAAATGTGCAATGGGTACTGCTAAGATGGATGTACTAGACAAAGGTATCAAGAAGCATTCGGCAATTCCATCGGAGGCACTACGGCATTCTACCACCGGGACAGGAATCCGCTTCATGAGGCTCTTCCACCGACTCAGCTTTCTGTCCTATCGCCAAGGTTCCTTACTCGGTAGTATTGGTAATTGTGGTGCACATCGCGATTCACCCCAAATCGGCCTCACCACAACTGTCCTAGCCCTTTCTCTTCATTTCGGGGTGTGAGAATTTTGTCGCCGCGACAACTCCATTCGGTCTGCCATCCGCGAGACTTGACCTAGGCAGATAAATATGCGGCGTTCTGATTGAACTGGCCATCATTGGTTCTTGACAACCAACGCATGCTAAGAGGTGGGGGCTCCGCCAGCCCAATTATTCTGGGGCAGGGCCTAGGGCCACAACCACCTACACCTCCACTCTGCGGGCGGCTGTTGCTTCTTTCGAAGCATAGTTCGTCGCAGGGAGTTTCCTCGAGTTGAACTCCATTGCACAAGAAGTCAGGCTGGAAAGAAGTCGCCGTTGATCGTGTGTAGTGAGCACTTGGGCGTGAAGTGATAAACTATCGTTTCGACTACGTGATATCATCTAGAATATACTATTATCCGCGCAAGTGAACGGTCCGTTCAGAGTGCTATTGGGATCATTGTAGATGTCAATGAGCGCCTTCAATGATGTGTATAGTCCTCCTATCATCAGGAAAACAGTCACCATCATGATAGCGTAGTTGACAGCCGCTACAGCCTTCTTCCTTGGTGAACTCCATTGCGTCTTCCAGTTTAGATGCAGCCAGAATATACTCGTGAGCCCGAAAGTGAACCAGGAGATGAAGATGGCAGACGAAATGTTGAGGATGGAGGAGAAGATGGGTATCGCGTTGGAGATGACAAAAGAGACGATCCAGAAGAGGGCACCGAGTCCAACCCAAAGGGTCCAGGTGAAGGCGTTGTGTACGTTGACAGCCTCGGGCTTCATGTTACGCATGATAGTGATGTACTACATTTACGTCAGCTTTTTTCTTCTTTTACACAGGAGAAGAGATCGTACCATGAACTTGATGGCAGTAATACCGATGATCAGGCCGGTTCCCAGTACAGAAGGAATAAGAATGCCGTAAGCAATCTTAGCTGTCAACTCTGGCGCAGAACCAAGCGCAGGAGATGTAACCGCATCGCCTGCCAGACCGTAGATGACACAAGCGACCACGATGTAGATGACGACCTCGAATGACTTCTGCATAAAGAGAGCAGGGGCAAAGTCCTTGGATGGGTCTCTCATTTCGGCCATAACGCTGATGAAGCTTTGATTTCCCGCGAAAGCAAAGGCGACATTGAGCAGAGCATTGACAGCCTCGACAAAGCTAGGCTTTCCGACCAGAACTATCTTGGCCTCGAAACCTGGCGGAGCTTGTGGTCCACCAACACCAAGCGCGATCATGACGATCAGAACTGCAGCTACGATGGAAATTGTGCAGACCCAGCTAGCTGCGGCTGCAAAAGATAGCTTTCGTGGAATACAGAGCAGCCAACAGAGAATATGAGGGAAAGCTAAGAAAGCTACCGTGCAGAGGGCGTGGCGCGAAAGCGTGTTGAGTGCGACCGACAAAGTGATGTTGGCCGAAGCGCAGATAAGAACGAGGTTGAAAACGAAAGCGATTCCAAGGAAACACTCGAATGGCTTGCCTCCGACGTACAACGCGCAGTCTACCAGATTGGTAACCATAGGATATTTCCTGTAAAACTGGAGAAGGATGTAACCGCAATAGGTCGTCAGACCACCGAATCCGAGGATCGCGATAATTCCAGGGATCAGGCCGAGCGTCTTTAAAGCGGAGGGCAAGCTGAGGATTCCGATTCCGACTTCGATCGTGATCAGGATCACGCAAGCTCGCCATCGGCCCAGTGTACGGTAGTTCTCTCCCGGAGCATTTGGATACTCGGTTGCTCCGGCAAATCCATCGCCTGTCCATCCCGTCGTTATGTCGGTGTTGTGTCCGAATGCCTCCATATCGTCTTTATCCGATGCGGTCGTGTGAGAAGCAACATCGCCGTTGGAAGGCGTTTTGTGCTCTTTCTTGAGGAAGGCTTTTAGACCCATGGTTGAAGTTTGACCGTAACAACGTGTTACAGGGTCTCAAAATGCAATGAACGAAATGTGGCTCGGTAGCGAGGAGCGGCGACGCTGGGTCTTTTGAACCTCCACGCCTCCTGTATCGGACCTCTGGGTCATCATCCTAGGACGTAATGTGTGCTAGTGGCCGAGCAGATCCTGGGTGATCGCCTCCCGGCGACTAATGCACATATTGACTTGATTCCTGGGTAACATGACGCACCTCCAATGGATCCGCTGTCAAGCCTGCCATAGCGGAGTGCAGTTTGTGGGGAATGAGCACGAGGAGGCTACATGCGGCATAGGCATCAGAAAACATACTCGCTGCAAAGTGCCAGTGCAGAAAGGGTCCTGAACTTTGATGAGAAGTGTGGGTCATCGTGAGTAATAGTTTGCGCTGAGACGTGACCGTGTCGTCGCGAGCTCCACATATCACGTAAAAGTCTTCGAGAAATTCTTCGCGCCGGGATTGGCCGCTTGGCAACGTCCTTGAGCCGCCCGAAAAGCGGTGCTAGGTGTGACGTATTAGCAAACCATGCTAGACGTCTGTCATCAAAGAGTTCTGCGAAGTAGTAGTGTGAGAGATGCAGTCGACAAGGCGATGCCGTGGTCAGCGGGAGGGATGTGGGACCAAAGCGGGCGCTAGAGGCTAGACTGGTGCTCCTTCCCAGGCGAGGCGGCACAAGGCTCCTGACCAAAAACATAAGCACGCGATGAAAGCTCTCAGTCGTGTTGCTTTCTGTTGCAGATGGTTGGATACTTTCGGGACGTGTAGTTGTCGTAGTGAATTCGATGATCCTTCGACTAAGCTCCTTTCTGTCTTGTCAATGTTAAGACGACTTACGAGTTGGATTGGCTTCCTGTAAGTTGAAATCAGTGGCTGGTAGCTGCGATCATGCACATGCGCACACATCTGTGTTTTGACACCGGGATGTATGATCGTATAGCTTTGAGGCATGCGAAATGATTTTTGGAGGCTGCACGCAAACTTCTTATCGCGAGAAGATAGCGTATCGAGGCGTGTAGCACTACATCTAAGCTGGTGGTGTTGCAAAAAGGTACGGCCGGATCTTGATTGGCTTTAATGCAGGGTAAGATTTAGCTCGTCCTTGGCCATCCTGTGCTTGAAGGAGAATTTTGTGTCTGGTTTGCCCATGTTGTGCTTGGTACCTGGCTGGTAGGATACCTAGAGACAAGCCTTTGGGAGACGATGCAAATATGGGCAAGAGATCATCATGGTAAAGATGACGTCCACGGGGTCCACGCTTGAGGTCACCACAACCAAATGAGCCGCGGAAACAACCATTCACACTAAGTCGCTTCCAAGCTTAGCGTCTGACTATCGCCACCGTGCCTTGTGGGGCTCAACGGGGAACCTTGTTGCTTTCCCCATTGTGCTCCAGCGGCATCTTTACGGGAAAATCAGCGGATATGCGAAAGTCAAGTAATTATCGAGGGACAAAACCGCGAGTGTAAAGGCCTTGTAGTGTGTATCGATGCGGGACAATCACTGCAGACCTAAGTTGGGACATTAATTCGCCAAGGCGCCTGCCGATCGTCCCGGGACGTTCTAGTGGCACCGCTGGCACCGACCCAGGTGCCAGAACTTTCCCTCTTCTACTCTCTGCGTTCTTGTACTACACACCGCCATCGCACAACCTTTGTTCACGGCCATCGCGCGTTAATTTTGTTTGTTCCTGGGTTATTCAAGGCCAAACGCAGAGAAAGCTCCACTCACACAGCAAGCCACCCCCGAGCTACACGACGACTGCGTGTTGGCGAAGCCGTAAGAACCAAATCAGGTTGCAGAATGTCATTTCTTACCAAGAACCGAAGAACAAGCCCCCAAGATGCCCCCGAAGCCACCCAAGACAAATTCCCTGCCGCTCAGCTCGGCCTTCTAGGTATGGTTTTCCCATGTCGCCGACACTAGTGGTTATTCGCCTGAGCCTCGCACTGACGACGCACTCCAGCGCTGGTCCGAGTCGCAGAGCCAATTGCCCTTACTTCCATACTTCCATACGCATGGAAACTCGTCACCAATTTCCAAGTTGGGTCCGAAACGAATGCACCGTTCTTCGCCGGTTTGCTCATCTCCGCCTTCTCGCTCGCTGAGGCATGTTCAGGCATGTATTGGGGCTCAGTCTCCGACCGTATAGGTAGAAAACCCGTTGTCATACTTGGCTGTATTGGGACAATGTCCTCTTTGCTACTTGTTGGCTTAGCTCCAAACTTTTGGGTCGCGCTCCTTGGACGCATTCTCGGCGGCGCGCTCAATGGCAACATTGGCGTTATCCAGACCATGGTTGGAGAGTTGGTCAAGCGACCAGAGCATGAACGTGAGTGTTGAAAGGTGCTTCTGTCGTGCGTGCTAACTGGAAAATAGCAAAGGCGTACGCGGTCATGCCATTCGTGTGGAGCATTGGTACTATTATTGGCCGTAAGACAATATCAATCCATCGACTTTTGGCCACACATACTGACCTCAGTAGCGTCGATTGGCGGATACTTTGCTGAGCCAGCTCGTAACTTCCCATCTGTCTTCAGCCCCACAGGTCTTTTCGCAAAGTTCCCTTACCTACTCCCAAATATCATCTGCGCTTCTTTGCTTCTGCTCTCCATCTTGATGGCATACTTTCTTCTAGAGGAGACTCACCCGGATAAGCAGCCACGGGGCTATTTCGAACAATACGATGCGGCTGTCGCAGAGACACCTCTTCTGCCAGCTCAAGGTGCAACGGCCGATGCGTGTGCAAACCTAACCGCAGAATCTTACGGCACTTTCAACGCCGTGGAAGTCGAGCACGACGAGATCTGGCGGGTGCGCTCCAACGGAGACTGGGTAGAATCTCCAACGAGTGAAAAGGTCTTCACACGCCCGGTGATCATGTTCGTCGTCGCCCTAGGTATCTTCACGTACCATTCTGTAAGTTCCCTGATCCCTTACAACGAACAGCCGCCTGATTGTATTCTAGATGACATACGATCACCTGCTCCCCATCTTCCTTCAAGACAAACGCGCCGAAGATGACATGAATGCGCTCGACCTTTCGCCTTCGTCGTTGGGTGGTGGTCTTGGCATACCCATCCAGAATGTGGGCATCATTCTTTCCCTCAACGGTATCATCCAGCTCGCGATCCAGGGTATCGTTTTCCCTCTACTGGCGGACTGCTTTGGCGTATGGCGCCTGCTTCTCATGGTCACACTAGCACATCCGATCGCATACTTCATTGTCCCTTTCTTACAGCTTCTCCCTGAGAACTTGCTCTACCCTGGTCTGTTCGCTTGCTTGACCGTACGGAACTTGACGTCGATTCTCGCCTTTCCCCTTCTTTTGATCATGATCAAAGAAGCTACGCCAGACAGATCGCATCTTGGAAGAATCAACGGGTTGGCTGCATCTACCGGCGCTGCCTGCCGTACAGTAGCAAGTCCCATCGCCGGTCTGCTCTACGGCCTCTCTATCGAGCTTCACTTCACACCTTTGGCTTGGTGGGGTTCCGCCCTGGTCGCAATTTGCGGAGCTCTCCAGGTGCCCTTTCTCAATCGCGCAGCGCATGAGTGTCACGCTCGAGTGCGTAACGCAGCCAGCGACTATCTGACTAAGGAGCGTCGTCGGAGCGAAGTGGTTCACATTGTGGTAGAAGATCAAGAGTAATCGGTGCAGCATGTCTCGCGTATGTTGAGCATCAGTTTGATCACAGACGAGAAGTTGGCATGGCATTTTTCTTCGTTCGTTTTTTCACATCGACTCGCTTGTGAAAAGCGAGCTTGCTCTTCGGCGTCCTGGGTACAACGGCAAAGATACCAGAACACAAGGAATTGGCGTTTAGCATGGGTCGCTCGGCGTTTCCGGTATTCACATTGACATAGATCACTGTAATCATTTACATGTTTGGCAACAAGAACAATACGATACATTTCCCACAGCCCCAGTTACAGTAACTGCCGTTCTCGAGTGTGCAGCTGAGAGCACTGGGGTAGAACATAGCATAAAGTCAGTCGTTCATGCGAGGTCCTCCATAACGGATAAATTCTTGAAACGGCTGGGATGACATGGACGCGGGAAGTACGAGAATAGCAACGTGTCAGGGCTGTCCGAAAGGACAACCCGACAATACCCCGAAGTAGTGAGATGTAATCGAAACAGCCTTTCAGCTGGAGGGGGGAGGATTGTTGCCATCTACTGTGCTGCTTCATTATTACTCTGAAAGCCTCCATCAAACCCAAGTTCATCACATAGCCGAGTTCGGTTGTGTACTCATGTCGTGACATCTCGTAGCACGGTCTTCCACAAGTCGCGAACACAAGGTGCCGTCGTTCCCGCGCTCATGAAGCCATGGTCTGAGCCTCTGTTCCGAGCTGACACTGCCACTCCCGCCGTGTCTCTAAAGCTTGTCGTCTTATCCCTGCATGATGCGCAATGTCTGAGAGGCATGCATCCTCAATTTAGAGGTCCGATCAAATTCTGAAGGATGTTCAATATTGATTTGCAGAGGGATGTTGAGTTGTTCGCGGCCGACGAATCGCGCATTTCCCTCCATGGCTCGGTCGTGCCCGCCCAAACTTGACCAGAAGTATCTGCGGCGTCAACACGACAAGCCGATGGCTATCCCACAGCTCCTCCAAGCTCTCGTTCATGCCGCGCTCCTTCCAATAAAGCAATCAAGCCTTTGAGACACGACCTTCCGATGGGCCTAGGATAGATGTCACCCGGAGCTTGTTGTTCCTGACGCTCGTTGGCCGCAGCGATGGCGGAACACCCATGAAACACGCCCGTGCATATTCTTCAGAACGACAGCGTCATGGCTATAGTTGGTCGGCGGCTCAGCCCGAAAAGGAAATACAGGCAATGGAGATCGACTTGGCTAGGCAACACGGCTCTGGATGGATGCAGGAGAATGCACCTAGTGGAGAAGACACAGGAGGTGGTCAAGATTGGAACCATCCAGATGCCCGCATATACTGTCTTAGTGAGTTCGGGGGTCCCTACTGAAGATGAGTCGAAAGGCAACAGAGCGTGGTTGCGATGACTTGTCGACAGCCTGAGGCTCTGCGTTTCTGTCCGTACGACTAACACTGGACCCCGACCAGTCGTTGGCCTGTCGCACAATATACTTGACGCTCTTGGCTTGCCAAAATACACACCGTCGACGCCATTGGCTCGTACCTGCATGATTGGGCTATTTAGGGCGTTTCGGAAGCGCTCCTGTTCGCTTACGATGTGCTCACGCAAAAGCCATCCGACTAGGATCCACCATCTTTAGCCAGGCCATCTTGTAACCGACGACCCTACTGCCGAGTGGACCTGCAGAGCGCGCGACAACGACCGACATGGAACCTCCTTGGACGACTCGTTCTGATCGTGGCTGAGCATGCGAGTCGGAGGCCCTCGGCGGACCAATCCTTTAGAAATGTTTCGAGACGGCTTGTTTCGAACGAGCGCTGGTGGTAGAAGTATATCTTGACCCTTCGTCCTTCCCCTCAGTTCATCTACACACGCTTTGTTTTCTAATCACAGCATTGCATTTGCTGCTACTTTCGCTTCCCAAGACGAACATAGTCGCACTCTTTTTGACTTTGTTCTCTTGCTAGACCGTCATTCGTTAAGGTCCAACTACAACTTACATTGATATTCACTTCGCTACCTAAATTCGATTTCGACATCTATATATCACCATGAAGTCTACATACGCTCTATTGGTTACTGGCCTCGCCGCTCAGCAAGCCGCCGCCACCTGGAACTTCTTCGACAACTTCGGCACTCCCAACTACAGCAACAACGTCTGCGATGATAAGCAGAAGGGAGGCTTCAACTGGGCCGATCTCAACGATGGCCAAGATGTCGGCAACTACGGAGACTTCGACTTCTCTGGTGGATGGAAGTGCTCCAACTCGTTCGGAAAGCGGGACTCTTTGAGCAAGCGAACCTTTGGCAACAAGTGCATCAAGAACACTATCCACAAGAACAAGCCTGCTGCATTTGGCTGTGCCCAGCGCGGTTTCTCGATTACTCACATGGACGTCTCGGCCGAGTTCGACGCTGAGCTCGAGCTCCACTACAAGATGGGAGACGGATCCATCTGCAAGCAACACAGCAGCTGCTCAGCTGGTGGATCAACACTGCAGAACACCCAGTGTGGTGGCGCAAAGTCCGTTGAGGTCTACCTTGGCTCTCACTACAAGGGCGACAAGGAGTCCTGCGAAATCGGTTTCCACAACATCGGCTTCGACTGTGACGCTGAGACACCATACACTCCTCCTTCCCCTCCTTCGCCGCCTCCTCCACCTGAGGTCCCCACCTCAAGCGAGGTTCAGTCTTCCACCATCGCCGTCGAGTCATCAACTGCCCCGGCATCCAGTGCTGTCTCTTCCGCTGTTGAGACTACTGCCTACTCTGCCATAGAGACTACAGTCATCTCATCTGCTGTTGAGACCCCTGCTTCTTCGTCCGCCGTCGAGACTCCCGCTACTTCTGCCAACGAGTGTGGACAGTATGGTGGCGAAGGATGCCCACCTGCCGAGACACCTGTCTCTTCTGGTGCTCCTTACACCAACAGCTCCATGCCCGCCTACACTCCCCCAGCTTCCTCCGCTGTCGAGATCACCAGCTACCCTGCGTCGGTTCCTTCCATCAGCACTGCTACCCCCCAACCGGAGTCTTCCACTGTTGTTGTGCCACCCACATCTGAGAGCTCTGTTGCTGCTGGCTGTGGCTACGGAGAGTCCTGCGAACAGTCATCCACTGTTGTAGCATCCTCCGTCGTTGTTTCGTCTGCCGTTGTCACATCTGCTGTCCCTGCTACCAGCTCAGCCGCTCCTCAGCCTTCCAGCCCTAGCTACCCTCCTGTCGACATCACCGATTCGGTTCCCAAGTGCATGAACTCATGGCTTCAGATCTCGGCCCCAGACTGCAAGGACAACACCGACTCCAGCTGCTACTGCCTCAAGCCCGAGTTCACCAAGAACGTTATTGACTGTATCTCTGCCCGCTGCGGTAGCGATGACGAGATTAGCAAGGGTCTGCAATACTTCATCGGTATCTGTGCCCAGCATGTCCCCGAGAACCCTTCCATCGTTGGAGACTGCCCTTCATACATTCCTTTGAACCCTACCCCTGCTGCTCCTCCCGCTCCCCCTGCTGGTGGTGAGAGCTCTGCCGCTCCCTCTGCCCCTGCTTCCAGCGCATACGGCCCCGGTTACCCCAATGAGACTCCCGCTGCTAGCACTACCACTGCTGCCGGCGAGACTCCCGCAATCACCACTGCTGTCTCTTCTGCAACAATGACTGAGGTCGTTGGCACCACCACTGCTGCCGGCGAAACCCCTGCTGAGGAGACACCTTGCACTACCATCACATTCGGCACGACTACTCTCACCGTCCCTCAGGTTCACTTCACCACTCAGCCCGCCTCTGCTGGCGCCAACCCAACTGAGCCCGTTGCTCTTGTGCCCGGCACTGCTGAGCCTCCTCAAACCCCAGCTGCCACCACACCTGCCGGTGGTGCGCCTTACCCCATCCCCTCTACCATGGGAACCGCCACTGTCCCAATGGGCACTGCTACGGGTACTGGTGCAATCCGTCCCTCTTCCCCAGCCGAGTTCACTGGCGCTGCCTCGCCCTTCAACGTTGTGCCCAAGGGCGCTCTGTTCGGTGCGGCCCTTGCCTTGTTCGCATTGTAGACGCTATACGTTTTAATGTAGTGCAATTTCCTTTCTTATGTCTTCACTGTTTGTATTTAGCGGTTAGTGCGATACATGACACACAGCTCGCGCCTGAAGAAGCGATGGTGTAATGCATGGGTTTTCCTTGGAACCATAGAGTATATAGACAAGTATACATATGCGATTTACAATTACAGCCCATCTTGTGATAATGCTCGTCTGCACAACATGTGGTGAGAGCTACGCGTACAAACCAAGTCTCAATAGACACCAACATGTGGACCATGAGATAGCTCTCTGGCCTAACGACAAATTTGTTTGCGGAACATGCAACAAGGAGTACGCGTTCGACTCAAGTCTGAGGAGGCACCAACATCGAATCCATGAGACAACCCGTTCAAGGAAAAAAACTAAACAGATGTTTGCAGCCTACATTAGCTTTAAAACACGTTTTTGTATAATCTGAAGGTAATGTAGCCTTTATAGCCTTTTCTTTAAGGGTTGTACTTTGTAGAAGTAAGTGTCTAGTTTCTCCCTTGAAAGGAGGGAGGGAGAGCTACCTAGGTAGCCCTTGGGCCTCAGACCGAGCTCGTCTACAAAGGCTCGGTGTGTCTCCACATACAGGCCGTGGACAGCGCCGATGGCAGGGGAGTCCAGCCGAGCCAGGGCATCGGATGCACTCATCTAGTAAAAGCCGATTACCGCTTTCGCGGTTGGGGAAAGCGGTGAATCAAGTCTTTTCGTCCTGTTTGTGATAATTCTGTACAAATTATCGTCTAAGAGAGGCAGATTCATGCAGGTTGTAATGGCTTCGGGATCTGTATCAGATTAGTGCTAGTATTCTTGGACAAGAGAGAGAGGCGTTTTACCGTTGGAGAGGAGGGTCTGCATAGGCACAAATGTGACTGAGGGTATGTTGAAGATGTAGTAACAACCGGAGAAAAGTCTTTGCGTGTTTGCCTCGCCGTACAGCATAGCCATTGCGACGTCGATAATTCGCTCTCGCAATGCTAACATCTCCGTGTTGTTTGAGATTGAAAGATTCTTATGTCTTGCGTAGCGTTCTGGGTGGTATGTCACCTGGGCAAGTCGCTTCATGGTCGTCTGGTCGTTGTCTTCGTACTCGACGATGGCCACTGTCAGGCTATCATTGCCTGGCGAGAGAATGGTCTTGAATCGCCGACCGCGCTCTTCCAGGTACCGGACATAATCTCGACAGGCTGTCCCTAAAAAAACTGAGACGACACGAGCAGTGGACAGGTCTAAGCAGACAGAAAAGAAGGTCTGCCAGTATGATCGGAGGAGGTTGGGAAGAAAATCGAGAGGCCGGCTTGTATCACCAAGCATAGCTAGGCGGGTTTGCCTATAAGCAAAGTTAGTGTATGTCGTATGTCTCATGTATTCGCATAAATAACTTATCGTCTTGAGAACGCATCGACAAAGAAGACCCCAATTGTCTATTGTTTGACGACGTTAAAACCCAGCTTCACGAGCATCCTCGATGTGCCCTCGTTGCCCACATCGTTTTTCGTCCTGTATGATGCGTGCAGAGTAGTAAGGGTCGGTTAGGACCCCAAAACTATCAATGGGTCATTCGGTGATCCTACAGGCTTGACGAGGTAATCCTTCCTTATGCCGAGTCTAATTGCAGGTTCCACCGGGAGTGGCACTCGACCCTCACCGTCTACCGCTTCCAACTATAGTGCATCTATTACACTGTTCGTGGACGATTATGTTGAAGGTGTCTGTTCGATAATGGGTACATAGAGTAGTAGTGCTAAGGTAACTTGTTCGCGGACAGAAGCTATAAGTTGTTCAATCTCTGGGCAAGACGACGAAAGGTCGGGGAAGATGCGGGCGATGTTGTCTAACACCTGGTGTGGCATGAGTGTAGTAGATGATAGGCGATTGGTGTGGTTGATCGCCGTGTCGCTCTCGGTGTTGTTAGCCGTGACTGCGTTTGGCTGAGCTAAATGCTTTCTTGCTCTGTTGGGTTCATGCTCGCGTTTCATCTTTCCTTTGATGTGGAGTTGTGACGGCGGAGCTGGTTGACGTAGGGCGAAATCTAGGACATGAGCACCTCGATAGTGATGGTTCAACTCGCGTTGAGAGATAAATGTCGCTCCGCATGTTCCGCAAACATATCTAGTCTGCCTAGGCTCTTGACCTTCCTCGTGGTCCACATATTGGTGCCCCTCCAGATTTTGTTTGGACGCATAGCTCTCGCGACACGTTGCGTCGCAGAGAGTAAATATCAAGACTTGCACGTGTGTCTAGGAGAAAGGACGATACACAGAGAACAGAAGACGAGCGGGACGAACTAGAGAGGCCCTTAGACGCAGAGTTTGGCGATACGGCGAATCGTTACCAGACAGGTTTCGAGCAGATGCAGAAGCGGCGACTAGACGTATTAGAGAAGGACTTACTGTAGGTGTATCGGATGCTACAGATTGTAAAGAAATTACCATCATAATGAGACTTTCTCTAGCCCCAGACTAAGAAATGCCGTTCGCATGTGAGAAGATTGGGGTAGATCGCCGTGCCGAGGTCCATCAGCGGCTCCTGTGGGCAACCTCCAGGGATCGTCATCAATGCTAGCTTCCCCAGACTCCGTGTGTGCCGTCTAATGACAATAACAACAGCCCTTCAAACTATGAGCCCGAATACCATCGAAGACGCCCACCATGTCGTCTGGCGCATCGCAGCCCACGCCGGGCCCCGCTAAATCGCAACCAATCGATCCGATCCTGCGCAATGCGCTGCGCTACACCATCTCGGCAAAGGAGTATCAGCTGCTGCACCAATACCTCCTTTCGCGCGCCCCGGTTGTCAAGAAGCGCACGATAACCCCGAAGCGATACGACGCCATTGTCAAAGGTCCGGATGACTACAACGTAGCCGCCTTCCGCGCGGCACTGCGATTGGGCATCGTGACCTTCTCGGGGCTGAAGGCGTGGGAAGTAGTCAAGGCCAGGCTTCTGTCGCGGGGAACTGCGAATAGGTAGGCATATATTTGTTCGCGTTTAAGAGATGCGCGTTAACACTCCCTTAGGAACCAACCCAGAACCTCCGTCTTCAAGTCACCCAATGTCCGCCTCAGCAGCTCCCTCGCCCTCATACTCCTTTTCCACCGCCTCCTCCGGCGCATCTTCGTGCGCATCCGTGAAAGCCTACTCAGCCATGAAGGCAGGTCGTTCCGGCGGCGGAACCCACGCATATCTCGTTCCTTGACATCCAAGTTGGCGCCGGCCATTGGATCCAGTCTAGCAGGCTTCTTCCTCGCCGTGTACCCAGGGGATCAGCTGCGCATCACAATCGCCATCTACATTATGACAAGGGCCCTGGAGTTTGGCTACAACTATTTAGAGGAGCTAGGATACATGAAAAACAGGCCCAGTTGGTTCGGCTCCTGGATGATCATGCCAGTCGCTTGCGGACAGCTACTTCACGCGTTTGTCTTCGACCGCGACTGTTTCCCCTCTGGATTCGGAGACCAGATATTGAAGAACTCGCCAGAGTACATACAGAAACGCCCGGCAGACTACCCAAGCACGGCGCAGTGGCCAGGCACTTTCGACATAGTGGACAACCTAGCAGAGATCTCGCGACAGCGCTGGCCACCCTTCGTATCGCCCATCCTCTTTCCCAACGCTGAAACGCTACCAAAGCGGTTGACGTCCATCTCCCCGATAACTTCTCCCGCCCATCCGGCCATCAAGTCCTTGTCATGCGCCTTACTCCACCCGCAAGACCCGTCCTGTCTACGCACCTACGTCCAATACTGGATCCAAGCCTTTCCCAAGATCGCCCGTTTCTTCACGCTCTTCTTCGCAGCCATGAGCATCACGAAATACAAGGCTTTCCTCTCCGCGCCCATCGCCTCGTTGAACAGTCTAGCCAAGCGCATACTGCGCATGTCGCTCTTCCTCTCTGGTGCCATAGGAACGAGCTGGGGATCCATCTGTCTGTTCCAGAACCTACTTCCCCGAGCTTTCTTGTCGACGCAACGCTGGTTCCTGGGTGGCTTCATAGGCGGACTCTGGGCTTTCTTGGAGAGGAAAGGTGGAAGGAGCAATTTCTTGTACACGGCGAGGATGTCAATTGATTCCATGTGGAAGGTGGGTGTCAAGAGGGGGTGGTGGAAGGGTATCAAGAACGGGGATGTTCTGCTTTTCGTTGTTAGTTTGGCGACGGTTAATGCTTTGTATGAGATATCGCCCAGGTCGGTCAATAGTGGCGTTGCGAGGAAGGGATTGGGTGTGTTGAGGGGTGAGGGCTGGGTCGATAGAGCCGTGATGCCGATCGAGGGCAAGGGCAAGGAAGATGAGGAGTAATGATATCCAACTGTTTGCGCATACAGCTTTTTGCTCATTGAGCATCATGACATTGTGTTTCGAATTCACAAGTACATATGCAGTATCTTAATTTAGTAAAGAAGCAGTTATTGTCTTGACTACATCGCTCTGGAAGGATTGAACAGTTTTGAGTGGGGTATAACAAGGCCTAAGCCAAACAAGCACGCGCTGTCGCTCCTGCCATCTCCTGCCATTACAGTCCTCCCATCCCCATAGCCCCGGTGTATGGGACTCCTATGATCACTCCATCTTCATACCCTCAGCGCACTCGGCCAACTCTCCCCTCTCACCACCATAGCTCTTCGGAACACCTTTACCTAGCTCAGCAGCAAGCTGATTACCGTAACTCAACACAACAAATTTCTTGCTCGTCTCCTTGGCCACAACCAACTTCATCGCGTTGAACAACCAGCCCATGACCACAGGTACATTGACAAAGAACTTCCTGCTCAGCGTCTCAGGGTAGTGGCGTCCTAGTATCTCAATAGTCTTGTTGGTTGCGGTCTTGACGAGAGGGTCGCGGCGGAGGAACGAGACTTGGAGGTAGTCGTGAATTTGGAACCCTTGGTATGGGTCGGGGCCTTCACCAAAGTTGGGGATGGGCGTTGTTGCGGCGGGCAGGTTGAGCGCTTGGACTGACTTCTCCATGAGACCTACGCGCCAGCGGAGGAAGCTGTGGGGGTTTGTTAGCATGGCCTCTTTGCATGGAGTTGAAAATGGGGGAGCATACCCATCCAGATCGCCAAAGGTAGCCTTGTTGTCCTTGACAGCTCCATATATGTTGAAGGTAACGATATCCTTCTTATTTGGGCTCTCGGGTACGCCCTCAACCTCCAGCACATATCCTAATCCATCAAACTTGTTCTTCGCGAATGTTTCTCCTGCCGCCTTGATCGGATCAAACTCCTTCCTCCATTTCAGCGTGTCGAGCAGCTGCGACTTGGCTTTCTCCAAATCGTTCTGGTTGGCCCGGAGGAACTTCTGTAGTATGAGCTTGGTGTGGAAGGGCTTCGACTTGCTCAGCTCGATGCCGTAGACTTCGTTGTGTTGGGCTTCGGCGGTGAGGGCCTCGAAGGCGTCGTAGAACTTGGTGAGCGGGTGTTCGGGTGCGGTCTCTGGCCAGATGGGGCCCTGTGTGGGTGTTACGGTGCTGGGCTCGGGTTTGGCATCGCTGGCTGCGACTTCGGGAGCGGCTGCGGGAGCTGGGGCAGTAGCTTCAGGTGTGACTTCTGTCGGCTTTGCTTCCTCTTTCTTCTCGTCGACCGAAAGATCCGCTACCGCAGCGGTTGCGCTGTCGACAGCATCTCCTCCGTCCTTCTTATCGGCAGACTCGGCTACAGGATTAGGCTCGGGCTGCTTCTCCGAGCCTGCTCCACTGAAGAGACCGGCGCCTTCCGTGGGTGCTGTGCTTACGTCTTCGGGCTTCGCTGCCATCTTGATGTGCGTTACGAGTGCGTGTTAGCTGTGCTGTCAACGTTGGGTTGGAGAATTGTTTCAAGTGTCCGGGGATCAGTTCCTAAACTCCGGAACCGCAATGCGCGTCCCCAGTCATGGTATCAGCTTGGACAAGGAAGAAACTGCATAACTTCCTTTTGCTGCCTACGCGACGATAAAGTGGCTAATGGAAGAAACAGTATTATTGTAGGTGCCTAGATTGTCTACTACCATGCTTAACTGTACGATCTCAGTGCGTGTATAGTATACAGAAATCACACGTCCTCAGTGTACCATGTGCATGAGCAGATATAAGGTTCGCAGTGATGAAGCACTCATGTTTATCGAAAGTGTATGAATATATGTAGCTATATACGTGTCGACGAATGTCTATCGACCAATCAAGCTGGTCTTCAGTCATGTCACTGGACAATCCCTCGACCTCTTCCATCTCGCGTCGATGCGACTTGTTCGGTCGAAAGAGGAGCGCAGTTGGTATAGATCGTATCGACATTCAGTGATCTGCGATTGACAGTTAGCATAGAACATGGACTATGATTCTGAACAAAGATGCAGGTGAGAGAGCAATCAGCCGAAAGATGAAAAGTCTCGAATGTTTTTTCAATCAGTGAGGCGAACCCCGTCTGAGTTAGCATGAATTGGTGTTCATCATTGCAAAGGGAAGGAAGAGAGGATGGATCATGTACCTTTTCAATGAGAGCTGGTGGCTGTTTCAAGTGAGCGTTCAATTTAGCGCATACCTAGAGCGATGTCAGTAACGGTTCCGCTAAAGACGTTTTGACAAAGACTCGAGGGTGGAAAGATATTCAGGTAATCGAACTAGTTTATTCCCCACGAAGTGGTCGGTATTTGATAATACATTTGTTGCTCATCATCTAAGGATGGGTGCTTGGGGTATGGGGGTGTAGTCTAACCTTTGACTCTATCGCAGCCCACGAAGCCTTGCCATCTCGACCACATCATGTCGAGGTCTGCTGTCGCTTGTAACCAACGGACGGGGAGGATATGCGCTGGACGGAAGGCTTCGCGGAGCTACGGACCGCAACGTCGGCGGCAGCGCATCTAGTGGCGCATCATGATCGCGAACACATACTGTGACTGAGAACAACGAGACCTTTATGATTTGTTAGCTGATGTCCTGAAAAGACTTCTGGTAACAAATTGGTAGATGTTGCGAAAGATCAGTATTCTCGTTTGGCTTGAGTGGTCGGATCACCATAGAATGTATGATAGGGGCGACACAAGTGTTCATCATGATAGCAACAGTAAACAAAGAGAGAACGGATGTTTTGACTTACCAAAAGTTGGGCGCGTTGTTGGAGTGAGAGAGAGAAGCTGCAGGCTCAAGTTTTGTACGGGAACTTTTCGCGGCGGTGTTTCGTTTCGCCGAGCGGGTCGTGGCCCGAGCTTTTATCCAAGCGGGTCAAGGTTCTCGGAGACGCGCTCGCTGGTTGTCCTTAGGCCGACACTTACGCGCTTCCACTCCATACCAAACCACCACCACCACTACTCCCCATTTCCACCGTCGCTCAACATGGTCGCCTCAACTACCGCATCTTTCGAGAGTTTCGTCAAGCAGACCCGCGAGAAGAAGAAGAACGAAGCCCTCGCGCAACAGTTCCTCGGAGCTAGCAGCCGAGGCCGGAAAGCGAACGCACCAGGCGCCGGCGGACGGGCGCGAGTTGAATCTGAAAAGCCCTCGTTGCTCAGCCGGATAAACGGTGGTGCTGGCGTACAGAAGCGATCAGCAAGCGCGAAACCAGCCGGCAACGTTGATGGCAAATGGCAACACGATCTGCACAAGCTGAACAACCCCCGCGGCGCCGCCAACAACAGGAACAACCTCGCCCGGACGGCGTCAGCATCCCAGGTCGAGCGCAATAGCAAAGCGTACACCAAATTTGCTCCCGTCCTTGGTCGCGGTGCGGCTACACGCAGCAATGACGCTGCACCGGGCATCAGCATTCGAGGCGCCGCGACAGGCGGTCCGTGTACGGTCATTGCTAGTAACTTTGCACCTGGAACCACGGCCGCTGATATTGAGGCTGTCATGACCCCGATTGGAGGAGAGACGCTGGGGTGCAGGCTCTTATCTTCCAGCCCGACGGTCATGGTCGAGCTGCAGTTTGTGAGCAGAGAGGGCGCCGAGAATGTTATCGCGACGTTCAACAACCAGAAGGTCAGTGTTCCGGCGAGCTTTTTCTTCGCTCGACTAAACTAATTCCATCAACAGGCTGATGGTAGACTCCTCTACGTCTACATGAAGGATGTTCCTGCGAGCACCCACGTTGCAAGAGCCCCGCCCGCCCGCCTTACGCAGTCCATGGATGACATGGACATTGACACTGGTGCAGGCGCACGCGCTGGTAGCTTCCAAGATGGACGATATGGATTCAACGACGCTAGTCGCAAAGAACCACCACGTGGACCCCGCCGACGATACTAGATCTCAACGGCCGGCACACATCTTCTTCAATTTCCCCTGTACGATATACCCTTTTACAGACGATAGCAACGAGCAAACTGCATGCAGCCGGGTTCCAAGATTCACAACACTCGGAGGAGCCATGCAGTTTTCCATATCCGAAGGCATAAGCGGGGAGTTGGGTTATATAGACAACATGCACCAACGATCTCCTCGGCAAGTGTCTGGTGGCCAGAATAAATTTCTAATTAATGATGGATGTCATTCTTAATATCTTCGTGTCGTTGACTACCATCGCGCTGTGAGAATTACTTGCTAGTCCATCCTTCAATGGCAGCATCCACCTCCTTCCTGTACCTCTGCTGACCTTCACACTGCTCCAGGAACACCTTGTATTTGGCATCCAACAGCTTCTTGACCGTCTTGTCAGCCAGTGGCTTCACAGTCTTACCAGGCTTGCTCAGTCTGTCCATGATGTCCCAGAGTGGCTCGCTGTTTCCATCCTTGTCGGTACTGGCCGCCTTTGCACCCAGCATAGCCGCGCCGTGCACCACAGCCGCGTGTACGTATCGTGGGATCAGGACCGGCATGTCGCATGCAGTGGCCATGAGCTGCATAAGCAGACTGTTCTGGCATTGGGAACCGGACATGAAGATGGAAGAAATGACGTGGCCGGACGCGTTCATCGCGGAGACAATCTGGTGTGTTTGAAGGGCAATGAACTCCATGGTCGCGTAGTAGTATAGCGCCAGGCCGTCGAGACTCTTGTCGGAGCTCAGACCGATGACAGATCCCTTCATGTTGGGATCGGCGATAGGGGAGCGGTTGCCGAAGAGGTCACCATAGAAGAAAAAGTGGCGTCCAAGCCAGGCGATGTGTGGGGCTTTCTCCGCTTCTGCCATCTCGAGGAGGTGTTCGTTGAGATAGTCGTAGATGTTGGTGTTGTAGGTTTCAGCGACAGACACGGCTTCGTTGAAGGCTGGGTGTGTCTCGATTACATGCTTGAGCAGTTCGCCCGTTGCACTTTGTCCTCCTTCTGCCATCCAGTAGTCTGGCAGTAGGACGTCTCGGTACGGGCCCCAGACACCGTCAACGAAGACAGGCTCGCGGGACATGGCAAGGTGGCAGGTCGATGTTCCAGCTACGGCTGCGAGACGTGTGAAGGCTTGCGACACATCGTTCTTGGGCTGGTCCATGTCAAGAGTATCCCCATCGAGCTTGACTTTGGCGCCAACAGTACCGATCCAGCCAGCGTAGGCGTCAATGACTCCACTTCCGACTGCAATACCGGGTTGCAGACCCATCTCCTGTGCAGCCTTCTCGCTGAGTGTACCGACAAGCTCACCCGCAGTGAGGTAGCGTCCATTCTGTGTGCATGTCAGTCGGAACCGTCAAGAATAGTAGCGAAGGACAAACCACATTATCAACGCCTCCCATGCGCTTGAAGTTGTCTTCGCATAGATCCTCGAGGCCGATCTCCTTGAGGAAGTCTTCCTGCCAGCCTTTGACACTACCATCAACTCCAACTGGTACGAAGCCCTGCTTGCAGACCACACTGCAGTAGCTTCTGCTCTCACTGCCAGTAGCCAGATGTGTGAGTGCATCAGTCAGATCGTAGAACTTGCAACGATCGAATAGCTCCTTCGGCATGTTGTTCTTCAGCCACAATACCTTGGGAATCTCCATCTCGATGGACATCTTGCCTCCAACGTAGCGAAGCAGGTTGTGCTTGGTGGCATTGATCTTGTTTGTTTCCTCGACAGGTCGATGGTCGAGCCACAGAATGACGTTACGGTCGTTGCCGTCCTTGTTGTCAAAGTTCGGCCCAGTGACAGCGACAGGCTCATCCGTGTCGTCTCTGAAGACTGCGAGCGAGCAGGTCGCATCGAAACCGATACCACGGATGGTGCTCTGGTCGATGTTGTGCTGATCCATGGCTCGGCGAACCGAGGAGCAGATGCATCGCCAGATGTCTGTTGTGGATTGTTCCTGGGTTCGCTTTAGTTTTGGCTCTCACTATTACCTGGCGCGGGTTAAGTACATAGTAGCCAGTTTGTGGTTGCCACAGGCCAATGTTCTCTGAAGCCAGTCCAACAATATCTCCCTGATCATTCATGATACAGGCTCTGGCACTGCCGGTACCAACATCGATACCGATGTAGTGGTCGACTTGAGGGTGGAGCTCATTGCGGGGATCTGTTGACAGTTGACGCGACTGCTTGCGCTGGGACTGGCGGAAAGGAATCGCCATTGCTGTGTATGAGTATGGAAAAGTGAGAGCAGTATGGTATTTTGAATTGAAGAAAAGCTAGTAGAACGCCCGAGGACGCGAGAAATAATGTTGAGCTACAATACAGCTGTCAATGCGGGATGAGCTCATAAGAGCTCTGGGGAGCTCTAGTATGGTGGGGGTGGGGCAGCAACCCCAGCCTTCTGTGCAATCGGACTACCAGTCGTCAGGGTCGTCTCGAGCCTGAGCGTCGATCTGCTCACAGATCAGACTGAGAAATGTGGGCATCGTGAGCACCGGATCCACCTTTTCAGGCATACCGGATGCTGTTGGGCCACTGCTGGCTGGTCAGGCAACGCCACGCAAAGCAAGTTGAGGTCTTGGATCACGGCTGATCATGGCTATCGGTGCGATTCCGGATCAAGCGGAGGTGCAGGATTATTTTACCGTATGTAAGTCTCAGGAGATATGGTTTGAGAAGGAGGGGTTGTGGAAGCACGGCTCGCTTGAGTGAATGTCCATCGGTGATACAATTCGCCGTTGCTCTCGGGCTAGTTCCAGCTCCCGTTACCAACACCATTGCGCATTGGTACAGATAGCAACAGACTGCACCATCGCGCCAAGATGCTACTGTCAAGACTTCTACTGCTACCATTTGCGGTCGCATCATCGGTCACGCTTTACGTCTCCTCTGTCCCAGCCTCAGGGGACAGCGCCGTCATCCCCTCGCCGATTCCGCTTGCGCAGATCGAATACGATGCAGACCAACCCGTTGGCACTCTAGCCTCCTTCACACCGCCCACAGGTTCCTACGCCTCTGACCACCTTCTTCGCGTTGGTCTCACCGATCCTAAATCTGGCTCGTGGCGAGGCATTGTCACGTCAGCGGCCAGTTTCTCCGACCAATACCACAAGAAGTTCATCATTCACGTTGATGAGAAGGGGGAGCCTTTCCATATTGGATTCGGAACGAGCGCGAAAGGCAGCGGAGATGAAGTTGAGGTGGAGATAAAGAAGAGGAATGTTGGGCCAAAGCCGGTTTTGAACAAGCCCATCGTGCTCAATGCGGAGGGGAAGCTCGACGGAAAAGAGCCGGAGAAGACCTTCTTGCAAAAGTACGTACTGGGGCAAGGTTCGCTATCAGAGGCTATGCTGATTACAATACAGATACTGGTGGGCCATCGCTCTCTTTATGGTAGTGCAGTTGGTTGCAGGTGGTGGAGGAGAGAAATAAGATACAGGTGGTTAAAAGCCTCCCTGATCCCGTTTCAATACCAAACTCAGTACCAACCATCCATTGCCGTTTCTGCTTCCTTTCGGGTTCACGATGCAGGTATCGTATTCTCAGCCATCTCAAATCAATCATGTGCATAAGTGAACAACAACAAGTATTCTATTGAGGTAAAAGTCATAAGGTATTATACATTCGGTTTCACTGCTTCGTCCTAGCGTCTATGGTTGGGTATAAGTATGCATTCATCGTAAGCGTTTTCAAACAAGAGCTGTGCTAGCAGAACTGGGACGAGATTGGCCGGGCGTGGGAAACACAGTCTTGGGGACCGCGACAGCTGCAGCGGCGGCGGCGGATGCGGTCAAAGAAGACAGTGTCGGGATGGATCCGGTCGAGGTCGCATTAGCCGGAGCACGAATAGCAGGTGATGGGGTCGACTTGGGCTGGTGAACGTCCATAGGCAGGATCTCTGTCTTCAGCTCCCTCGTCTTCTTCTGTTTAGGCTCAGGGGCCTTTTCGTTCTCTTGGACGTAGAATTTCCGGAGCAACATGATTGCTTCCTCTCGGAAGATGCCGCCGGTGACTGGATAGGGCTTGTCGACGCTAGCACTATTGAAGTCAGTACTTGCAATGCATGTAGGTGTGAGGAAAGAAGGATACATACTCAGAGTGAATGTTCAGCACACCTCCGGTGCCGCCAAAACGCTCGTTCCAGCATCCGAAGTAGACGGCTCGAATGCCGTACTGGCGCAGCATGGACGCACACATGACGCATGGCTCAACGGTGACATAGAGGTCTGTCTCGTTGAGGATGCTGATGGGGTGCTTTGACAAGATGCCAGCAATGGCGACGAACTCGGCGTGGCGGGTACCGTTCAGGGTCCGATTTGTCTCGTTCATGCCTCGTCCAATAACCTCGCCGTCCTTGACGAAGACACAGCCGACGGGGGTCTCATCACTCTTGAGTGCAAGTTCGGCCTGCAGCGATGATGAGTCAGCATAGGGATCAAACATGTAGTGAATTCAGGAGATAGCTGAGTATGTACAAAGTGAAGGATGTGACTCACCATGGCAATAGCCTCGCGCATGAAGCCTTCATGATACGCTCTCTCCTCCGGATCCATGGCGTCTGGTACGTGAATCGCTTCGTCGTCTTGGCACGGTTCTGTGTTCACCTGCGAAGGGTCCGCAGTTGTCAAAGTGGCTGTTTGCTGTGCATGTAGATAGTAAAGCGCCAGCCCGAGCGCGGCAGACGCAAGCACGAGAGACGTCCATGATTCCCTCGCTTGCCAAATTCCAGTCATTCCAAGGTGAGGCAGTCGCGGCCATACACAATGTTCTGAAACTGAAGGTGCAGGTCCGAGTTCTCAGGCGCAGAGTGCCGGCCCAAGACGGTTTCGGCAAGCACTAGCGCGTAGTTTACGTAGACGTGGAAGCCGCGATCCGACCGAGGGCTGAGCTACCAAGAAGCACGCAACGCAGCCATTGCCATCGCAACGCCAGGCACCGACCAACATTCACTCGACCCAATCCGATTCACTGCACAGCCACCATCACATTACGCAGCGCAACGTACACCAACGCGGCGCACGACATTCCAATAAAGGATATCAAACCTCGCCTGATACTTTGTGCCAAAGCTTCACTCAGCCCGCGCCAGCAACAAAGCCACCGGAACCGCAATCTACACATCTCCAACCCACCACGTTGCGCATTACCTCGAAAAGCTAGACGCATACCGCAGTCCATCACACCGCGAAAATGACGCTCGCAGAAGAGTTCAAGTCGAGGAATTTCAGTAAGATATCCGCTGGTCAAGCTGTAACTTGCTGCTGACATGGCATCTTCGCAGGTATCTACGGACAATGGTCAGTCACGCCAGCTGCTATGCACACGTCCACGGCCTGCAGCATGTCATACTAACTCTTCGGCAGGACCGGAGTACTGTGTATAGTCCTCTGCTTTGCGCTGGGCATCGCCAACATCTTCAACGCCAACTGGGTCATCGCGTTTAGCATTGTCTGTTTGTACGTTCTCCGCGCACACATCTTCGCTGGGAATTTAGCTAATCAACTCGCAGAGTATGCTCCTTCATCATCATCTTCATCGAAATACCGCTGCTCCTCCGCATCTGCCCGACCTCACCCAAATTCGATACCTTTATTCGCAAATTCAGCTCCAATTACATGCGCGCGGCCATCTACGCGGCGATGAGCGCCATACAATGGGCCAGCATTGCTGCTCGGGCTACCAGCCTGATCGTTGCGGCCGTATTCCTGCTGCTCGCAGCCGTCTTCTATGCGCTTGCCGGTTTCAAGGGCCAGCAATTCCAGGGCAGCAAGACGCTCGGTGGACAGGGAGTCGCACAGATGATCATATAGAGTGGAGGCAGAACTAGGCAACAAGCAACAGCCATGTGCGACGATTCCGAACGAATGACACGCGTATAGAGAGAAGGACCGACGGACGAACCGATTGATATCACAAGAACGGAGATGATGGGCTTAGCCGATTGGAAAGCGATTACAGGAGATGATTTGACTTCTTTGTAGCATCATTCAGCAGCTGGGCGTTCTGGGGCCATGTTTTGTAAGAGAGCCTCTTGGATATGGAAGCGCTTAGCCAAACTGCTAGGCGGTTAAACGCGACATGCTTTCTCCGTACTCATCGCGTTCCCGTGACGATTGTGCATTTGTCGTGTACGATGTCGTCTTGCTGTGTGTGGGGGCACCTACGTAATTATACACAGATATTGGTCGATAGAGACGAGCGCAGGGCCCACATGAGTCGTCCCTATGACGATGTTCTAGAAGCTTTGGGTGTCATTTCCTTGAGTGTACATTCCTGAGAGTGCAGCACTCGTCTGCTCAGCCACCATTCGAATTTGACTCTATCGTTGCTAAGAAAGCCGTGACGAGCACAGGTAGTGTCAGACCACGACAGCGGAAACGCCAAACTTGACCTGGCATCTGCTCGCTTTTAGGATGACGATAACTGGCTGCCAGAAGCTCGCCAGGAACCACACTTGTTCGGCGCGGGGAACGCTAGCGATTTAGCGGCGGTGCCGGAGCTGTTGAAGATCCTGCTATAGCGCTGATGGATGCAAGTTAAACAAACGCACATGTGATGTCGAGAGCTTTGCAGTGTGACTTGTGCGAATTTTGATCAATGTTGGATGTCCCAGGCTGCGAAACACGTCTATGCGACTGCAACAAGCGCATACTCCCCAATGTAGAATAGCGTCTAGCGAGCATGTGGGACATGGAGATTCAATGCATCTGTCAACAGCGAAGTTGACGTGGACGTGTCGAACATCTCCACTACAACAATTGCATGAGTGGCACCAACGACTGGACCATGGAAGAAACCAGTCAAACAACGTGTGGTAGGTACCTATGCAGGTTGCGGGGATGACGATGATGGCCGCGTGCAGGCCCATACGCCATACTGCGGGTCGCAAGCCCTGGAGCTCTCTGCTACATAAGTGCCCCGTCCCAGCTCCAGGACCGATTCATTTGCGCCATTTTGGCTGTGTCCGACCAAGCTATCTGCCCCTCTTGCCAGCCTCACTTCTAGTCTCCACTTCAATTGCGGATTCCGAGGTCAGTACAGCACATCCGCTTTGTGCAGCATCATTGGGCTCTCAAGTCGCAGCCGCGCTTATTGGCCTCACGTGCAGGAAACTGCCCGAGCCAGACCTGAGCACTTTTCTCAGCTCGCTCACGCTGCACATCTCCATCATTCAATGGCTGGGACCTGTCACTGACATTGAACGACTTGTAGTTTCTACCGCACCTACACCCCACATCCCCGCCGAGCAACCGACACAGAAGCAATGAGTGCTCCACCAACAATACCTCCACGCCCAGCGCGGGCCCAGAACAGCTCTTCTCCTGCGCAGGGTACCCATATGGATGTCCCCAAGATTCCCCCACGCCCGAAGCGCGGTGTCGAACGCTCCGTCTCTCCCGCTGGAGACAGATACGCCCGCTCCCCGCTCAACGACCCGACCTACGTACATGGTGGACCGCCTAGAGAGGGCGGTCGCCTTAGCACCGATCTGCCCTCCCGCCCACCGAGCGTGTCCATGCCCTCCCTCGGAGAAGAAGGCAATGAGTACGCCAGCTTCGAAGACCTGTCAAAGACTCTCACACCGGAGAACCAGGGAGGCTCTCCACAACATATGAAGAACGTGGCAGGAGACTTGCCGCTGCATGCTCCTACAGCCTCGGTCCCAAGCTCAACCGCCAAAAGTAGGATCCAGGCGGTGACGCGGACCGATTCACAGACAGCGCTCGCTGCTGGCGTCGGCTCGCAGCTGTCCGTCGATGATAGGGTCTCTCAGGCCAAGACTGGCCGTTCAGGATCTTCCGCTGGATCGCGCCCCAGCTCGCTCTACAACGACAAGGACGAACATGGCATTCCCGAAATTGGTGTTCAGGTACCCATGTTCCGCAATGCTGGAGACGTTCAAGCTCCCAGCCCTTCGCCCTATGCGCAACAGCCCGGAGCTCAAGGAATAGGTTTCCACCAGAAAGCCGGTGGTCGCCATCACGGGCGCACCAAGAGCGGCCGTGAAATCTTCCATGGCCCTCCTGGCAGCTACGGCATGCACGGCCACGGCAAGATCTCAACAGACGACTTTGAGCAGAAGTGGTACGAAAAGCACCCGGACGATCTGAAGCGCGAGAAGGCCGGCGAGTACGGTCCTCATATCCAGGAGAACAGGAAGGATTACCACTGGCGTGCCGATAACCTTGACAAGCTGGTGCACACTAGGTCTCAGGATGTTGGAATGGGTGAGTCAATTGCAGCTCCATTATTCATCAGCTGTTGCTGATCATATTTTACAGGCACGAGTCGGGACGCAGTCAGTACACCCGACGAACAGATTGGCTACAGAGCCACGGAGGAATATGCTTCGCGCATGGCCTCTCCTCGACCGCAATCATCGGGTCGCCCTGCTTCAATCAAGGGCGGCTACGTCGACTCACCTCTACGTAACGAAGCCGGCCAAGAGGTCAATGACAAGGGCGAGGTCATCCATATCGACCCTCCTGCCCACCGCTCCAGCAAGGTTCACGGCGGAGGCTATGACCCACCAACTGAAGACCTTGGCCCCGAGGGCGGAAACACAGCAGAGAAAGGTGGATGGGTTACTGAGCGCGGATATGGCACGCCCATTCTAGCTTCCGATGAGCTGAAGAAACACCCAGACGCCGAATGGAGACAGCCTGCTGTATCGCCTGAAATGGAGCGCCATGGCAACGAATACACGCTCAATGAAGATGGCAACCCGCAATATGTCACAAAGCCGCGCACGCATAGCAGGAGCTCGAGTCGGAACAACAGCACGCAGCAGCAACGTATGATTCCCAGCCCCGCACAATACGATCGTGGCAGTACTCCACTAGAGTCGCACAAGGAGTATGAGCCTCTCTTTCCGGAGGATGAGGATGACACCAAGAAACCCAAATCTCAGGTCGACAAGCTCAAGCGTCCCAGTGTCGCCCGACACCACTTTCCCAGTCAAGATGTATGGGAGGATACCCCTGGCAGTTTACAGCTCGAAACTACCGTGGACACTCCTCAAGAGCCAGAAGAGCCAAAGACTGCTGGAGGTAACGATGGCGTGAGTCCTGCAAAGGTCTTTGAAGACCCGAACACCGAAGAGCAGCGTAAGACTCAGATCAACAAGGAAGATCAGAAGTCTTTCCTCCCCGACCACACTAGACAGTTCGCCGCAGACAACAAGATCCTCGGAAAAGTACGTGACGAGACAATGGGTCGCCCTGGAATGCAGCAACGCTTCCCAAGTCAAGATATCTGGGAGGATGCGCCATCCCACGGATTATACGAGACTACTGTCAGCACACCTCAGATGGAGGATACGAACGAGTATGCCGACGACTCTCCCATCGACCAAAAGCCCCCGGTGCCGGCTCGCCCCAGTATTCCAGCTCGACCAGCTAAAAGGGAACCATCTGCCGATGACAAGAAAGCACCCATCATTCCAGACCGACCGAAGCCACAGATACCTGCACGCCCAAGCAAGCCATCTACTGGCTCTGCGGAGAAAGTTCCAACTGTCGACTCACAGACTAGCGAGAACGACTCTCCCCAGACGAAGGCGAAACCGCCCGTTCCCGCCCGGCCCGCTGGCTCGAAGATTGCGGCTCTCCAGGCTGGTTTCCTGAAAGATCTCAACAGCAAACTTGGAGTTGGCCCTCATCCACCGCCTAAGGTCCGTGAACCCGAGGAAGACGAAGAGGCGCAAAGGGAGACAGCACCACTTCCAGATGCTCGCAAGGGTAGAGCCAAGGGTCCGCAACGGAGGAAGCCTGCTGCATCTCCGTCACCCGCTGCTGCCGCTACTGTTACTGCTGAAGTTGATGTACCAAGACAGTCGTTGAGCTTCGGTCCTGTGACACACGTCTGGAGTTTCGGAGAGGATGGTAATCTCGAGGTGCCTGCTGCAAAGATGGCAGCCCAGATTCAGCAATCACTCAATGCTTCGACTAAGACAGTCGAACCTACTCTTACCGAGAATGAAGCGGATCGAAATGTTGCACCAGAGCCAAAAGAGCTCGAACTTGCACAGACTACGTCAAAGGAAGGCAGTGAACCTGCTTCTGCGACCGAAGCGGTTAAGGAGAAAGCTCCATCGACTCTCGAGCAGGCCACGTCTCAAGTGTCGGAAGCGTTCGGATCAGTTGCTTCCAAGGTATCATCTGCCCTCTCGCCAGAAGAACCCTTGGTCTCCAAGACTGCACCCGGTTCTACCGACGCGCCCGGTGCATTCCCTGGTTCTGGCCCGGACTTAGACAACGATGCTGATGCCAAAGGTGCACCTTTGGAGCAAAAGCAGTCAGAGGATAAGCCCGTCGGTATTTCCGCTGAGGAGAAGAAGGTTGATGAATCTACCTCGCTGAAGGAGGGTGAACGTTCCTTGTAAACTCTTGCTTGTTAAGCAACTCAAAAAAATCGAGTTGAGTGGTAGGATGGGCGGTATTGTTACAGGTTCTCAATACTAGAGTGCACGTAGATATTTTCCAATTCATTGTCAGAATACGCCTCCAAAACTTAGTTGCATGTTGTGACTGTATGCCTTGATATGCAAGATGATAGCGACGTTGTTGTGTGCTAGTGATACGTTGTACAGGTTCTTTTTGGCCTGAGCCGCCATACTGAAGCCCATTTGATGTTGTCGGCGCGATGGGCAAATTATGAAATGTGTTGTCAATGTGTTGCTTGTATGTCTTGTCGCTCCGAGGATTGCTAATAATATCGGCTATTGTGTACTGATCAACTGGTGGTCATATGAGTCCTCCGAGCTTCAAGACAATCTTTTTATTGCTCGCAAACCGTCATCAAACACTCGTACACTCGTTCACTTAAAACTATCATCTCTTCTGTCTGCTCCCAGATACGACACAGCCTTGCATAACATCCTTCTTCACGCCTGTGAACGACCCCGGGCGCCTAGAGAGGAAGCGGCCATGCGACGACCTACATGGCACAATAGCAGTCACTGACAAGCGTACCAAGACTTTGCAGGACAAAAAAATCGGCATCCCCATCAAAGATCCATCGAGACATACTAGTGGCAGGGCGCGCCATGACAGACCTCTAGATTGTACATTTCTCCACGATGACAGCAAGCATGATACGATGAAGGCAAAGGTTCTAGAAGAAGACATACAGCGCGAAGCAGAGGTAGACAAATGGCTGAGCCATGTCGCCCTACGCCTTGAGGCCGGCGAGCAAATACCCATTGGGAACCTCTGCAACACGAAATGGCACATAGCTTGTCGCGAATATTGGGAGCAATATATTGGCCCGGACCGCTGCTGGCCTGATGACGATATGGGGCGCTCTCTCTGGTTTCTGAAAAAAATATCATGGGATTCATGGGATATGAAGACCACAAAGAAGCAAATAGTGGTGGCCGATTTTGTCATGAAGGGAAGCTTCGAACCTTATAGTGTTATGAGTTTTCCCATTAGAAGACCAAAACACGCAAGTTTAGATCCTATGGTTGTGGACTTGAGGTGCGCTTAGGGCGATCTGAAAGTCTGGTTCTTGGGCAACGGGTACATGAGGATAGAATGGAACACTACGTTCCTCGCGGGTAAACAGGGGGCGTTAACGATGTCTTGTATACAGGTAGAGAAAACTGGTGAGCATGACTCTGGAAGCGACGCTACTGAAGAAGGATCAGACTCTGAAAAAGGTGACGGAGAAAGCGGCAGCGAAGAAGAAGGTAATGATGAAGGCGACAGCGAAGATTGCGACGGCCTCGGCGACTGCTACTGCGAAAAATGCGTTCGTTTTTGGGGCGGTATATATGGGGGCGCTTTATACGACGATCGCCCTGAACCAGAGGGGATGGATGAGCGCAGAGTAGACTACGAATTTCGGAAACTCATGTCCAGACGGGAAAAGAGACCATGGTGATCGGCATACGCGATTGATGAGCGCGTTGATTGAACTTACTTGGACGGAAGACGGCTTGTAATTGTTCTTAGTGTTGCTATTTCACGCGCTTCAAATGGAGTATAAGGGCAAGCTTGTTACCTTCTTTTCGTCTGACAAGCCGGAACCGGAAAACATCATTGTACCCTCCCTCTTCATATCCCAGCTAGTTTCTCATTAGTTACAATGAAACACATGTCCATAGATTCCATTGCTAAGCTATGCTGTGGCTTCTTTAAACGTCTTGCAAGCGCCGTCTAAGCTACGTGTTTTTGTGAAAAGCAACCTGAGTTACTGGACAAAGGTATCAGTGAACTCTAACCACTGATATCATGGCATATCTGTAGCTTCATAGTCGTGACGTGCTTGTATAAACATGACATTGCATACGCACGTCTTGATCTGCGATTGTTCTAGACCAAGACCATTCTTCTCTGTCCAGTGTACGTCGCTGTAACATTGCGTACTGAACGTACAAGCTCATGGTCTGACCAGTACCTCGAGAATGCAAAATCCAACATGTATGTAGTCACGGTATCACAATACACCAGCATCAACTGCTACCATCGTTATCATATCCAGTAGGCACACATTTGCGCTGAGAATGCCTGTTGCACAAATGAATACATCGGTCTTGCCCAGGACGTCGTTTTTATTAGATACCAATTCCCAAATGATCGGGATCAGACTGCTAATGAGCCGCTGCCAGCGTCTACAAGAGCAATGCCGAGGATGATGGCATACATAGGCATCGTACGACGTGCTTATGATACATCGACAGACGAGTTGAAGCAGACATGTGTCAGAAAAAGAAGTGTTTGTGAAGAAACACCGCCTTTCAGCTATTAGTGGGTGAAAACGATATAGTGATCCGAATTGGCAGCATTTGTTCATAGCGTCCACGATAAAAAAGTATGTGCCCAGAATCAACGCGTAGCTGAAATATCCAACCCAGCTAGAATTGGGCTCAAAAGTAGCTTCGTTGGCCATCCCACGAGCGGACAAAGCCGATGGTTGCTTTCCAGCTCGAGCTCGTCTCCTCAAAACGGTGTTTGCCGTGAAAAGAAGCTGCTTCTTGACCTCGACCAACGTCTTACCCTGATCAGGACGCCACAGTGGCTTCATGTTGGTAAAGCCGAGGCGTACCATACCCTACCACCGAGCATTCGAGAAGAATACGAAAGTATGAATAAGCTGCTAGAAGAAACTTCTGCAAGACCCCTAATCCCACGCCGCTTTACAGCAGCAACGGGAAACCTGGCTGCGTATCCAAATTTCCCCAAGCGTAGTGTGCGCGTACTACCTATGCATTGCCGCGGCCACATGCTACCGCGAACCGACCCACATCACGGCAGGCACGCGCCTCAACACCAACGCAGAAATGTCACGATGATGCGGTGTACACCACCCGAGGCTCGGGCGAGACTAACATCCAGGTACCAGCCTCCCGAGGTGCTAGCCTCGACAATGGCGTGACACCCACACAATACGCTAAGTGCAGATTTCGGTACTCGCACACACGAAAAAAGTTTTTTTCCTCCGTGGATCTTCGTAGATTTGTGTAAGAATTTCCTGTCCGCTGGTGTTGGTGTACCGGGCATACTAGGCAGAAAATTCTCCATGGGCAAACTCACAGAACACGTGCTGGTATGAGGGGAATGCGTTGACCTCGGGAACTGGGATGTACCTAGATGGTAGTCACCATCTGCCACGGCTTTTCTTTCCGTCAAATTTTCTTCCTGTGGCCGTTGAGTTTGGCCAAACGACTTCAGGGCTCCTTTGTTCCGTGCTAGCTGTTAGAAGCTTCCTGCACAACATGTGCTGCCTCGGTGCGGGTCGGCGCGAGGTTCTCGAGCGGATCCGGACGTACGTCCGCTTCTGGATGTGCTGCGTGTGCTGGGAAGGGAAGCGTTAGCCGACGGGCAACTTGGCCGTTGAACACTCGGTTTCAAAATCTTGAAACTGTGTGAGAAAGGTTTGCGCTTCCATCTGAGTGAACGATACGAAGTGCGATGGAGTGCTTGGCAACCCGCGGACGCCGTTGCTGTCGTGACGGGGTTGATCGACATGATGTGCGCCGAATCGGGCAAGGTCATCGATCTGTCGAACTGGAAAGATAAGATTCCGCTGCCCGGCGCGCGAGGAGAACGCGTCCGAGGAATCCGGCTCGACATGAATATGTCATAGACCCTGGTTCCGCCGTGACCGTTGACAGCGTCATCATGTGAACCAGCTTATTGAAGCAGACGAGTCCAGACCTTGATCAGGGATAATTGCTGATGATGCAAGCGACCTCGGAAGAATAGCAACGGTCATCGCAAGCTTGCGAGAGAGGGGGGGGGGGGGGGGGGAAACACAGAGGTCATGATCACTCGTTGGATACGGCACGTGGCTGATGATGTGGCTCAATCTATCTTATCTTATCACCGCCTCGTACGTCCGCTCCGCCCCCGGATGATCAACATCGCAGCATGGTTCGCTCTTATTGGTGAACTATTGACGATCGTCTAAAGCCTCACTCACTCACCGTTCTGTCACCATTGTTAAATGATGACCAGCATATCCTACTAAGTGAGATGGGCACATTATTGCATCCGAGCTACATGCGGATGACATCAGCAACATTGTTGATGATAGCTATCTAGGTAGGTTTCAGTGACAATATTATGTCACTTGGGTTGCGCAGCCACCATGGCGAAACTGCGGACCATGTTGGCGTGGATGATCTGATCGTCAGATCGTGGCTGCCTAAGGCGCGCCCCATTTCCCTGTTTGAGCCCCGACTTCCCTGGATGGGAGAACGTTCAGGAACAGGGCAGCATGTTTGGGACGTGAGGCGTTGCTAGGCACGACGCGGCCCAGAAACACCCAAGCAGTTGAGTTGGCATGCCAGCTCAGCAACATTCGAGATGACACGTTATCGCAAGAAACCTCCGTAACTTGGAAACAGGGTTTCGCTTCATTCGAGCGGATTGCGTAGAGCTGGCTACGCGCAAGCTAGATTCGTACCTGTTTCACTAGGTCTCGCGAACCACAGCGCAGCATCAGCTAGCGGGTGTGACTGAGGCAGGCAGTCTCTAGTAAAAGCAAAATCGTCGATGGTTGTGAGAAGATTAGCTGTCTGAATCGTTTCGTCGACCGCCATGTCGAAACAAAATGTTGAAACCTCGAGATTGAGGGCATGGATATGTTTTGACTCGATGTTTGGTACCGAGTCTGATATGAGATTTGATCATCTCTCGTGCCATGGTAGCGTTTCGAGACGAGCATCGTGGAGGGTCAGTGCCGGTATCGCCGCGACAGCAGTGGAGCGTGGGGAAAAGGAGAGATCAGCGCTGTAACTTCCGTCTTCAACTTCTGACAGTGTGGAGACGGGAGACCTTGCTCAGATCAAAGCTCTCGCGGTCCAGAAGCCCTCGACAAGTGGGTTTCGCAACAGATTGCCATTGACCGCTCATCCTACAGCTGTCAAGTGCATCAAGATGCGAGTGCGAATAGAGGATGGATGCATGTCCGCATGCGACGGATAACCTCGTTCCAGATGATCCGCTCGAGTCTGGCTCATGTGCCCGCGTTTCGCCCGAGCGGAACCAAACGTGACCGTCCCCTACGCGAGCTCCTGTTGTGTCCGATCGGATACATTCAAACCCCGAGCAGCCTGTCTGCCTGCGCACGCTTTTCGGACGTGGGCAGAACCAAACGCCGAGTCGACCCGGCTGCTTGCGGCTGCATGCCTTGCATACACCAGATCTTCCCAGGCAGAAGTGGATGGTCACTCGGCGGTGCGTGGGGCGGTGCGATCGGTGTACGCAATCGAGCTCGCAAATCCTACTCTGCGTATGCGGGGACACGAAGTTGACTGACCGGAAGTGCACTTTCACCAGGCAAGCGTTGCGACGACAGTGTCGCTCAGCCATGCAAGGCGCGCTCGGCGAAAAGCAGCCGCGTCCGCGATGCGAAGTGCCCGCCCTATGCGGGAGGCATGCGAGGGGCCAGGGTCTGACGCACTGGCCAAAAGTCGGTCAACCCTAGGAATTTCCCAGCACCAGATGTGTGACTGGGCATGTTGACAGGAAACTGTAATGTGTGGGGTTTGTTGCTGTGTCGTGTGCTGTTGACAGTTCATCAGTCATGCATGGGGAGTGTACCTGTGACCTGCTCAGGATCGATTAGCATGCAGCGTGCAGCGATAGCAGCGCATCACCTGAGAAAAGCGTGGAGATTGTTTTTGTGGGTGTAATGATCATCGTTGAAATTTCTAGCTATGGCGGGAGTCTCGACCACTGCCTTCGGGAGACGTCGAACCGCTCGAGACCAATATCCTAAATCGTCCTGTCCCCCTATCCATCCAATAATATCTGAGTAGAGTTGTTTGTGAGATCCTCTGTGAAGATCCCGACCGCCCTGCGGTATATGCCAATAAAAGAAAACAGAGGATATAATGCTCGAAATGCTACGCTATGCTGTAAAGGACTCGCTCGCTGAAAACGCTGGATCAAAAATCAAAAGGTCGGAACATGGTAGTGTGCTGGCCTAATAACTTGAGATGAGCGGAGCGGTGGTATCCATGAATAGCGGATGATCTTCGATGTTTTGTGATTTTGGTTTGGCGTCGTAAAAGGTTGTTGTGAGCATGGCTTCTTTCTCGGTGAAGTTGAAGGAGGCTTGCGGGGGCGATGTGGGTGGAGACTCGTCGTCGGACTCTTCCTCGTAGGTGAGCTCGGGTGGGGATTGTAATTGCGATGGTACCCGGGTAAGAGCCAGTTCTGAGTCGTCCTCCATGTCGTCGTAGAAGTCCTCCTCGTCGTCCTCATCCTCATCCACCTCCATTGTGCTGATCTGAACCGGTGATTGAGCGATGCGGCGAGGGAGTGCGATCATGTCGAAGTCGTCCTCGTTCTCAGACTCGGAGTCTGATTCGGAGTCGTCGTCGTCGTCTTCCTCCTCAGCGATGCTGTCGGCCCATTGGATGTGTCGGGACTCTTCAGTCTTAGAGGCCTTGGCCATGGTCTGGTTGAACCACTGTTCTTGCTGGCGTTCGGCGTCTTGGAGTTCGACCATGAGGCTGTCGAGGAGGTTTGCGTGTCCAACGAGAAGGCGGAGGTTGTGGTCGGCCCTGCATGCCTCCTTGCCCAGCTTGGAGCGGGCAGAGGCAGCAATGTAGTAGGTTTGGGTGAGCGACATCTTCTGCTTCTTTTGCGGTGGTGATGAGATGAAGTGGGAGCGGGTAGTCTCAGCCGTGAAGGGCTCGAAGGAAGTTTGAATGCGGAGGTGTGATGAAGAAGGCATGTTTGGTGTGTATAAGGCAGTAGTATATGAGAGCCTACAAATTGTGAGTCAGGTTGGTTTTATGACTGTCGAGAACGAGGGTACAAACCTTAAAGCAGCAGCCAATGGAGGGAAGGTGATCCGAGCGTGGTTAGATTCCGAGATGTGTGATGTAATGTTGATCGACTGAAGATTGTCGAGTAGTGATGTTATAATTCGCCGAGGAGTGGTGGACTGGTGTGTGAGCTGATGATGATGGAATCTGAAGCGAGGACAGGCGTGTTTCTTATGTTTCGCTGGCGCATGGAGGATGGATAACGGGTGCTCGGGATTATTGGCATGTTTCCACCGCTCTTGGCCGAGCAAGGACGGATGCGGTGAGCTAACACACTATGATTCACACCTGGGCACGACTGCAGGGGTGCTAGCGCGGCTTACGATACAGCCCGGTCGGTCGTAGAGACTTTCGCCCGCATGCCCATACGGGCGTTACGAAGCGGACGCCGGACGTTGCGCGGATATACAGTCTGCCCATGCTCACATGCCAACGCGATGGGTAATCGGGGTCTCGCTCTTGTCGGCGTTTACTAACCCACGATGCATTGCATCACTCATCGTCCGCCCACATCGCGCCATCAGGGTTTTTTCTTTTTGGGCTCTTCGCTTTTCGCGTTTCCCCTGCTAATATCCTCGCGGTGCGTTGTTCGAGCTAGAGGGTGCTTGGGCGAAACTGCGCTGCCTGGCTGCCTGCGGTTCCAGGATGCGCTGTCGTCAGGGCTAAGCCACGGACCTCTGTACAGGCGGAGCGGTCAGCCCTGAATCTGTGGCTGTCAAACGTGTCCACCGTCTCGCCTAAGGGGTCACTAATCCCTTCATTGCGCGAGGTTGGTTTGGCGTCGAGTCTCTCCGCGCGACAAAACCAACGTTAGGCTCACGACAGCAGTTCAGCCACACAGGCTGACGTCCGGCACCTTTCGTACCTTCGTATAGAGTCGTCGCTTCGGCCGACGCCTTGGAACCTTGGTTTTCCGGCTGCCTAGCACATCGGCTTTTCGCTTCCTCACAGCTTTCGTCCGCGTCGTCACAAGCGACCCGTCCATGTCTAGCTGGGCGGGCCACGCGGACCTGTCAGTCAGTCTGACCCCCGCGCCCAAGCAAACTATCGTGAAATGACCCAGGGTACCAATCACACCTGGGCATCAATTGCGAACAAGACCCAGGAGCATGCTGCTTGTCTCCGACTCCCTATTACTAACTCCCGCCTGCAGCTTGCTGCATCGCGCTGTCATTGGTAGAGAGGGCTGGCTTTGTCAGAGATGCTGAAAAATACTCTCTGACAAACCCGCTAACGACCCTGCATGAACCAGTATAATTTGATGACACGATCATGCGCTTTCCTCTGGAGCTTCGCTCTTGCGTGCTCCGAGGCAGTCAATTTGCGACAAGCAACTTTGCACCGTCGTCATGCCTGCTGGCTGAACACTTTGGTTACTTTTGCGCTCCTACAGCCCGATTGTCCAAGATATTGAGTTTATGGCATCTGTGCGTTTATTGTCAGGCACAAACAAAAAACGGTGAACAGTGCGTTCACAGCATCCGTCTCCGCTCCGCCCTTTTCCACTACTCGGGCTCCGGTGAGGGCGTGCTTCCAGGACGAACGATCCCGAAAGAGGAAAGTGCATCTCGTGGCGCTTTCAGCCGTCGCTACGCATACCGGATTGCGTTTACCGCGTACCTTCATCTACAGACGCACAGCCCTTTGCTGCCTTTGAGTCGTGCGATTTACATGGGCCCAATCAAGGTACGACTCGGTTCGACACTTTTCCGTCGGGTCGACTTCACCGCTGAAGCTGTACAAGGCTGATCAGGAGACCGCCAACGCCGCGAATCCGGCGGTGGCATATATGCATGCTGCGGTGCCATAGCAACGCAATGCTGCAATGCGACTCCGCGTCGACTGAGAGAGTATGAGTCGACTACTTACTAAACCCAACGTGCGCTTTCAACAGCCTCAGCCACCACACTTCTACAACCACTATAACCCCGCGTAAGTAGCTCACTTCGCGACGCGTTGCAAACGTGTACGCCTCACGCAGACCAAAGCTTGCTCAGCCACGCTTTGTCCTTCACAGCGTTTAGTCTAACGTCGACGCGGGTCTTCGCTAGAACGTTACCGCTTTGGGTATGCCTTCGAATGAGGCATATTTATTTAGATTCAATTGCGGCATATATTATCACACTTGCGGGAATATCGACTTCACCATCCTCTCCCCTAGCAGAATTCTGACCCGCGAGCCTTCGGAAAAGCACTCACTAAACGACGACCTCGCTGTTCGCGCATTATCATCGCATTCCTCTCGCCGAGGCCGAGCTAATTCCGGGAACGTCATGTTCAGCCTTCCCCAGTATCTTTTCAGATGCTGGCCATCTCTCTAAGCATACAGCCGAGTAGCTTCATGCATCACTAAGCAATCGTGCTGCTACTACTGATGACCGACATTCGCGTCTTTCCCAACATTTCACTATGACGCGACAGTCCAATGAGCAATGCAAGGCAACGCTTAGTGAGATGCAAGACTGACGGTCTTGTGTGAGTAATATTAATGTTGAGCAAATCCATAGCAATCAGTGCTGTTGTCAGTCAAGCGTGAAGTGTAACAAACTATTCTACCACTCGGTCGTTCGCTATTTGCTATGTGGCAGGCCTCTATGTAAGAAGAGGTAAGAAACGTCAATCTATCGACTTTTATTTTACTCCCAGTGCTATTATGCTTCTGCACATACAACCATTATGCTCAGTCTACCCTGTTACCCTGGCAGCTGCCATGAGTCTTTCCTTTCTTCCCTCTTTCCAGGCCTTGTCGAGTGCCTCCAGTTTCCCGCCCAGCACCTGGACACTGCTGGGCTCAAGCATGATGACGCCTCTCCTCACGTCAAAATTCTTCAGGACAAGTTTGACGCCCATGGTCATATTGGTATTGAGCCCGTCTATGCCCCTCAGCTCCATGGCATAGATCTTGAGGCCTTTTGCATCTTGCAGTAGCAGCTTGAACGGCCCTTTGCTCAGCACAGGAGCCGCAGCTTCGGCAGTGCCCTCATTCTCTTGCTCCACAACGCGCACAATCTCCCTTCCTTTTGTCATCTCGCCGCGCTCCTGCGCTTCGATAGATTCAACCTGCGACCAGCGCGAGTGGCCTATATCTTCGACGTCGAGCACCTGGCAGACGACTGGGCCAGGGACGATGCGGGATTTTGTAGTACCCTTTAGCACATCGTCGGGAAATACGGATCCTGCAGGCTGGCTGAGCGACGTGGTGATATCAGTAGCCAGCAAGCGGAAGTGGGCTGTCTGCTTGACGGCGGGCAACGGCGTGTTGGGTCGGGTGGTGGAGAGGAAGCCCTGCAGCCAGGCTGCGGTAGGGTAGAGATGGCGGGCATTTAGGTGCTGCGTTAGCTCGGCTGCGAGATTAGCTGCCATGTCGGTGATCAACTGCACCCTTTCTTGAGGATGCGCGGTTTTGCTTGTTCGCGAATAAGGCGGAGCGATGTGGGAGACGCGACGCGCCGAATGACGTGGGGCCCTCTTTCCCCAACGGTGGCCTCGGCCCTTCACATGAAGCTCAAGCTCCAACACTCCAACCACCAAATCTCGCAACGTAGCGAACAACTAACAAGGCATACCACGGCATGTCTACGATAGCCTCACCCCGCGCCAGTTCCTCGGTCCGCAGCCCCTCCTTGACCCGCACCTCAATCGACAGCAGCTCGTCGCATCGCCCACCCCCAGCCGCACGCCGAAACCGCGCTGCCCTTCGCGAGTTCTATGGCCTCAAGAACGCGCCCCGCGACGCCACTCCAGATGCCAGAATATCCGAAGAATCTTCGAGAACACAGTTAGGGCCAGAAGAAGACGAGACCCTCACAGAGCTCGATGCTGCGGATTTCAATGCAGAAGCCTTTGTAGAGGCATTGCTCGCCAAAGAAGGACTGAAGGGCGTACTGAAGGTTGAGGCAGACTTGGTGTCTCGTGAGCAGTCACCCGACGCATATGAGCGGAGATCTGGAATGCTGATATTGAAACAGAGATCAGAAATCTAGATAGCGACCGCAAGTCACTCGTCTACGACAACTATTCCAAACTCCTCTCCGCAACAAGCACCATCCGACGCATGCGCGGAAACATGGACCCCCTCGCGCCCACCACTCACACCCTCGGCCCTGCCATCTCCCATATTGCCGAGACAGCCGCGTCCTTGTCATCCTCGTTACAGGACAGCCACCAGTCCAAAGAACAGGGACTGGGCATAAGCATACGGGTCGAGCAGGACGACAAAGACAAATCAAACACGGACAAGAAGCGGAGACAGCAGGATACTGTAAGATGGGTTCTGGACACACCACGGCGGCTGCAGGATATGGTAGACCAGGACCAAGATGAGAAGGCGGAGAAAGAATGGGATGAGGTCAGGAGGATATTGGATAAATGGAAGGGCGTCGCTGGTGTACAGGAGCTAAGAGAGCAGTGCGAAGCTATCATGCGCGAGGAAGACTCGGAAGACTCCGAGTGAAACTGAATGCGACTCATGAAAGATTGGATTTATCCCCAAATGCGTCGCGTACCCTTGTCCATAAGGCTGGCTGGCTGGCTCTATACCGGATACTCGAGGCATAGAAGAAGCGATATGCTGGTGGCGTCGCGCATCTTCATGGCTCCATGGCAAGCTTAGTGCCAGCAACATCTGGCTATCTTGTACTTGGCTACATTGAGCAAAGTAGACAAAGAGCCGAAATCGAGCCCCAGGGTTGGATGTGGAAACCACTGTCTGCGCAAGAAGAGGCACTCACTTATTACGACTGCGTTGCGCCAGTGGCCCATCGACGTTGCTGTAGCTTCTCAAAGCATAACGACGCATGTATACGTATTTCTGTCCCACCCCTGCAGAAGGATATCAGCCTACTTGGGTGGAGTGGGTATATGAAGTGCAATTGCGCGAGCATTTCAGGTTATGGAACATGTGGTTTGTCACCTGTATGATATGCGCTGCTACTACTACTACATGCCATCAATGTAAACGTATGCCAACAGACAACAAAGACTTCAGTGAACACAGCGAACTCTTGATTGAGCTCAAGCCCCCGCATCTCTGACCACACTCTCCCAGATCCCCTGCCAGTCCGCCTCCCCACCCCCATACCTAGCCTCGAACGCGTTCATTGCCAGATTACCCAAGAACGGCCTCACCAACCGATTCACCAGCTCTCCCCTGGTCATCTCCAACACCGCAGCACCTTCTTCCTTTTCGAGAGCCTCGATAAGCGGGTCTAGGAACAGCGTTCTCCTGGGCTCATCCATATCCGACCCGTTCAGTGCAGTTACAGGAGCCGGAGGTGCTATCGAGGACCTTGTAAGGACCTCGTTGATCTCATCGGTAAGAGACATGAGCGTTGGTGGGGTGTCGGGCTTATATACTGCGTCAATGGTGTCGGAGATGAAGAGCCACTCCATGAGCTGGAAGTCGTCAGGGTCTAGTACAACGAGTTCATCTAACAGCTTGCAAGTCTGAATGATGCCGGCGTTGTTGTAATGCTCCTTGTTCGGAGCGTCTGGTAGGAGTGCAGATAGTCCGGATGTCAATTCGCCATTCACAACTGGCCAAAGCGACGCTAGATGGACGGGCGACGTCTTCAACATGATGGCGCGCAGTAGTACGATGACGTCTGTACGGGTGACTGAAGACGGTGACGATGCTGGCGTGGCGGTGAGCAGTTCGACAATCTTCTCCAAAACTTGTGGTATGTTCGGTGTGAAAGCATCTTCGGGGCTCGCAAGGATGAGAAGGGCAATGCGACGTAATGTAAGCTGGGTTTTACGGTCGGCTTCCTGCCGCGCAGATGTCGCGCCAACTCCAAACATTATACCAGCCGTTGTTGGCGCAGACAGTCGTGCAAGTAGCTCAGGCAGTCGCTCCTTGTCCGATTGCGTCCATTGCGCAAGTATAGGCAGCCAAGCTTCTCTTAGTAGATAAAGCGGCGTGTTGAAGAACTTGGGGTCATTGAAAGCATCGAAGATGTCTTTCTTGAGAAGTTTGTTGCCTGGCGAGATCTTGGTCAGGCCTTGGAGTAGATCCAACGTATTTCTCGATACGTTTTCAGGGAATGCTTTGGCGCGAAAGGTTGGTCCGATGACGGATGCTGATACGTCGGAAACGACCTTCGCAACACGGTCATTCTCGACGAGGATGATCGATAGTTTCGGTACGATGGTGGTGAGAATAGAAACGACATCGGTTGCTCGCTTCTGCGCACGATTTCCATTAGTCACAGCAGCTGGCTTTTCGTTTACCGCTTGGTTCGTGTCTTGTAGATATCCCATTGAACGCGTTGTGAAAATGGCAGTCAAGATCCTGGCAAAGATATCCTGTTCGAACAGTCAGTACAATTCACTCGAAAAAAGCATATCCACCCACGGCAAGCTCCCTTCTCATCTTCCGTTGCTCCCCAAAGTTGGTGTTATCAACCTTCTGCCCTATGACGGCGGTAAACTCCAGCAATGTAGGCAAGATCTGTCGATGAGGAAGAGGATTTGCGAGCACATCTCGTAGGAATAAAGTACAGTCCTGCCAGATCTCGTCCATGGCGTCATCTTCCAAAGAGTTTGTATACTCGACGAGAAAGGCGACCAGTTCAGCATCAGTAAGATCAGAGGTCAGTGTTGATAGTCGGTTGGTGTCCAACGCCCCAGGATCAGTCCGGCTGTATACAGCGTTGAATATTGCTGGAATGGTATGCTTTGGCTTCGAGCCATTGAGGACGTTTAGAAGCCCTGTAATGGCTGCTCCTCGCACATTGTCAACTTCTGCATGCGCCCATAGAACTACCAACGTCTCCAAGCACTCCAAAGCTTCCGCAGCGAAGAGATGCTCCAACGTGCGGCGAGCCCGATTGCGCATGCGTAAAGAGGTGTAAGCGAATGATGACGCTGACGTGTGATCCTGTAGTTCGAGCATATTCCCATAGCCACCCCATGACCATATCGCAAAGCATATGCGAACAGTATCTTGGAAGCAAAGCAAAACTGTAAGTCTACTGTTCGCGGTTGGCGTGCGAACCTGGTTCGTATCAGACGAAATTAGTCCAGACACCACATTGCTGAAGAAACCCTGCGGTTGTTCTGGAGACTTGTTGGCAGACACTTTCGTCTCCTGCGTAGTTAAGCGCTCGTGTGCCTTGGCCAAAATCTGCTCCAGTCCGTTCATGAGAGATATCAGAGTCGACTCGGGAGAGACAGTAGGTACGGGTTGATTCTTTGCGAATGTAATCTTGAGCTGCTCGAATGTAAGGTTGATCTGCTTGCAAAGACACTCTACAAGTGGCAAGAGATTTTGAAATATCGTATCAGGAAACATGGGCAGAACTTCAACAAGGAATTGAATCCAGTCATCGAGGACGAGGCGACTGGTAGAGGAGGAAAATCCAAACTTCAAGCACTCAACAAGTTGTGGAGGTGGAGGAATCGGCGCCGGTGTTTGATCTTCCGAGTCTCTGTTGATTGCGAGTGAAAGGCGCGACCGATTGGCAGGATGATTCGAAGATTTTGGCTCTGCTGTTGATTCTGGCGGACGAGCAAGGCGGAGTTTCAGTGCGGCCAACTCTGCACTTAATAAGAGGCTCTGCAAGGGCGGGCTGGCTGATCTTAACCTTGCCATCAGAGGTACTTCAAGCTCCAACTCTCGAAGTGGTGCAGCAAGTGGACTTCGATAGATTTGCGATATCATAGAGACCGACAACCGGTGTAGCTCATGTATGTGAGGCTCTAAAACTGTATCTGACGAGCCGTTTTGAAGCGACAATGTCGTCAAACATGTACGTATGAGCCACTCCTGGATGGAAATACGCGGTGAGGATGGTTCTGGCCAGGCAAGAGTGACCTCAGCAAGAGTTACCCACGTGAAATGTGATGGCTGCTTGATGACATTGAAGACATGCTTGAGGTAGTACAGGCATTCCTTTGTGTCGTCTCTTCTGGAACGTCCTGGTGGTCCCTGGGATGTCGTATTAGGTGCCAAATTGCTTGAAGCTGACAGACAATTGAGTGATTGGATATGAACTGCGAGGACCTCAAAGACTCTGTTCAAGCTTGGCGTATCTGGTAGCCAATTCTGCAAAAACGTAGACGTCTCCGACCCTTCTTCTGCCAGGGTGTCAAGGAGCAAGAGTAGCGGCCTTGTCAAGATAGAGTGAAAATCGCTTGCAGTCGTCGAGACATGTGGAACGTTACCACTTGGTCGGCGCGTAATATTAACACGCTTTTCTGACTGCAGGTTCAGTTCATGCATAATGTGCGTCCATAATGTCGCAAAACGTCGGGCACAGTCTGATGAGCTCTTCGAAACGGCATCTTGACCATTCTGCTCTACAATGATCGAGGCGATGGCACTTTCGACCATCCGGCTGGCAGGCGCAATGGTATGTAACTGTAACAATGATCGGGCTGTTTCGACATGGTACTTGGGTGATGTCGGCGAAAGGTACCGCCAGAAGTATCGAACCAAAGGATGGATGAGCTCAGGTAATTGGCTTGAGGCGATGTGAGGTCTTGATGGGAGTGCTGTCTGGAGTGCGAGTAAGACGGCTGTTATAGCGTTCAGGTGTGGAAATGAAGGATCTCTGTCGGTCTTGTCCGATGTGTGAAGGACATTTGCAAGCATGGTAATTAGGTCAATGTCTTCAACGGCCTTGAGACATTGAGTTTTGAAGACCAGATGGGATAGAATTTTGGAAGGCATCTCAGCAGTGATGCCGGAACCATTCGACTGCATAGATGCGGTGAACATGCAAGAAGCCTCACGAAGCGCAATCTGACCAAGCAGTGGCGGATCGAAAGGCGGGTCAGCTGCATCCAAGCTTCCTTGAGATTCTTCATAGAATGCACGTATCTTCTTGGACACGGTGACTCGTGATATCCTGAGAGCTGCCAATAGCTGCTGCTCCGTTGGTTTATCACCTTGAAATGACCGATCTGGAACTATCTGAACAAGCGAGTCTGCGATCTCAAGGGCAAGGCTTACAACTTGTGCGCCTTTTGAGGAGCTTTCGGTCTTGCCAGAGGTCTCATTCAAAGCAACAAGTGTCGATAGCACCATAAGAGGCATATGATGCAATAGCATGTCTTCCTCTTTGAGATTGAATCGGGCTTGAACAAACTTGGCCAGCTTCATCTTTTGTAATGCTTCGTCATCATCCGTCTGCAGGGAAGATGTTATGAGATGAATGAGCTTGCCCCAGATGAGGCCGCTATCGACGCCATCGAAGAATGCACTGGCACTTCTCATGACTTCGTCGACTTGTTCCTTGGATGCAGTTTCGCTGTATGCATAGACGCTTTGTAACGCTGGCAGGAAGATCTCGGGTACAATCAAACCACCTACTTCCCAACGGTCCATGAGAGATAAACAGACTCTGAAAGGACGTGCTCGTTCGGAAGGTAATGTGCTACGACGGTTGATCATCTTAAGGACGCTATTGGTAAGCGCTTCAAGACCGTATCGCGAAAAGAAAGCAGCTTGATGTGCCGAAGGATCTGCGGACACGTTGTGTCTGTCTGCTGTTGGGGATGTGGTGCTGTCGTTTACATCAGATGCAGTTGGCTCAGGACCTAGGAACCATGCCCAGAGCCGGCGATTCAAGCTCATGTCTCTTCGCGACACAACGCCTGCGGCTGCAGCTACTAGTCGCTCCAAATCCCCTTTTCCAACGCGCTCCTGCAAGACGGGTGAATCGAGAGGCAGATGGCTGACCAGAAGATCAAGAAACCCCCGTTGGATGAGTATCTGAGGGTCTGACAGGCCTGACTCAAAGCAGCGGATGAGGAGACCTGGTTCCGGGGATGTAGCTGCCTCTGCCTCGCCCGATAGCGTGTCAGAAGGTCTGGAGACATCAGGAGGCGAGCTGCGCCGCTCTGGCCGGCCGAATTTAGGCAATCGTCGCACGAGGAAAGCAAGTGCACCTTGCCTCCTGGATGGGTTGGTGATGGTGGCCAGGAAGAAGCACTGCCAAAAGTGAGATGAAGCACCAGCACTCTTGGCTTCGACTATGTCGTCTGAGCTGTCCTGCACTGCACTCCGCAACTTCTCAGTTGCAGAGACCATGCGCTCAAAATCCTCGCTTGTCTCATCTTCTAGTCCCGGCAGAATTGACAGTATGATGGCCTTCAAGGCTGGGCGAAGTGCAGCTCCGTCGAGCTTCAGTATATGCTTCTCGAAGACGGAGAGGTAGAGTGGGCGGACCGAGAGCGAGGCGAAGGAAAGCACAGAGGCAAGGCCGGGGAAGTAGAGGCTGAGGTCACGAGCGAGAGCATCTTTCTGGACATTGGTCAGCTTGTCATGAGCTGACTTGGGGGGGACGGGCATACACCGATGGTAGAGAAGATGTAGTCATAGACTTCGAGGGCCTTCTGGTGAACGCCCGAAGGCAATGTTGGATTCAAGCACTGCGCTAATCGCAGTGCGACAGTATCGCTATGTGGTATGACGGGTATCTCTGGAGGGTGCGCTTGCAGGGCCTGGAGGGTATTGTATAAGCGCTTTGTCTCATAGTCGCGGTAGCATGGCGGGATTGACCTTCAGCAGCCGGCCCAGGAAAGATATGTAGTCGGCCCATTCCTGCTGCGCAGTGTCCCAGAGGGCGAGGGCGCGTTCGACACCGGCGGCATAGCGTCGGAAGTTTTTGTCTTTCCTATACAGCGCTGTTCTCGCAGTCAGTGTCCTGATACTGCATGCATACTGCGACAACATACGCTCTTGTACAGCATTGCGCGCGGAGCGTGGTACGGGACTGGAGCGGCCAGAACCTGGTGGGGAGAAGACCTGCAGATTAGCAGTGGGATCAGCGGACATGCTGTGCTTGGCAGAGAATGATGAGTCCGTGTATCAATGACAGCGCGCTGCACATGCTGCTCTTGGTGGTGCCCAGGTGGAGGTGTTGAGCGCTTCATTTGTTGCCTACGTTTACGCAGACATGGCAATCCGACACGGAGCACTGACGGCCCGTTTCACATGCTTGCTCCGACGTGATGACGCGCGCCGCACGCGACCTCAAGCGCCCGACTACAACACCATGAAGCCTCTACAGTTGCCCTAGACATTGCCGGGGCCAGCGCAATATGCACGACGCAGGATCAGTAAGCCATGCATAAAAATCCATGTTATGGCTACCATGACTGACTGTGGCAGGCCTCACATGACGCGCCATCTGCCCCACCAGCCGATACGTTCGCATCTGATCACCATCACCACCACCTCTCTCACCATGATCCACCCGTCCATGTCCCGCCTCACGAAGATCCGCCCTACGATGAGCCTCCACCTTCGTACGACGACGCCGTTGGCACAACGGGTGCGCCGCCGGGCTATGGCACATTCCGCCCGTATACCGATGAATCCTCGATAGCAAGCAGCGAAGTCGAATCCACTCATCGCGCTCTACCAGAATGGTTCGGACAGGCACTGGTCGTATTCGTCTTCCTATGCCTCATATACGGATTTTGGGAATTCATCAACGCGCCTGATGTACCTCCTGACCCGTGGCCCGGCCATGGGCGGTTCAGACCGTCCGGTACTTGACTTGAAGTCATACAGACGAGCAGCACACCCACACCTCGTTCTCCACGACGACAACAGACTGTCCATCTGCACGCGTCGAATGTCCGAAGATACATATTACTTAAATGTGCGAGAGCTATCACGCCACAGCACGGCCTTCGAAGCATATCTAAAGATACAACGAGTCAGCGAGGTGGCAACCAGACAGGCGAAGCAGCTGTTCGTCAGGCAAATGCTGTTGTCGCGTATCAGGACCAGTATTCATACACGGTTCATGTAGAAGAAAGGTGCCAATTCGAGGCCCGGTTCCTTGAAGTGGTTCCAGTCTGCTAGTCCTGTGAGACTCCATGTGACAGATATGCCACTGGATACAGGAAATTGGTAGCTTTGTTCACATGTGATTGTAATTGCACACCCCGCAGTTACGTTACGTTGGCCTGCCTGGTCTGGCTCGCCATGGACTGAAGATAGGGAGCTTAACAAGCTGAACTAGACATGCGAGGATGCATGTGAAGTAGAAACTACTGTCATGAGAACATGAACACAGCGATTGCGAATCCGATCGTCAATATTTTGCAAACTCGCCAACTATTCCCTTGAACCTTATCACAGACGTGCATTCCAACCCCTCCTTTCAACACTGCGCTCGTCATGTTAGCACAGCTTGAGCATAAAACTTAAAAGCCATCGTTCGCGCCTGTTCACACTGCTGCTTTGTCGATTTCGCGATTCAGTACGCATGGCTTTCTGCATCGGGCCTACATCATCCCCAAATACTGTTCTACGGAACCGGTGTACCGACTGCTGCAACGCGTCGCTAGAGATTATAGTATATCGAAGTGGAACTTAAATCTGGTGTTGCAGTTCAAGCTACGCGCGTAGCGGGCTAGTACGGGCGAGTTTGAGCCACACGGTCGTGATCCGACGAAGCGAATGTCAGTGGCTCAGTCGTATACTAGCGTTATGCCATAGCGGAGCGTGGCCGAAGAGCAGCGGCGTCGCACGCCCGCCTGGTAGGTGGTTCCTGATAGTGTGGCACCGGGAATAGCGTTGGCGTTGATGTTGCAGTTGGTACTGCCCAAGCGGTGCTTTCTGTCCGACAAAGTTATGGTTCTTGTTAGACAAAATGTGTAGTGAAGAAGGTGCATGATGTTCTAGTGTGTTTTTGAGTCGATATGGTAGATCCTGGATAACGTCTTCCCATTTTGGGACCAATCCGCCGTCGCAAAGGTTACTTCGTCGTCGGAGACGGTCATGTTGGACGGGCTCTGGATATCGGCGAAGTACGTCTATCGTACAATTGAAGGTGTGCGTTATGCGAACATGTGAGAGCCACTATCTGATTACGCCATATCTCATGTCGCCGTTCTCCGACTAGTGGACACAGCAAAGTGTGTCTCTGATATCCACACACTGCACCAACGCAATCATAGAAGGAAGTATCCCACATGCACAAAGCAAAGCTAACTCCCTCCTGCGCAAGCAAGTCCAAGCGATACGCGACAAGCGACCCGACAACGCTCCCTCCGCCTGTGCCCGAGAAAAATCCCGACCACTTCAATCTCGCTCACACAAACCTAACTCCGGTCCCAGCCCAGTCCTGTCCATCCCGACAAAGACGACCCAAGGCGGCAACAAGCATGCGCTTCAGGATCGGAACTCACAACACGCGGGCTCCGCTTACCCCTGTACCCAGTGCAGTTCCCCATCGAGTGCGCAGGCATTATCCACTCGAGTCTAGTTTGCTCGTCAGAACCCACATGTGCACCTGGCTCGCAGCATCATACCCGTTGCGGCATTCTTCGCGGCCAGGGCACGCCAGCAGGGGTTAGCCCGTGCACGGCTCAGCTGGATTTTCTTCCAAGCAGGAAAGCTTTGGAGGCGCGTGCTGGCGCAGCTTTTGGACCCCACGCTGCGCTACACTAACCGCTAGTTCGGTGCGTGATCCGGGATCCCGACCGTTGGGTTTAGCCGTAGTGTGTCTTGCTTGTGGGTATCGTGTGTATGATTCTGGAGGTGGAGGGGTTCAGCCATCTTGTGCAAACGGAGAATACTCCATTGTGTCTAGGTACGCTTCGATAGCACCGAATAGCACACCTCGCGTATGGCAAGTACCGTAGCCCCTGGTGGGACATTCGCTCCAAGACCAGGTGTTCGTGACCCTCACGAACAGGTAGTAGCTCTACTATCGCAAAGGCCTTGTTTGTCTGTGGAACGCAAATGCGTCCACTCTTGATAGTAGAACTTGTACCCAATCTTACACTGTGTCGTTCTCGTCCCCGGCTGATAGAATGGCATGATATGATCTTATGTTGTCGTTGAGTAATTTATCGATGTCGGAATATGCAAAGACGCTAACGAAGTCGTCGAGCTCTAATCCGACTCTAAACTCGTCAATACGATGATGGTGCGAAGCAACAGCTTCCAGATGCTGTCAAAGATTCGAATTTTCTATACAAGACCAATGTCGCTTCTTTGCAGCCACCTCGAGGATGTCTCTTCTTGTAAGTGCTTCGCCAAGTGACACGGAATGGTTTTGAAGCGCTCATATTCCGAGACCTTCAGAGAAAAGATTGTTGTACTTCGCATACGGGCTTGGGTCATCACCATGGTTGCTACGGATCGGCCGCTTGATCGTCCCATGTTTTCTAGATTCGAAGCTCAACGATAAAGCCGTACTGTATATTGCACTGCAGAAACATGCTGATACATCTGGAAGTACATGGAGAGAGGCTTCCAAATTTTACCTTGAATTGCCTCGTAGCTTCCGTAAAGTGACATATGCAGAAGCAAAAGGTACAGCTCACAAAGGCGTTGAGATATGGTTCGTCATAGCATACGCGTCCGCGTTATCGTAATGGGGGTGGTCGCAAGTTACAACGCTTCTCCAATGTGTTGGGAATGCATGCTGACTTCGGCAGGATGGCACTAGTCAAAATGTTGTTGGTTGATTGAACAGCATGAAATCTTTACGTATCAGTCGTCTTTTTTTTGTTAATCATGAGCATGTGAACACACTTTCGAAGAGACATACATCTCAGGTCGACGAGCGGAAAATGCACGGCGAATTTTTGCCGTTCGATGTTGCAAGGTCCTGGCTCGTTTCGGTCCGAACAATGTACAGGGCTGATGCACGCGGCTGCATGCACCTTCGGAGGACCATTCAGAGCACTGCCTATAGCGCCCTCAAGTCGGCGACGTTGGGTTGTCATGACTGCGCGATATGCACCATTTGAGACACAGGTTGCCGGGCGGAGTTGGGTGTTCCAGATCACGACCTTCTCCTCTTGCACCTTCCTTTGTAGACAAGATGCAGATGTTCACAGGTCTGTGCCATCGTGCATCACCAAAGCGTTAGCTCGCATGTCTGCAGGCGCAGGAAACATTCGAGGTTAGCATCCAGGAACGAGTGCGGCTATTCCGCGCTTTACGTGCGTATGCCGCCCCTTTCCGCTTCAGACCAGCGCCACAACTTCACTACGGCCTGGTAGCGTGCAAGCGCGGAATTGCGATACTTGGGGCCGTCTGGCTGGTGCACGAGTCAATCGGGTCGTTGGATGATTTCGGTATGCTCCTGACTCGTCTACATTATATCCGATGGTAATAGGTGCTTCGTGATTTGCAAGATATCTGTCAGCCTGTAAAATGTGGACTCTGGTGGGTATTAGCAGCATCGATGGGGCCCTCTGTTTCTCTTCTTGAGTTCCGACGTTCGGTGTAGGAGTACAGAAACGAAGGCAGACGGATACGTCATGGAGCATGGTGGTGTCTTACTAGAAGTGAGATTAACGCGGTTCGTCAAGTGTTGGAAGATCGCACGGTGCAACCATCGCAATGCCTTCCCAAAGCCGTTGATCATCGACAGGGTCCGAGAGGATGCTGAGAACCCCATATTCATGCACGGTCGGTTGACTGGCCAGGCCACTCAACATGCAGATGGCCCGCGAAGGATTTGGAGCACTCGGACAATAACCTGTTGACTGGAAAGGAGCAGGCTACCAGAGAGCTGTTCAAAACACAACGGTATCGCAGGCATGCCGTGTACGCCTTGCAACTGTGACAAGACCTTGATGAAACGCGCACTAGAAAGAAAAAGCCCAAGGCTATATGCATGTAACGAGGAAGTTAGAACGGATCGTGGGGGCCGTGTAAGGGCGCAGATGGAAGAAATGAGGGTTCGTTGTAGCGCGACCCAGATCGACCCTTCCCAGCAGAAAGATAAGCTACTGGAGAAGAGTGGAGCACACTAAGCCACAGGTGGCCCACGTCCCTGTCCACAATTTTGACCGGTGGAACAGGGGAAAGCATCCAACCCGATCACCTTGAGTTGGACACCTTGACAAGGAGACAAGCACGGTAAGCTCCATGTCTGGATGGACAGCCACCTCGTGGCGGCACAGCCAAACCCCTGGCAAGAGGACCATGTCAAGGGATCCAACTTCACGGGTTCCAATTTGTCCGAGCAATGACAGAGTGCTTGTGACTTGGACCCTTGCCTTCCATGCCGTCGCCATGCCGCGGCCATGGAAATCGCGTGGTTGGCTGCTGAACGGCCACATCAAACGGCGCCATGTCAGGGCCGCAGGATTGCCGCTCGGAACATATGCCGTAAGCTCGCATATGTTCAGACAATAACAGGATATGCAAGCGGTACAGTAACGTCGAATCTATTGGACTTAGTCGCTCCATCGTGTTGTTTGTGCACTAGCGCGGCACGAGAAGCAACAAAGCGTGACGCACCTCTTGTCACGAGCAACCACCATGAGTTTTTGATCGATGGACGCTCGGCGTCCGCGATGGGGTCGACCTCATCGTGCATGTGGTCTTCTGCCGTATGTAAGCTCGCGGGATGGAACCGCTTGGGCATCCTGCCTTCCAATGCATGTGATGAAATGTGATTGGAAGCTGTAGCAACAGCCTTCATCTAACGTAATGCGTCTTATTGATCCATTGACGTGCAGGTCTGACTGGAAGCATGCATGTACCAGACTCTTGAAACAGCTTGGCTTGTCACTGAACCATGACGATAGCCACCACCGCGAATGTAGGGTACAGCCGCATAGCACCGCCATGTCATCGGGTGACATCTTCCTCAAAACTGGCTGCGAAACAGGAAAGCTTGCGGCATGCCGTCGTTTGGTCCGATGTGGGGCGACTATCGCTCTCGATCGCTGAACATGCCATATTCGCATTTCGATCCTTTGCTGGACGGAGTAGAACGCCCGCCAATCAACCCTGCGTACCTAGGTAGTGTGCACAGAGGTGATTCGCAAAAACATTCCAGCCACCTTGTCACAGGGTCCCGGCCCACATGAGTGGACGGCACCGCAAGTCAGCCTTGTTAAGGCCGTAAGGCGTCCCACTAGCAGGCCGGAGTCGCAGACCATTAACCCCCGACCATGTCGACATCTGGCGTGACAACCTGTGGTGGACTCGATCGCGCCAGCCATGTTGTCGAGAATGGGTTCTGGCTTCATGTATGACGTCGTGTTTATAGAGACAATCGAAAGATCGAAGAGTTGCAAAGGATCGTATGAGCCAAAGGTTGAGATCATTGTCGCTATTGACCGACACTCATTCCAAGCTAGTGTAGGCAACAGCGGCGCCATCTGCATCTATGCACACCAATTCCCAACAAGCGTTCTAACCGTGCTGTATCCTCCTTGGATGAACCAGTTGACTCTGCTCAGACTTCTCTAGTTTAAAAAACGCCATAGCAATGCGACGACGCAGATAATGCTGCAGTGATAGATGAATGGGAATGTAAATGCAAAATAAGGGTATCATGAACGAAAGTGAAAAGTTTGTGGTCCTATCAGTCTGTGACCTTTTCTTGGCGAGTAAATCTCCAGTTTTTTCGCCGTAGACGCTCCTAGCGAAGGGTTACGGCGATGACTCGAACCAGAGTAAGAGTTATAGACGACGTAGGCGCTGAAACAATGGTTTTGTGAGGCATGACAGTTGGTAGTTGTATCAGGAGCGCGATAACTAGGAGGACGTTGTTGAAGATTTCCTAGACGCTTTAAGGTGAATCCGCTTGACATGATCTCTCTGCAAATTGTCAGCAACATTCGGCACATATGACGCAAGTCAAAATTACCATATTGTCCACGCGACTGAAGACCCTGTCGCATCCGTCCCAGTCACACAATACACCCGGGTTGTGCTTGGCCTCATGTCTTGCAAGATCCTTTTTACTCGAAAAGCCTCCTCCTGTAGACTGTGGGCAGTCGCCATGACGGCAAAAGAAGGACTTTGTATGCCTTTTGTAGTGCTTCCTTAGATCGCAGCCCCGAGTGAAAACTGCTCTTGAAGTACATCCTGGGAAGGCACAACTCCATGTACCGTTCTTGTTCGGAATACCATAGGATCGAAGATCCGGCGAAGAAGGTGAGAGCGACCGCGATAGGGCAGGTGGTGATCTTTCAGATGGGACGTTGGACGGCATGCCATGACCTGCGGATGACGATGTGGAGTGCGATCTTGACGGTCGAGACGCACCGAAAGATTGTGAGAGCAGCGTTGAGTCATGCGCAAGCATCGGGGGAGATGCCATCTCGGAGAAAGATGGGTAGGAATACGACGTTACTTGAGGTAGCGGTATTGATGAGGGTTGTGTCGACCAGAGTGCGTGAGGTGGGTATGGGGACTCCATGACCGGTCTGTAATCTTGGGGTGGAGTGTACATTCCTGCGTGTGCAGACATGGTCGTTTGGGGTCGATGGGCCATGTGGTGTAGTGGTGGTGAATACATGATGCTGGGGGGTGATTGGCATGTGCTAGAGGGGTAGAGGTGACCCATGCCGTCAACCGGCGCCATGAGGGCTAGTTCTGCTTCGGACGAAAAGAAAGTCATCGTGGGTGACGCCAGGTGTGGTAGTGTTCAGGAGTGGTTCCCAGAATGGCGGTGATATAACAGGAAGGGGTATCTGGTGGTCGTCAAATGGCCGCAAGTCGAAGCCAACGCGGGTTGTATATCATGCAGAGAGTAGGCCAGTGCGTCTTAAGCGGGAAGTGCAACAGATGGGTGAGAATGACCAGTCTTAAGGCACAGACCCAAACTCTAGGGATTAGGGTATGGTAAGGCTGCTAGTCCGGGGTGTACAGGATTAGCCCGGGAGCGCACTAGGGACCACTCCACAACGGTAAGGCTGGGGCGTCAGATTCGTCGAGAAAGCGTAGCGGGCAGTGGCGGTGTTGTCATATCTTGCAGTGCCTGAAACTCCACTGGGCCCTGGAGGACGGCCTGAAAGGGACCAAGTTAGAAATTGCGAACGCTGAGCGGTGGACCATGTGACATAGACTGGTCAATGTAGATCCGGGGCGCAGACGAAGTTTGCAATGCCCAAGAGGATAGATAGCTACGTCGGGTCAGACATCCGATAGAGGAGTAGTCGCTACTGCTTGTCATAATAGGACGTGGGTAATTTGACTAACGCTTGCTGCGCTCGTCCCAATGAGACACCGTCCGTAGTTCATGGTCCCAGTTCAGACCGGGTGCATAATCCATTCACAATTGCGGTGGAGAGCGAGTGAGCCTCGCGGGCCGGCTAGCTAATCCTTGTGGGTGAAGGTACCGCCAACATGGCGACCGCACCGCTCTAGCGCTGGTCTGAGGAGTGGCCTACTAGGGTTAGTCCCAGGAAAGCTTCTGCCATCTCGCTTTCGCCTGTGAACGATCCTTCGAGCGATTAATGCGATACTTTGCAAACGGCCAGCAGTACTTCGGCTACCGAGTTCTCTTCAACATCCAGCGATGTCATGTCTGGGCTGAGATGGCACGTATAGAGCGGCCGGGCGATGTGTGCAGGGCGCAACCACAGCGACAGCCACCCTTCAGACTAGTCCCACGGGCTGTGGACCAACATCAGAGGCGGTAAAAGATGAGGGGCAAATGAGCGCTCCCCATGGCGTTGGAGATGATGGGCTGCCGATCGCAGCATGGTAGCAAAGCGACGAGAAGCGGCCTTGGGTGGTCGCTTACGCCGGCAAAAATTTTGGGCGTAGCGCATGGGGATTATACGCCCCGCGCTACTCTTGGGCCGGGTGCCGTGAGATATTTTTAACCCCTGCCGCCTGGAGCACAGCAACCTACATACAATCAGGAATCATAGGGCAGGGTCTGAGTAAGCGACGTTTCAAGCGGTCTGTCTGCCAGCGATTCTACAGCTTTTACTAGCATTGTCCCTCCAATAACACCTACGTCGCGCTCCAGACAAGCGACCCGTGTTTGCCAAGATAGCTCCTGACAGCAACGGTTTGATTGCGTTTCTCGACCTGGACACCTAGCTCCACTGCGTAGCATGCAGTGAGCCTGTTGTTTTTGACGTGGCTAAAGAGCGAAGGACGAAACATGACCAACGAGCGTGATAGATGGAATGACGGATCCACATGCTGGCCAAAGCCAACAACAGTCTTCGAAGCGCCCGTTGTTCCAAAGCGGTTAAACTTGCTTTGCAACGACTAGTACATGGTTCTTCTTGATCGGGTTTTGCGACCATGAAGTATCTACACCGCGTTGCCTTCGGACCGTCGGACATGGACTATTTCGTCCGAGATCTGCGTCAACACTCTTGGACAACTCGTCGAGGAGCAGGATCGGAGAAGCTTTTCCCAGACGATCAAGGAGATCTGAATGCCAAACATCAAACGGCCCCATCACAACACGGAAAACGCCCTTGTAATAACGGATACTCAGGCGGTACCCGGGCTGCATCGCGAGCAGCAGTCAGCATGCGCTGTCCGGCGCTTCAGACACACTACGCTATATGGACCGTACATTCAAGCCAACACACTTGTACATGGAGAGCGACAATTTGAAGGCTGTATATTCCCATGCACTGCCTTCCTCAAACACTGTTAGGGCCCAGGATGGCTGACAATCAGCTCCGCTTCCTCACGAGTTGGAAGAATGGTCGAGTGCCAGACACCACTTGCGGTAGGTAGCGTTGTCTCTGTACTCGATTGGTGACCGACAGTCAAGATCCGGGGCTTGCGTCACACTGCACACTCTCTTCGCCTTCATCTTTGCTTAATTCCGTCGTTGCTTGTCCAGTGACATGTCCAATGCGGGAGCCACCATCCGCACTGGCTGTATGGACCAACAACAGCTCACACGCTAGTTGATCCGCAGTCGCTCAGATATAGACAGCATCCACTAATGCACTTGATCCCAAGCTAAACAAAGCCAGTGTGTCGCAGTGATGGGGCCATGGACAATCAATCGAACGATGCTGTTAATAACAGTGTGAATGGTGGCCATCAGGCACTAAGGCAAGGCTGATTCCGCTCTGCAAAGGACAGGATGTCATCGCAAATCTAACGTACAGCCGACCAAAGCCTGTACCGTATCGACAGACAAACACTAGTCCCTATTCATCTTCTGGTTCGAGGGGCCCGGCACAAGCTGTCGTTCGATGTGAAGACTAGCTGGCAATAGCCACCGTGACAGGCGATGATCTGCATACACGCAAACGAAGGATTTGAACCGCTCTTAGGCTTTTCATGACAGCTTCCTTTTAAGAGTCATGCAACAGTCATATCAACATTTCTAGAACTCGTGTTCAAGCATTGTAAGACTCGGCCCGAAGCCGATCATAAAATGAGACTAACCATACTGAGGATGTCATACGATTGGATGAATAAACTGTCAGGGGTGTTTGTTGATGCCGCACCGGTATGAACCGTCTAGGCGACCACCAAGACTACCGGCTATCCCAGTATGTCAAGCATCAAGACCTAACGTCCCGTCTGAATGGCGTCCAACGGCCCTAAGAACCTTCATCCCATACTCGACAGCGGCATAAGCCGAATGTATTTACCAGGAAGCCGATTCGGCCCCAACATCGCAGTTCTGGATCTGTATACTGCATTAGTCCATTTCTAGCCAAAATATAAGATATTATACGATGTGTGGTTAGTGGGGCCTCCAGTCTTGATATAACTGTCGAAGAGGACCGGCCTCTCTCATTCATACCGATATGTTACCTTCATTCCTACCAAATCTATTATTAGGTATCGCGACTTCACAGGACAAGTTTCTTTCGAAAGGCGTGGGAAATCGGGAGGAATGTCGAGGGGTGAAACGTGGCAGTGCTTGTCCGCACAGCCTCAAATCGCCGACATGATCTGCAATCGCCGACCTACGAATTCCCCAGCATCCAGCATCGGACCCCACAGTGACTACGACGCTAGGAATGTTTCCCACGTGGGAACGCATGTCAATGCTGGGAGTCGCAGTTGAGCCGTAGCGGTGGGTACACCATGATAACTACCGATGATGGGATGGGATGCCTAAGATGCGAGCGGCGAAATTCTACCGCAGGGTGCCTGAAACGATCAGCCTCACACTTGCTATTAAACTTTACACAATGACGTTTAGAGGCTATGCTGATGATTTCATCCAGCACCGAGTTGACCAATTCCACAGCATCAGCTTGATACGCTACATTCATGACAAGAACGTGAATTATGCATAATCACAGTACGAATTTCTATTCTTGGGTGCCAGTGTCATCCGAGAAGGTATGATGGAGATCCACCGGTGCATGAGAGGCTTGGTCCAGCAATCACTTTCTAACCTAGATCAAAGTCCGTGGTGCTCGGGTACTCCACTGCCATCTTCCCAACTACGCACCGGCATCAGTGATCACTACAAGCCTTCAGTAGAGGAAGTCATGTCTAGAGGGAATCCACTTCAGGAGCTGAGTTGTGTATAAGCCTCCTGCTATCATATCATTGTCCATTCTGCTACCTGTCGAATATCCAGTACCTTTCCTTCAGCACCATATCTCCCTTGCGCATCCCACAAATCCCTCTCGATGCTGATATCTGGTCGCCAACGCATCGCCTCCCTCATTCTCTCTTCACTCTTGTTCTCTACTATGTCTGCAACCAGAGAGCCGATTGCAGGGCATGCCATGAAGCCGTTCCCAGATCCTCCGACCGCTACAATCAAGCCTCGAACATTAGGATGCTTGTCAATGAGAAAGATACGATCCACAGTATCTACATCCCAGCATAAACGTGCGAAGCTCAAGTCTCGGGTTGCAGACTGTGGCATTGTGTCAGAGAGAAGAAGACGCATACGTGCCTCTGCTTCTCTCGGAATCTGTTGTCGTACAAACGGAAGGGAGCGCATCTTGCCACTGTTACTGACGACAGGGTTGATGTATCCCGGATGTTCATCGCAGAGCTTAATTTCATGTCTCTCAGTGTCGGGTTCGATGAAGAAACCGCGATCCACACCATACAGCACAGGTAGGTTCCGGTACTGCTCCGCTTCTGCCGCTGAGAGGGGTAGATGTGCAAGTGTCCAGGCTGTGGGTCGAAGTTGATTTTCGAAGTCTAAGAGTAGGTCACTGTTCGCTCCAGCGGATACAATGATGTGCTGAGCCTTGTGCTCGGAGCCGTCCCTCGTCTTCACCCCCAATACTGCGCTGTTGTCCGAGTTGTACAGTAGCTCTTCAACACTGCCCTTCATGCTGTCGGTTATGAATTCCACGCCCAATTTCACTGCTTCTTGGTGCATAGCTCGTAAAGCGCCACTAGCGAACACCCAGCCGGCGCCTTCCTTTCTCCAAAAGCCCCTCCAACCTGAAAAATCACCTTGTAGCAACCCTCCTGGCATTGTTTGCTGGAAATCTCGTTTCGTATTCAGGGCTGCTGGAAATACTTTCTCGCCTTTGGCATACTCTAGACAACGCTGGTAGGCTTCATCGCCAACAGCGGCCATGATAAAACCGGTGTCATGGTAAAAGGGCGAGAACAGTGGATCAGATTTCCATGCATGCATTGCAAGCTGGGTCAGTCGATTCCAGAAGAAGTCTTGAAGGGAGTCGGACTCGGATGGGTCGTTGCTCTCTTCCGCGATCTTGTTGAGGTCATTTCCTGCGGAGATGGGCGAGGGAAAGGGACAACCGTCCAGGACTTTGATGGATGTGTGACCACGGCGAGCGAGCTCGAGGGCAATGGAGCAGCCCCAAGTTCCAGCACCTATGATGAGAATATTGCTGCTCGTCTGCAACATGGCGGATGCCCAGCTTTGCGTCATCGAGGATGACATTAGCCAACGATGAAGAGCTTGCCAAGCCGGAACGCGTGAGCACGTGGAGATAAGCACGCTATCTCGAAGCGGCTGGGATCCCCGCGGCGAAACTTGCGCGATGGTACTTTGATGGCTGAGCGACAACCTCGCACCCCTTGATGATGCGCATACGCCCTATAATACCGCGCAATGTCTGGCGAAGAAACACATTTGTCCGCCAATGGAATCA